AAGTCGTGCTTTGAAACGACCGTCACGCTTCCTGCTAAACACCCATCTGCATTTGACAGTCTTTCGACCGCGTGGAAGGCTGGTCAAATCCCAAGTACAGTTTTCCTCGAGAGAGTCCAGTTCTTCGCGCATCGCGCGCTCCCACTTGAGTGCATCCGGGCTCTTTGCTACATCCCGTACGTTTTGAGGCAAGTCATGCTCAGCTTGGGCAGCTGATAGCATGGACTCAATGCTAGGCCTCTGATACGTAGTTCCATCTGGCATAATGCGGGGCTTATTCCGACGAGGGCGGCGATGGGCAATCGGGCGATCGTCTATCGGGCCAGGCATTAGGGGTACTTCTCGCGATCCCGTGACAGGACCTTGTTGCGCGAGGGGTGCCGGTGGCGGTGGGAGAGCAGGAGGTGGTATGCTTGCATAAGGCGTTGCAGGCGCAGGATTATTGATAAGGTCAGGGAAGGTTTCCTCGAATGGTGTGAACGGCTCCGGTCCAGAGGACACATTGCCGGTGACTAGCTTGGACTTGGCAGGGAATACTCGCTCATCGAACTCGACGTTTGAAGAGATTCGTATCTTGCGTTGATTCGGATCCCACACTTTCCAAGCTTTTGTCTCTCGTTCGTATCCAACGAAGATGTGGTCAGGGCGTCCATGCTCCAACCCTTTCGGGCGTTTTTCAACATCCACATAGAGAGACGCCTTGCATCCAAACACACGGAAATAAGAGACGTCTGGCTTCTTTCCAAGCCACAGTTCCGCAGGTGTTCGCCATCCCAATCGTGCCATAGGTTGTCTATTATGAACGTGGACAGATGCATCCATAGCACATTGCCAGAAGCCTTTGGATAGGCCGGCATCGAGGCGCATGCATTCCGCTTTCTCGTAGGCTGTGCGATTCCAACGTTCAGACCTCCCATTTTGCTGTGGTTCGCGTGGCGCGGACTTAGGGTGCATAATACCACGTGCATTGAGCCAGGCTGTGAGTTCATCGGACATATATTCGCCTCCACGATCTGACCGGAAGGCCAGTACTTTTGTGCCAAGCTGACGCTCTGTAAGGGCAACAAAGTTTTTAATCGCAGTAGAGGCTTGGTCCTTTGATTTAATGAACACCATCATGCCAAAGCTCGAGAAATCGTCGTAGAACGAAATTGTGTAGCGTGAACCTTCCAACGACTGAGTAGGCCAGGGGCCCATCAAATCAGTGTGGATAAGCTCGAGGGGTTTGCTAGCACGTTTCTCTGATGCAGGGTACGGATGCTTGTGCTGTTTTCCAAGCATACATCCATCGCACATGCCGCGCTGGTCTTTATTGCGTCGCAAGGGGGGAACACCTTCAACTTGTGTCGGCAAGTGAGAAAGGGTCCTCCGAGCCGCATGACCAAAACGCTTATGCCACAATTCACGATCGGTAGTTTCCAGGGAAGCGAGCGCGGTAGACTCGTGAGATGCAGACACAGATGGTGCCACGAGCTCCTCGGGGTAGTACCAGTAGCAGCGATTGCTTGCTTTAAAGGTCATCAAGACATCCCCATGCGCTTTTCCCTTGTTGAGCCAATCCTTGGTGACTAGGATTGCCTTGTTGTCACCAACCACGGTGTAGTAACCAGCCTGATCGAGCGCATACCCAGAAAGATAGCGCCCTCTTATGTGCGGGTTGTAGATGACATCCTTCAGCGTGAAGGTGTAGTCGATGCCACTACTAGTATGACCCCGCAACACAATATCTCCAACGGCTTCATTCTTGAAGCGAGCTCCCGACCCAACGATTACATAGGTGTCGATAGGTCCGATGTTGTGAAGATCGGATCGGGTGTTTGTCATATGATGCGTACAACCCGAGTCCCATAGAAAACGAATTTTGGAGTCGTCTCCCATTTCTTCAACAAAAATTCCATCATCGATGTGTTTGAGGGAGTCACTCATGAGATAGGACGAAATGTGCATTCCATTGGAGGCAGCTGCAACCGCGGGAGCGGCTACAACTTCTTTTACAGCGCTAGTACCATCACCGCTCTTCTTTTCCTTCTTCTTTTTCTTCTTCCCCTCATCCTGCTTCCCCTTGCCTTTGTCAGAAGATTGACCAGTCGGCTTGAGGTTGGGATACTTCTTGTAGCAGGATGCCGCAACGTGACCGGACTTGTTGCAATGAGTGCAGCGGGTGGCAAGGGACGGAACGGTGGAAATCTTCGAGTTCGACGTCGTGTCGAGGTTCTCGATCTTGATATTCCCTATGACGCTGTTCTTGACATCGACTGGGTTCAGAGAAGCGATAGGACGATTGGCCAGGTAAGAGGTGACAAAACCTCTGCTGGAAGCGGGCAAAGCGGCGAGCATTAGAGTTGCGAAGAGGTAGTCAGGGATCTCGATTCCTCCTTCCGAACACTGGCGACGACAAGTCTCCATTTCCATGATTTGCTTTTCAATGGTATCACCACCGTGGAAGGTGGTGGTGTTCAGGAGGCGGTACTCGACGAAAGCATCGATGGCATTTGGTTGGCCATAATCCGTCGCCATCTTCGCAAAAACCTCGCGCGCCGTGCGCTCCCGCTGACCGTCCATAAAGATTCCCTTGCGCAGATTCTGAGTAATATAAACCCGCGCAAGACCCAGTGCCTTTTCATTGGCAACGTCCCATTGATACTGGCTGTCACCAGCCGTTCCAGGACGCTCCATAGAACCAGGGTTCGAGGTAGATGTTCCGTTGACCATGATATGAGTGGGTTTAACCACTCCCCAAGTGCCCTGATGCATGCAGATGCTCATGTAGTTGTCCGACCACGTATTCCAATTGGTGCCATCGAAGACACTCAGAATGGAGTTGTTGAGTTTCTCGATTCCCGACATGGTGGGGAGATACTCGATAACGTCGGCGGTTTGGTAGTGAAGAGAGGGGAATTCGATATAGGGAGGATCACCGAATAGAGATCGAAGTTCTGGAGTCCAATTCTCTTGGTGATGGAAGAACTCTTCGTTGTCGTGTTCTCCAAGATCGTATAGATCCCTCCAATCGGCGTCTTGGAGAGGAATGTAAGGAGGTCCCTGAGCCCAGCGGACAACAGGAAATAGGATAACCCCAACGGGAGGGTCGTCTGGTGATGACAGGGTGATAGAGATGAAGACTAGAGCGACGAAGTCAGCCCCAGATTCTCTGCAGACCAAGAAACAAATCCCAAGTGCCAAATCTCTGAAACGAGAACGACCAAGCGTCCCCATCCCATCCATGATGCCCATATACGCGCGGGGAATGATAACCAAATAAAGCAGTATAGTAAGTGCCCATATTTGTATCAAAGTAACGTAACTATATACGTCAGCGGCGGCAGTACCCGACGGTGATTACTGCCCTCGCAGTCCGTCACTGGCCAAGGGACACGTGCCCAAGGCCGTCCCAAGCACCGGGTTTGGCCGCCCATCTTCTCCCTTTTAAAGACATGCATACACGCAGAGCGTCATTGCATGAATCCTCGTAGTGTCACCAGCCCGCAGGGTCCCTTGTGAGGAATGCGAGTCAACCCCGAAGGATTGTTTTGCCTGGCGGAGGGATTGACCTCCAGCAGCTGTTGAGAGCTACCACACCACCTAGGCGCTTCGCGCAAGATTCAGGAGTGGGATTGACCAAAGGACCAGTGCCTGGTGGGTATGTCCGCTGTACAATAAAAAGATGTAACGTAAAACGCGCGCGAGCAATCATGGACGGAATAGCTAACGGCGCGTCTGCCAACTGAATGACTCCCTGACGCCGCTCGCGTAACCCCTTGAGGGTGAGAGCACAAATGCGAGGACCGACATCCAGCAAGTGGGACAAGCGCACAAAGACGGCGCTCTAGAAGGGCTGAACGAGTGAAAGATACTCGCCTTAGTAAAGGGAGTAGTTCGATGTTTCTTGATTTGCCGCTAGTGGTTCAGGCGGGGCCCATAACCTGTCGCAGACAATACCGCGCAGTGGAGATACGACCAGTAGCGATCACCTATAAGACAGAGTCTCAGCGAGTGTAGAGACACAGGAGCTATATCATTAGCTGTACCTATAAGACAGAGTCTATGGTACAAGTCATAAGTAAGGGATAGCGCCTTGGTTATCAACACAAAGAGGCGTGGATGGCAAGTCATATCCGAGCTCAGTCAACAAAGTGCGGATCCAGGCAATCTGGCGCGTAGCATCGCTCAGAGCCATGTATTCGGCCTGAGTAATGGATGACGCAATAATGAGGTCAGGTATGAGGTCATTGTGGAGCGAGCCAAAGTAATCTAAGAATACTACTTATGATGTCATGTCTACATACTGTGATAGTCGCTAATACAAACAAGCTTCAACACGCCCGCGCTTCGGACTGCACCTCTGTCTGCCCTTCGTCTCGTCGGGTGTCCCAGGCCATCCATTTCTCCTACTCAGCCGTACATCATCACCAGCCAAAATGCGCGGCCAAGTGAGCGTTCTCTATCCGTCAATTCCGCAACGACCCGCGCTGATCCCGAGCCCAGAGCACCCGGATGATCCCCGATCCCCCGCTGGCGCACCCGTGCCCGCAGCCCGGCTGCGCGTGGAGCTAGTGTTGTCCCAGGTCGGGTCGCGACCCGCGACCCGACCCGAAACCCGGGTCGCAGCGACCCGACCCGAGAGGTGGGTCGGGTCGGGTCAGAGACCGGGTCGGGGTCGGGTCGGGCTATCTGCGCGACCCGACGACCCGGGTCTCAACCCGGGTCACGTCAGGTGCATTGACACGTGAGTCCCTGGAGGTCTGCGGCACCCTGCAACGCAAGCGTGGGGTTCTGGATCGCAGCCACGAGCCTGCAAATGTGACAGGCTGTTGATTTTTACGTTCCCACCTTTGTCCCACCCTGCGGACAACCCCGCGATCACGCCCCGCACAAACCCTAACCTGAATTCCAAGCATGTGATGGCCGTCTCGCAGATGAACCCGATGAGCAAGAGGAGGACGAAGACATCTGGAACATTGTTCAATATCTATTTCTCGCTCGCATACAACACTGCATACAAAATGCAACACAATTTTTGTCTAATCTTCTGACCTCCCGACCCGGGTCTCGACCCAGACCCGACCCGCGACCCGACCCGACCCGGTCCCCCAGGTTGGGTCGGGCAAAATCCCTCGACCCGACCCACCTCTGACCCGACCCGACCTGCCTCTGACCCGACCCGACCCGACCCGGAACAACACTACGTGGAGCTTCGCGCGCAGGCACGACCTGCGGCGGCACACGGCGACGCACCTGTCCGACGCGGAGCGCGCGAAGTTCGAGTATATCTGCCCGTACGCTGACGACGGGTGCGTGTACACGGCGATCCAAAAGGGGAACATGAGCACGCATATAACGTCGCAGCAGTGAGTGATCCCCCGTTTCTGTGCCAGTTAATCGTCCCCGCGGCTGAGAGTGCGATTATCTGCAGCACGACAAGGCGGCCGCACGCCTGCCCGATCTGCTCCTACACGACCGGCGACCCGTCCAGCGCAGTGCGCCACAGGAAGATCCACATCCGCAAAGGAGAGCTAGCGGCGGACGAACACTACAGGACAACAGCGCCCGCACCGCAGAGACACTCGAATAAAACGAACGCGATATCCCATCATCGCTCGAGTAACCTGGCGTCTGCCGCGGGATCATACTCCCCGCCTACTGCGGTATACGGCGGTTGCCCTGTCTTCAGCTCGAGCACAGAAAACTTTTTTCTTGATGCGTCGCAGTCTGTGCATGTGCGCGCGCGTCCTTCGTGGTGCTCGGACGACGAAGCCGACGACATGGATTTGGATTCCAACCAGCCTTCGGGCCGCGTACATCAGTGATATTCGACACACCCGCACCAGATACTGATACACCCCCGTCCTGGTAGCACGCTCTGTAACAAGTAGCTAGCTCGAAGTAAACGAGCCTCTCATCGTGAACACATCAAACATACAAGATGAAAGACAAACGGGGCAGAGCGAAAAATCAAATGCTCTGCGCCGGGATGGTCTTCTCGAACCAAGCGACCGAGTCTTCGAACGCCTTCTCAAACGCTTCCTTGACCTCGGGGTATTTAAAGTTGGGCCGCGCCGCGAATCCGTGAGCTGCCCCAGACATCAGACCAGCCAGAGGGGGTGAAAATCGAAAAACCCACTGGTTCCTGCGTAGACGAACGGTTCATGAATCAGGGCCACTCAACAACCTCGAGAAGTTGAAAAACGTACCCTTGTACGTAATGAACTGATGCTCAGCGTCCGGCCGGTCCACATAGAGCGCCTCGATCTCAGCAACGCGCTTAGGCGACAGACTGAAATCCTCTGCAACCAACGCATCGTCAACAATCCCGGGGCGCCGCCCGATGTAGGTGCTGTTTCGACACACCCTCAGCTAGAACCCACGCAACAGGCGCCTGCAGCGCACATGTCAAACAAATGTCCAAAATTTCAATTACCAGCAGTCGACGACCGACCTTGATGGAGAGGATATCCGCGTTACTCGGCGGCGAGGGATGCGCGATGATAATGGAGTCGAAAATAGTCGAACTTCCGCCCAGACGCACAGCAACACCGCCACCAAAACAATAACTGCCATCGAAGAGTATTCAGAATATCACTCACGTGCCAATCGTCTTATCGGTGAGACGATGCCGCCGCACACGCACCCGATAGCCCCAATCTTCTCGTACTTCTTTTCAGCCTGGATCGCTTCCACGCACTGCAGACGCCGGGCGAATGAATGAGTCCCAAGCAGCTTAGTACAAATACGCGGATCGCACTCGCCGAAACGACACGCGCATCAACAACCGCGGGCCGGTTGCGGATGAACGACGGCAGCACACCCAGCGCCGTGACCGCGAACTTGAGCCCTCCGAGCACACCCATCTTCTGCCCGGCCTTCTCCGGGAACTGCTGCAGCGCCTCCGGCGTGAGGAACGGTTTGCCTTGTAGGCGTGCATCATCACGTCAAAGTCGGGTCAAGCTGACTCGGCTGCAGAGCGCACCTGCAAACAGATCGGGCACCCACACATCGCAGCCGAGGCGTCGAGCGAACTCGTCCGCAATGACCTTGCAGTTCTTCAACGGGAGCCCGAATATGTCGGTCAACAGCACGATGGCGCGTTTGCTGCCGGTGGTACTCGTGGTGGCCGCCGGAGCGAAGTACGCGCCGTGGAAGCGTTCTTCAATGCTCCCTGCCGGCGTTCCCTCGAGAATCGACCCTTTGAAGCAGTCTGGGCAGCTCATGGGATGTGGATGCAGTTGGGACGGGTGGGAGGAGGCTTGATGGTGTGTAATCGGAGCCGGCGCTTGTATTACTAAAGGGAGTTTCCCACCCCCTCATTGTTCGCGACCTCGGCATCCGTGATTATCGAGGTACCGAGTGACACCCGTGGATGTATCGCGTAGATGGATAACGCCCAACTCCCACTAACGCGGAACAATGAGGGTAGCCTACGGCGCACGCCAGACTGGCAGACAAACAAACGGACGGCCCTCCGTCAACGCCCACGCGAGATGTGCGATGACCCTCACATTGCCACAAAATGCCTGCACCAGAAAACCTACATGACACATCTCGCAAGGAACAGCCAGTGGTCAGTTATACAGTCGGTGAACCCAAAAAGCTCTCAGACGGGGAATCGAACCCCGGTCGCCCGCGACATCAAATATGACAGGCGGGAATCTTAACCATTGGACCATCTAAGATGGATTGATGTCCTTCCTGTAGCCATTTGATTGTGCAAGACACCTCCTTTTTGCTGACCCTCTGATCATGCTGTCTGGGACAGCCACTGACTGCAATATGGATGTTCGATGTTGCCCAAGGACAGCAATAAACTTGTAGAAATTCGCTAGTGCATTCCAGGTTCTTCATGCTGCCTGAATAGCGAGATCCGCCCGTCGCTCCAGCGCCGAGTCTTTCTTTATACCGGAGTAAGCACTGGCTGCCGGTTTCTACGAAGAGACAAGGAACACGCAATCATTTACTGAATGAAGGCCCTAGATTTCGCGGGGGCTACTTCTGGGTCCAAATTTCACTCAGTCATCCCACACTGCGCATATACATGGAATCAAGTTCAACTTCAAGACTGTGTACAGGTTCCTACAACAGAGATCAATTAATTCGTCCGCAGTATAAATGGCTGGCGTAGTCCAAATCGGTGTTTGATTTACACGACCCAGTCATTCTGTATTGCTGAGATCCGCGCCGTTCACACAGGCAAGGTTTTCTCAAACCACGCCACCGAGTCGTCCAGCGCTTTCTCGAAGCCCGCCTTGACATCGGGATACTCAAAGTTCGGGCGCGCCGCGAACCCATGAGCTGTGGAAAGATCATATGAACCAACCTGCCCAATCTCGGCGAAAGTGCATTATGGCTTACCAGTTCCTAGACACGATGAATTCGGGTAAATAATATGTCTGTACGATGATTCTCGGCTTACCGGGATATGTGATGAACTCATGCTCTGCGGTTGCCCGATCCGCATAAAGAGCCTCGATCTCGGAGACTCGTTTACGAGACAGGCTGAAATCCTCTGGAACAAAACTATATCAGAAATGCCACAGTGCTCCAGGAGATAGATACAAATACCTTCAGCAAGCAACCAGGCTGTGGGCGCCTGCCACAATAGAAGCATCAATAACACGAATCGAGTAAAGGAAGGTGGATCATCAACTCCTGACCTTGATAGCGAGGACATCCGCGTCCTTGGGGGGAGAGGGATGCACGACTACGATCGAGTCGAAAAGGCTTGAAGCTCCCAAGCGCACAGCCATACCCCCGCCAAAGCAGTAGCTGGAGCACCATCAGCCCAGCACCCGGAACAAATATTCAGATGCCGCACCCAATCACTCCGATTTTATCATACTGCCGCTCAGCCTGCAGAGCATTCATAAACTGGCGATGCCGACTCAATCAGGAGGAATGCCGGTTTAAATCATCAATGTTCCTCACCGTCACTACTCTCCCATCCACGACCGATGCTCGATGGCGAACAAACGAGGGCAGCACGCTGAGCGCCTTGATCAGGAACCGAGCTGTGTTCAACACAGACAGCGTCTGGCCCGCCTTCCTCGGGAAGTGCTTCATATCGTCCGGAGTCAAAAACGGCTTGCCTGCATCGCATGGAAACAATCAGCCCTCGAGGAACCCCAAAGACACACCCTATAAGCGCACCGGCGAAGATATCGGGCACCCAGACATCGCAGCCGAGCCGTTTGGCAAACTCGTCCGCGAGAATCTTGCAGTTCTTCAGTGGGAGGCCGAATATGTCCGTCAACAAAACGATGACCCGCTTGTTCGCACCACGCGTGTCCCCAGCAGGGGCGAAGTACGCTCCTTGAAGATGCTCCTGTACGGTCCCGGTGGGCTCGCCCGCGAGAATCGATCCTTTGAAACAGTTAGGGCAGCTCATAGTCAGTACTAAGTAGAAGAGGTGGGCGGGGCGGGTAAATGCGATGTTATCTACCCATATCAACGCGATGTGGGCCATATAATACTAACTGCATTCGCATGACGTGCTGGATTTTACAACGAGACCGCTGCGCACACCCTCATGCCGGGCGCATTCGTCGCCTCGGGATGCACGATACCAGCTTCAATCTGCACAGGTACGCTGCTGCGCGACTGCGCAAAAGCGTTAAGCATACGCACCCCTACGGCGCTGCTCTGAAATCTATCCTATCCTGGCACAAATCTTCCCGCGCAACATGATCGCCTGCGATGACGCGGCCTACGATATCGTCCCGTTTCCTGGCTTTCAGTTGATTTGCCTTCCAGAACGCGAGGCAGAGAATGAACCATAAAGAGAATGGCGATATTGATTTCCATGGAGCCGGTCGTTATTCGATGAGGAGCATAGAGAACATGCGTGACGCCGCGGATCACAGATTCGTCACGATGCTGAGATGATGATAGATGCTCATCAATCTTATCAATAGAGGAGTGCATCGCAAGTAGGCCAGGGGTAGAGATCGTCCAATTCCGTGAAACGGATATCTGGAAACGGATTGTTAGTAATAGTTAGTTTTCACTGAGGAAGAAGCTCTGAAAATGATCAAAAAGCGTGACAAGAGCTCTTGAGACGGAGGGTAAATGACTAGCAATCTGACATGAAAAATATACCATTCAATCCCTTTACGAAGATGAATCGGTCTACAGGCTACGAGTCCTAAGCCCGATTAAAAGACTGCGTGGGATCTTGCGCAAATTGCGGATCAAAACTGACCCGCCCGTTTCTCCGAACTCCAAAGCACGCGCGCAAAAATTGATTGGAGATCTGTGGTTTCTCACTGTTCAAATCTCCAGATCGAGAAAATGATACACCGGCTCCGATTTTCTCATTAAAAAATGAAAATAGAAATCGGATATTCCTGGTGGTTTTTCGTAATCAAACAATATCACATTGCCTCGTGAATTCTCGGATTAATAGTATGCCACCTCACTATATGAGTGAGGAACTCCCCCCGCATTCAAATACATCCTGAAAAAATGCTGTACAGCTCCCGCAGAGCCCGTCGCCTTGTTTTATCTGTCAGCCATCACACAAGGGACCCGAATGTTGCAACTTCCTGCATCGGTCAAGTGCGATAAACGCCGAGCTTGGAAGAAACCCTCGCTGACCGAGGTCTCCCCGACTCTCTCGTTAATCTCCTGGCGCTCATCATCGCTACCGAACGTCCGACTCCGACGGGCACAAGGCTCGCCACGGCGTGGCACAGGGTTTCCATCTTTTTAAAGGCGCCGCTCAGTCGATGCCACCAACATCCGCTGTCAGGACTCAGCGCGGTCTCAGACGGGACGATCCCCGGCCATCGTATCCAAGTCATCTATAGCAGCAGTCTTCCTTAGCGCATGGCCTGAGCAGCAGACTCTCTTCGGATATGACACTCCGATGTGCATGGCTTGTCGGCGCCAGTATCGGAGCGCATAACCAGAAGGGGAAGATGCCCGAATTTTCATCGAGGATAGACGAGCATGCTTAATTACTTGCTACCGGGTTTTCACCCACACGTGATTGTCTGTGGAAGTACGAGTGATCTGCGGTAAGCTACGTTCGTCGCCGAACAGTTCCCACCTTCAATACGAGGGTGCTGTGATTCGGTATAAAAAATCAATCCCAATTTTAGCTTGGTTACACTTGAATTGCATGGTACACACAAATATCCGTGTAAGGATAATATTCTCTAAGGTATGTTTTTTGGTATGTACGCGAAACAGGAATCCATCCGCGATAGGCTAGAGAACAACGAAAACATAGAGCAAGTCCGGAGTGCACGGTGCGCATGTGAGTATATAATCTGGGTGGGCGGCACTGTGCGAGGTCACATGGCAGCGTAGCCGGTCGCGTTCACCGCAGAGAGCCGCTTCTTCTCGACGAACGCCGCGACCGTCTCCTCCGTGCGGCGCATGCAGTCGACGGGGATCAGGCCCATCTCCGCGCGCTCGCCGCCGGGCGCCAGCTTGTCGACCATGGCCCAGCCGTCGTCGTAGATCGCGAGCACCTTGACCTTATCGCCCGTCTGAACGGTGATCTCGTCCTGCAGCGTCTGCGCGAACGGCCGGCTCACGGTCTCCACCGCGTCGAACGCGGTGGCGGCGGCGATGGCGGCCGGGTCGGCGAATGGATTATCCGTCAAGGAGCTCGCCTCCCCCTGCCGGTGCTCCCCGGCGAAGGCGTCTTCGGCTGCCAGCGACGACCGCCCCAATATCGGCATCGACGTCGACACCCTCAGGGAGCCGGTCCCGGTCCAAGCGTTGGAGCGCCGCTCACGAGGGGGTGCGGGGAACGCAAACGATTCGCTCGGCGAGAACGGGCGGACGGACATCGGGGTAACCACAAGGTCAGGGGTGACCAGCTGGTTGTTGGCGGGCCGGTCGTAGGTCAAGAACTGTGCGTTGCTCGATGTCGTAGACGTCAGCGAGCCCGCGGAGACGCGGCGGTTCTGATCGGAGAACACGTTCGAGTTCTCGATCGAAATCAGCAGCGCGACCGGGTTCGACGGGGAGGAGGGCGAGACGGGCGAGATGGGAGACAGGGCACGGCCGCCGAGGCTGCTATCGCCTTTGGGGACCGTCGCGGGCCCGCCACGGATTTCGACCATCGGAGGAACAGCAGGCGCATTATCATCGATCTGCAAAGAGAACTCGCCTAGAGAACGAACACAATGTCTAGTCAGAGACAGACAGACAGAACACACACGAATTCCAACGTACTGTGATCGAACGCCGTCCCAAAACTGGACCGAATGCTGCGCGAGGACGAAGCCCGGCCGACAGTGGCAACGCCGCTGTCCCGGGGCTGATCCGTCCAGTTAGCGCTCGACCACCACTTGCGGCGCTCCTGCCGCTTGTGCACCGCGCGGCGCCGGAAGAAGGACAAGATCGAGGCGATCACGATGATGGTTCCCACGACACCAACGAGCGGGTAGACGAACTTGGGCGTGCCGCGCGCGGGCGTGTTGCCCGTCGACGAGCCGCCGTTCGGTGAGCCGTTGGAACCGGTGGTCCCGCCCGACGAGCCAACCGTCGCCGAACTCGTGGGCAGCCCATCGGAGAAGGTCACCGTACCGACGACGGCGATCGTCTTGCTGCCTTGCACGAAATAGCTCGTCGACCCGGTGGGGTGCGCAACGGCTGCGGACGAGACGCCGGAGTCGGGATTGGAGACAACGTTGACAAGCGATGACCCTTGCTTCGAAGAGGGGACCGAGCCTTGGTCAGCAGCGGAAGAGCCGCCGGCCGTGCCGGACGAGCTTGCAGACGAGGCTGAGGAGCCAGTGCCAGTCGCCCCGGTGGCGGCGGCGCCCGAAGTGGAAGAGCCGGTGCTTGCTCCGCTGGCGATGGCGTTGCCGCTTCCTGACCCGCCAGAGGCGGGACTAGAGCTGGAGGACGATGATGAACCGGAGGCGGCACCGGATCCCGTGCCGGATCCCGAGCCTGAGCCCGAAGCAGGAGGAGTGTTGTTAGAGGAGCCAGAGCCAGAAGATGAACCGGAGCCAGAGCCGGAGGAGGAGCCAGAGCCCGATCCGGAGCCGGAGCCAGAGCCGGCAGAGGAGCCAGTACCAGTACCAGAGCCAGTACCAGAGCCAGTACCAGAGCCAGTACCAGAGCCAGAGGATGATCCAGCACCAGAGCCGGAGGACGATCCAGCTCCAGAGCCAGAGCCGGATGACCCAGCGCCGGATCCAGACGAGGCACTGCCGGATCCAGCCGTAGACGTGCTCGGCGGCTGGGCCGCCGTAGTGGGTGTACTCGCAGGGGTCGTCGGAGTATTCGCAGGCGGGGTGACAGTCGATGACGGACCCGGGAGGCCGGCGATGAGGTCCGTCAGCACACCGGCGACGATGGGCAAGGTGGGTATCGGGAGGGGGAGGTTGATGAGCGCGGGGGCGCGTATTCCAAGGGTATCGCGCTCCACGGGCGCCAGCGCGTGCCGGACGACGCGGTGGAGCCTCTGACGCGCGACAGGACTGCTGCTGCTTCTGCTGCTGGACATGGGCAAGTGGAGCTGAGGACGATCCCCCGCGTTCGGCAAAAAAGAGTGTGAGGGCCGCGTAGTGGGCTGTGCTTCAGCGCTGTTACAGCAGCTGGTGCGAGCGAGACGGGGAGTAAAAGAGGAAAGAAGGTAGATGCGCTCCAACGTCCTGTCTTTCATTTTTGAGCCCGTGATAGGGCCGTCGCGCTTCGACTCGGCAAGCCCATCTGTTGTCAAATTGCTCCACCTTCCTATTTCAAAACATCTCAGATATGGGGAACGCGCGCATACTTGACATGTCTACAACGCGAGAATGGTTGACCAGACACCGCGCCCGCCGCGATGTGTCGGGTACGCGGTAGTCATTGCTGCGCCGGCTCTCGGACGAGCGTACAGGGACCGTGCCTCCTCGCACCTTTAGCGAGGCCAGCACAGGTGTAACTCGTGAGAGGTTCCATACTGACGGCGTGAGTACGAGAACAGAATATGTCGCCTATCTTGGCACCGATCTCAGAAGCATCGCCAAGGTAACAACGCTTCCGGTCAGGATGCGGAGAGAAACTTAGGAGGGATTGCAAGAAGCCTGCGAGCAGGATAAACGGTTTCGAGTTTTATCGAGTGGCCGAGCAATGTCGGAGAGGTAGAGGCGTATCTCTCTATCTTGCCTTGCGGGAGGAAAGAAGAGGCGGCTGGTGGGAGTGTTTGCAAGTCAAGTCAGGTGAAGTCTCAAGCGAAGGAAGTTCGAGGGACGCGTTGACCTGTCAGGGCAGTCGATCGGATCATTCGGCGCACGGAATGTGTAGCATATACGATTTCGCCGCATCGGAGCGTCAACATTGGATCTGTCACGCGATCATCATTGTGCAGGAGCGCTCGTCCGCGACTCGCTCGCAAAGACACTACGTCTGACGACAGCAACACATTACCTTGCTCTTTGTTCCACGACAAGGGGCCAGGTCCTCGCTCTCGTCTGGATGTGCGCCCACTTCGCCGCGGTAACCACCACAGTCAGATGATGCTCCACCCTTACGTGCTTTCGAGAACGACATCGCTCTTGATTCTCAGATTATCTCTCAACGGATGCACACACGCATGCTTGCACGCGTGCGCTCGCACCCAGTCTCCCGGCCAACGCCCGGCAGGCCCGCGGACTCGGCCTGTTCCGAGCAGTACACGCACTTAGTAGCTCGGCAATATATTCTCCTTATCTTCGAATTTGTAGCCATCCCCCCGGCCGAACTGTTGAATTCAATTTTTTGTTGTCAAGCGCTTATTAGGGTGTATTATTCCCGGAGTCTACCAGACTGATTATGTCAGTTCCTCATGAGTTGCACATTTTACGAGACACGTTTTGTACACATGCAGAATGCTCAACTAACAGCAAGGAAGAGAAACTGACAGAATCTACTCGTGGGGTCCGAAAATCATTCCTTTCAATAACCGCTTAACAGCCAAAACTTTCCCCTTTCACCTTTTTCGCCCTGCTAAGTGTTTGGGCTATCTACCTCAAATTGCCACGCAACATGCAGATATTCCCAGCTCTATTACATTGATTCTACATTCTGTGCAGTTTTGAAACCTTGAGCTTCGACTTTCTTTTATGCTGTTTTGCTCCTTTTTTTGAAGGATGCACATTATGTCTAAATGTCCTCAAGGCTCAGCTGACCAACTGCTTCAGTGTCGCCTGTCAACGATCCGAAGTTCAACAGTTGAGACAACACTACACGGTATACATCTGCTGTCTGCACCTCGCTGCCGCAAGACATCTCGGCCGCGCATCCGACCCGATCAAGTGGGTTGGTTCTCTTCCAAGCGAGCATGCACAGTGCGGTTGGGCACTGTTCAAACGCGCGGTGTCATGACGGTAGCCAGTGTACAGTATTCAGATGCAACTCATTAGCTCATTAGGCATTCGCGACATTAGTTCTATTTCTGGCTAGCGACCGGGCCCTGCTTGGCCGCGAATCTACTTCTCGCGCGGATTTGTGCGCCGTATTTCCACAACACCCACGGGCTGAAATCATTCGATAGCGTGCCAGTCAGTTGAGAGCCGACGAAAGGGAAAGCACGCACGCGGGACATCCTATGACGATGGCTACGGCGCCCAGGATCGAGTCGCCCGTGCCGTATCCCAATTTATTGTACATCGATTGGGCGAATAACGGGAATCCGAAGCCACAGATTGAGCGCAGGAAGGATGCCGCGGCTAGGGCTGCAAAGTGTCAGAAGGCGGGATCCGGGGACAGGGCGCACGCACCAGACGCGGCGTACAGCGTGAACGCGTCGATAAGATATATTTGGATCGACTGGAAGTTGAGAATCACGCCCATCCCGACAAACGCAATGCCCTTGCCCAGAATCAGAACAAGAAGGCTTCATCATCCAGGGCAGCTTACGATGTCGGGCACAATCCAATGCACTTTGTTCTGAACCGTCCATCCTGTCAGGAAAAGTCCAATCGGCAAAGCGAATGTTCCGGGAACCATCGAAGCTGTGCAAAAATGAGAAAAAGTGTTGCATATGATAGGCAGATCACCCACGGAGTCGATATTCGGGACGTGCGGCTCCCCCGTTCCTTGCCTTGAGTGCTACGTATATACGGTCCATAGCCCTTGCATTGATCTGTGACGACAGCGTCACGCCAACACCGAGCGCAATATAATTGAGCCCTGCGATGCCGACTTGCTCGTGATAAACTTGTTCGAAGACGACTGACATGGATGTGAGGAAAACTGGACATTTTGCAGATCAGACTTGGTGCGCTCGAAATTCAGGCGACGCACGATAGAAAACGCCATAGATGAAGGCCATGTACAGAGCGAGGATCTGGACGATAGGCTCGTTGTAAAGCAGGATGAACGGCCTCGTCAATGCGGTCCTAAGTAATTTCTTCCATCTGCAGAAATTGTAAAAATCGTGTCAAATGAGGGTGAATTAAACACGAACGATCGCTCTTCTGTTGCGAAAACGGAGCGTATTCTCTGTTTCCGGCCCTTCTCCGAGTCCATGGCTTTCCTCATTCGCTCTGCCCTCTGCTCCAACAGGACAGGCGGATATGCTGCACGAACCATCAACTGAAGCTCAGGTGAATTAGCAAGTCTCTCTCACATTCACGAATGAAGAGGACTCCGAGTAGCTGGATGAGGACGGTGAAAGCAGAGGTCGCCCAGAACTCAACAGAAGTTTGAGTTCAAGCAAATACACGGACGCAGGATCGGCACATACCACCCATCTCCATGTCGTCCTCTCCGCAATGAACGCACCGCACACAGGCCCGATGACAGGTCCCAGCAGCGGTGCCAGAGAAAACAAAGCAATGGCCTGTCCACGCTCTTCCGGCTTCCATATGTCACCGAGCACGGCTCCGCCGATCTGTGATGTGCCATCATGATGAGCCTGCGAGGGGATGATGCATCTGGCCCGAACGAACGCACAGCTAGCGGGGCACTACCCCCAATTCCGGCAAGGAAACGGAATGCCAGAAGCTCGCCTTTATTTCGTGCCCATCCACACACGAAATTCCATAGCAGATAGAACAAGTTGGCGCCTTGCATTGTACGACTCCGTCCCTACAAGCTGCTCGTCAGCAGGATGACAATAGCGGAGAGTCACCAAAACGGACGATGATTTCCGAGAGTGGGCCCAGAAACTGCGATCAGGATGTCAGCCGCGTCCTTGCACAGCCAGCAGCACCAAGACAACGCACCAAAGGGCCGATAGCGTAGGCGAGCACAAAGATAGAGGTCAGCAATGCTATCTCCACTTCACTCGTGATCCCGAATTCCTTCGCAATCTTCTGGCTTGCGGGCGCGGTGACGCTTGACGAGAGCGGGGATATCAACGTGAAGAGCGATATAACCAACGTCGCAGCCCATTTTTTGCGTTTGCTCCAGCTGCCGGAGGCAAGGTCAATCGCACTGACACCGGCATGTATGATAACCGGTAGATAACACGCACTTCTTGGGATTCTGTGGATCGTCCGGCCCATCCCAGTCTACAATAATGTCGTCTAGTGACTCCGAATCTCTCTCTTTGTCTCGTCCAGATTCATCACCGGCTACGGTGGGTGTCGTATCGCGCGACGCGAGTTGTTCTGCTGCGGACATGAGGGGAAGAAGAGAGGGAGGAGGGAACGCGGAGACAATGACGCAGACGATGGGGTGTGAAGACCACCGTGTTTAGTACTTAAATAAACTTGACCACAAGTTTCCGCCCGGGTCGGTTCCGAGGATCATGACGAGCGGGTGCTGACCCGTGATGACGAAGGAGATGGATGTGTAAATAGGCGCTTCAAAGGAATCTTTTCCGGGGAAGTTGCATGTGTGTATCAAGTCATCAATCGATGTCTAGGGATTTTCGGACGGGTCGGTGTGGGATGGTCCATTTAGAAGAGTACTTAGGTTCCGCACGCGTGGTGTATGTGTGTGTTGCCGTGATGCGATCAAGTGATGGCTTCTTTGATGCTGACAAATCCTCCCCACAATTTTTAGCCTCGTCCGATTTCTCTCTTGAAAACAAAGCGTGTCTTTTTCGGTCACGAACGACAAGGATGACAAACGTTGAAGAGAAAGAGCAGGGAGTGTTCGTGGTGCCCGACCTCACCATCAAGCAGCTGCTGGACGCCATCCCGTGCGTTGCATCCTCTCCCTCTGTCTCGACGCTGAATGAAGCATCCACAGAGCACACTGCTTCAAGAGGTCGGCTTTGAAGTCCTCGATGTACATGTATGCGCGTATCTTAGTTCAAATTATATACGTCCTAACCTTCCCCCTAGCGTCTGGCACGGCAGCATCCTCTACGCTCTTTACAAGGCCACCACTTACGCCGACACGTTCCTCAACGCGTCCACACTGTCCACGCTCTTCCAGCGCGCAGTCCCTCCCGTGGCAGCTGGCTGTGCGCGTTTCGCTCTGTGGTCGGTGTACGGCTTCTGGGCTGGCCTGTTTGGCACGGGCATCTGGGTCATCGGACACGAAGCAGGGCACCAGGCCTTCTCCGAGTCCAAGACGATCAACAACACCGTCGGATGGATCCTCCACTCTGCGTACGCTGTCCCAAAAACTACCCCTTCTCTGACGCGCTCTGACTCCCCATTACAGACTCGGTGTACCGTACCACGCCTGGCGTATCACCCATGCTAAGCATCACGCCTCCACTGGACATATGACCCAGGACCAGGTCTGGGTCCCCAAGACACGCTCGAACAGGCGTTTGCCTGCCTTCAACCCGGAGAAAGAAGACCGGCTCGGTGCCCGCGCCGCCTCGGAGGAAGTGCGCAAGGAGTTCTTGGAAGCGATTGGGGACTCACCCATCGGTGCTGCTATCGGTGTCGCCACATATCTCGTGAGTGTCTTTGTATGTCTCTGTCCCATTGCTCTGACCATCGTTCTGGTAGCTGCTTGGATGGCCGATGTACATCATCCGAAACGCGTCTGGCCAGCGCCGTTACCCGAAAATCACGACTCGTACGTGCATCGTGAGCCTCACGCGTCTGCGTCTCACACTTCTTTAGACTTCAACCCGAAAGCGATCATGTTTGCTCCCCACCAGTACACGGATATCGTTGTTTCGGATATCGGAGTTCTTCTCTGGGTCGCTGGGCTCTTCTTCGCGACGCGTGCCTATGGTTTCGGGACTGTCATGCGCGTCTACGGTGTCCCCTACCTGTGGTGCGTATCTGCTTCATCACTAGGACTTTGCTGGATCTCACGTCGTTTCAGGGTTAACCACTGGCTTGTTTTGATCACCTTCCTCCAGCACACCGACCCTCTCCTCCCGCACTACCGGGCGCCCCAGTTCACATTCCCGCGTGGTGCATTGGCAACGCTTGACCGCAACTTGTTGGGTGATTTGGGTTCGGTCGCAGCCTGGATTGGAGCCCATGCCACGTGCGCTAACTCTGCTTTCCGAGCACCTCACGTGCTGATCCAGCTCCTAGATGCGGTATCTCGGAGACCCACGTATTGCACCACATCTCGAGTAAGATCCCGCACTACAACGCGTGGGAAGCCGCAGCTGCGCTGAAAGCTAAGGTGCGTAGATCGTCCAGAAACATTCATCTTTGCCGTGCTTAGCTATTTACCAGGTTCTCGAGCCAGCGGGTATCAAGACGAGTGGCGGCGCCGGCGGTTGGGCAGAGATGTATCGAGTATACCGGGAATGCAAGGTGTGTGCCCTCACGCTCGGGATTCCACACGTCACTGACGAGCATGCAGTTCGTCGAGGATGACGGGGACGTTGTGTTCTACAAGAACGTTAGAGGAGTTGCTCAGATGCGCCCCGTTTTCTCTGCGGGATCAGGCGCCAGCAGTGATTCGGGTATCGATGTTTCTGACAAGTAGAGAGAGCTATGTAGTCTTTCCTAGATGTCTTTTCCTTTCACGGTACATAGATGTTCTTATCTCGATTCGAATGTCATTCAGCAAAGGGCGATTACATTTCAATTGGGTAAGTATGCTCGTGTCTGTCTAGCTCACAATCACTAGCAAGGCACCATTTTCCTACGGATTTCTCAGGCTTTCTTCTGCTAGCAGGATACGAACTCAGTTCACTGAGCTCTGATAAACGACACCAATTCAGACGTACCTTAGTGTTTGCGTTCCGACGAGGGGGAAGGGGCAGCGGGGTGGTGTACCCATAGATCGCCTGCTGCTCAGGCATCGCAAATCCCCGGCGAGCGTCCGACTCCGCCGGCTTCTGTTGCTGCTGCGTCTGCTGGACAGGCTCGCTCGGAGGGAGACTGTTGATGTAGGCGACCTGGTCGATGATGCGACAGCCGATGATCCCTCCATTGGCGCCGCGCTATCAAGATGATAAGAAATCTTTGGTATCAGCTCAACGAGCTAAAAGCACTCACCATGCCGTTGTGAGCGTTAGAGTTGGCTGAGCTGGAGTTGGACATTGGAGTGGAAAATGGGTTGGTGAGTTGTGCAGAAACTCAGCTGTAGGCATCCCTTTTCAATGTGACTGGAAAAAGAGAGCAAAGCCATAACTGGTACTCAACATGGCTTCTTTGCGGCTTGGACAGTGGGGAAACCCGACTCTTTGATCCCTTGCAGCACTCAACAAAGCGACGGCGAAAATGAAATGGCTCAAGAAAATCGTGTGGCGGGTGATCGCTTGCCGAAAATTGTTCGCTGTCGAGCGGACTACTTACAAAACTGAGGCCGACGCTCCAATAAATTTCCAACCAATTCACGTGATTCAAGATCTCAACCCGAATGCGTGATCTGGCGTGACCTCAGTTGATTTCAGGCCAAGCTCTGGGACTCGATTAAAGATCTGCATTTACGCATGTCCAAGGCAAAATGTGGCTATCTGGTAGTTGAACTAAATTCGAACGTTACCCGTGACCCAGACGAAATTTGATCGTTCGGACCCACGAACCCTTGCTCTGATACTTCTCGCTGCCCACAATGAGATCATCCAGATCCTGGCCCTTACCGGGGATATAATTTGCCAGAATATCCGTAGTGCGCTGACAATGAATATCTTGTTTTCAGATGGGAGTGTTCCGCGGCCGATGCCAATGTTCACAATTTGCACGGTTTCGAAAGACATGTTATATATTCTAATGGCATGCCTCCTTCACTTGAACCGAGGGACCACATCCTGCTTCATGAACTCCTCCACAGTCCCGAACTCCATGCCCAATGCAATGAGCTCCGGGTTCGGGATGGCAGTTTCGGTGTACAGACCGTGGCGAGTTGCCTGGAATTCATACTGGATAATACTTGCGTTGAGTGTCCAGCCAAAGTCCGCGGATGAATGCACACACCATGTCATCCAGCATCGCCATTCCGGTCGACCGCCCAGACACAAACGAAACATGGACGCCCAACGCTGGATGCGAATCAGTAAGGACAAGGCGAGACGCCGTGTGCACGCGCCTTGACTGGCCAGTCCCGCCAAGTCCGCAAAGCTCATCCGGGCAGTGATGACCGGGTAAGCCTTTCCGGAAATTAGCTGCGCGGAATCGGTGTAGTTCTTAAGCAGTGCAAGAGCGGCTGTCCCGACGTCTCTCCCAGCCCATGTGAATGCCTGCAGATCGGCCGGCCCGTACGAAGGAACGCTGATCTCGAGCGAGCCGGACTCGGTCTTCTGTAGGGCTCCGAATCTAATCAGCGTTAGTGTCAAACTCGGCTCCGTCAGCTTTCAGAGAAAGACCGCCTACTTCCAGAGATTCTCTAAAAACACGCCGAGATGGAGCGACGCGTTCGGCATGCCAGAGGCTCGGAGATATTCTTCGACATGGGCTTTGTCTACGGACACGATGATGAGCCGACGAAAGAAAGACACATCACCGGTCACTGACACTCATATTGGACACACTGAGTGTATTTCCCGTCGGAGAGTTTCGCCAGACTTGGAAGCGAGCTCGACACTTGGATGAGAGTTATTGTGCCAAGTCCGAGAGGGGCACGCACCTCCAGATAAAGAACTTGACGTTTGCCTCTTGGGCAGCGTCCACGATATTCTTGCCCTGCTCCCGCTCGTCGGGTCCCGTGGCATGGAAATTGAACGTCGTGAGCTCGAAGTCCAGTTCAGTCAGCGCCATGCGCGCGGGGGGACGAAACATACAGCGAAGACGGCCTCGCAGCCGGTGAGCGCGGCAACGACCGAAGCCTTGTCCGTAGCGTCCGCTTTGGTGATCTCGACACCTAGAGTCTTCAGCCCGATGGCGGCTTTGGATTCGGGATCACGCGTGATCGCGCGGGGGGTGAATGTGCCGTCCTTGAGAAGAGCATGGACAACCGAAGCGCCTGGCGATATGTGAGTCTGCAGTAGGACAACATACGAAGGCTCGTAAGCGCACCTTGCAGGCCGGTTGAACCAAAGACAGCGACGATGCGAGGAGGGGGAGCAGGCATGCTTATTTCGTGGTGGAAAGATGAGTGTTGGTTTGTTCTGCCATTTTCGTGTCCCTTTATACAATATGGGGGACCACGCGTTGCACGGGCTCTGTAAGCTGCTGTGTCACTGGCTCTGTAACTTAGGGCCAGATTGGGTCCACTGCTTGCCGAACTGCGTAGGGCCAAAAATCAAGGCAGTTGCCTGATCCCGGCATTCAGGCAGTTGCCGGGCAGATCCGGGTGGCGGTGATCAGTGGATAGCTGATCAGAATGCTTGAACGAGGCAGTCACGCTCCAAATAAGGAAACATTACCAATATTTTTCTCAGTCTGCTGCTCGCATGGCCAACGACGCTTCTGACGACGCTTGGTGGCGGTCTGACGTCGATTTTCGGATTGATGACGTGCTGTTTCACGTCTGGAGGTCCTGCGACGCAGGGGAGTGCGACTCCCACGCACCATTGCTGTGATCAACCAGAAAGAGCGTGTAATTTACACTTGTGTACGGTTTGCAACTACCTGTGACAACTCGTGCCAGGCAACCCTCAGTCTGCTCCGCAAGCCATTGATATGACATAAATGTGATTTATGTTAAGCAACTGCCATCGAGCAGTCGCAAGGCAGTCCACCCGATCGGGCCCTAAGCTCTATCGCTGGCCCCTCAGACTCGATGTTGGACGCGACGGATGTACCGGAAATCCGAGAGCCAGTTTAGCCGTGGATGGCGTCATGTCATGTGTTTGTCACCGGTTATCTTTTAAACTGTGCCCTAAGCTACGGCTCGGGGACAAATCAAAACGCCATTGTGAGTGTGTCCGAGCCGGAGACCGATGCGCCAGACTATGGGAAAGTACCGCATCAACTTCTTGAAGACCTTCCATGCATAGTTTGAGAGCTGTGGACCCAGTTGGACCGTTCGACCCATGGGTGTCCCAGTTCGAACCGCTGTGGTCCTGATCCCATCTCTATCTTCCACGTCTATCTCTATCCGCGGCTTGAAGCGTTGTGTGATCAGCGTCGAAATTATGAACAACAAGGGCTGCGGGTCGGATCACCAACAGCTGCCGCTGCAGTCCTCAGCACGAACATCCAAGGATGTGTACAGTAGTACGCTAAGGGAGTGCACTTCTAGCGTTTAATGTAGTAATGTGAGCGGGACCGCCGTGGATTCCGAGAGGAGTCATCCAGATGCGCTCGGTTTTTTTTGCGGTGTCATATGCGAGCGGTGACTTGGGTATCGATGCCTCTGACAAGTGGAGAGAGAGAGCTATGTAGTCTTTCCTAGATGTCTTTTCTCCTTTGTACAGTACATCTATGACTTTGTCACCTCGATTCGAATGGGCTTCAGTAGAAGCCGTTTACATTGAATCTAGTAAGTAAAGTTGTGTGTGAGTACGTATATGTTGCGCATCACCGGCAGGTCACTCAGTTTTCCAAGCTTTCAATGTTTCTGTTGCTATAATAATTTAAACTCAGTTCACCGACTTCAGATAACCGAACCCGAATCAGACGTACCTTGGTGTTTGCATTCCGACGAGGGGGAAGGGGCAGCGGGGTGGTGTACCCATAAATCGCCTGTTGCTCAGGCATCGCAAATCCCCGGCGAGCGTCCGAGTCCGCGGGCTTCTGCTGCTGCTGCGTCTGCTGGACAGGCTCGCTCCGAGGGAGACTGTTGATATAGGCGACCTGGTCGATGATGCGACGGCCGATGATCACTCCATTGGCGCCGCGCTATCAAGATGATAAGAAATCTTTGGTATCAGTTCGACGAGCTAAAAGCACTCACCACGCCGTTGTGAGCATTAGAGTTGGCTGAGCTTGAGTTGGTCATTGGGGTGGTGAGTTGTGCAGAAACTCAGCTGTATGATTCCCTTATAAATGGGACTTGCAACGGAGAGCAAAGCCACGGCTTATGTCCAACATGGCTTCATTTGCGGCTTGGACAGTGAGGAAACCGACGCTTTGATCCCTTGCAGCACTCAACAAAGCGACAGCGAAAATGAAATGGCTCACGAAAATCGCATCGCGGGGTGATTTTGTGCCGAAAATCGTTTTCTGTCGAATGGGCTACTTCAAGACTGCGGACCAAGCCCCAACACGAGTCCAACAAAGCCACGTGATCCAAATTTCAACCCCAACGCGTGACCTGGTCGATTCTAGGCCAAGCTCTGGGACTCAATCAATCTCCATTACACGCGTGTCAGATGAGACAAGATGGCTACAGAGAAGCTAGACGATATTTCCACGCTGCCCGTCTAGAATATAGCCTTTTCAGAAACCCATCCGAAATATGTCCGTCCGCACTCACAAGCATTGCTATGGTACTTCCCGGTGCCCACAATGATATTATGCGGATCCTGCTCCTTGCCGTGGATATAGTTCGCCAGAATCACCTTGGTGCCCTCGGCATAGCGGACCTGCGCATCGAGCGTCGAGCCGGCATAATGCGGAACCATAGCGTTCCCGCCGCCGAGCGGATTTTTCATCGTGCGCCAGAGGTGGTCCTGCGGCGCCGGCTGGACGTCCCATACGTCGCCGGAGTAGCCGCGCAGGCGGCCGCTGGCGAGCGCGCGTGCCACGGCGTCTTTGTCACAGATCGCACCGCGGGCGGTGTTCACGAGCCAGGCGCCGGGCTTGAAGTACGAGAGGAGCTCGTCGTTGATGAGATTCCGGGTGTCTTCGTGCAGTGGAGCGTTGACGGTGACAATGTCGCACTGAAAGTGTGATTAAGACGGAGCGGGGATGAAATAAAATGAGGCCTACTTGGGAGACCATATCCTGCAGTCAGACGTGATTCAGTATATTGGAATGGTAGTGAGGAGATAGATATGCCTTAAGATCCAAAATTCGAGTAGCTTTCACTGCCTTCGTCGCATCTGGCAGTTCTTAGCAACATTCCTAAAAAGAACGAGGTCTGCACACCTTCCGAAAGAGGATTGTAGTCATAGTACAGATAACCCTTCAAGTTGAATCTGATCACATAGTTTGACGAGTTTCACGAGCGGCAGAAGCCCACTCACGGCTGCAACCGCTGCAGGACGCGGTACCCGATGCGACCCGCTCCGATGGTCCCGACGACCTTGCCCTCGAGATCAAATGCGTCGCGGGCAATGTCTGACACTTGCCAGTCACCGCGCTCAATCATTTCGTGTGCGGGCACAAAGTTGCGAACGAGACTGAATGAAAACACTCAGGCGATAATGGATCTGGATTGCAGCTGCAACTTACATGAGAATGGACATGACGACGTGCTCGGCGACGGATACGACATTCGAGCCCGATACTTCGAGGACTTGGATGTGGTGGTCGACGGCGGCGTCGAGGTCAATGTGGTCCGAGCCTACTCCGGCGGTGATGCAGATCTTAAGCTCCTTCGCCTGGACGTGATCAGTCAGTGATCATGAGACAACGATTCCCCAGTATACTACCTTGTCCATAAGCTCGCGGGTGAGATACCCGGGATGAAATGGGGTGGTGATGAGCACTTCAGCCTGATATGGCTCGCGTGAGTTGAGCCTGGGTGGAACTTGGTAGTAAAGCTTACATCAACGATGTGCTGCTCGAAATGACTGTCCGGGCCATCTTTGCTACTGGATACTATCCTCTGTTCAGCGCAGTAAATTAATCTGCCACGCCACATACCGACGAGCTCGTGTCCCTGCGCAACAAGCCAGTCGGCGAGCCCCAGCTGAACTTTGTTGGGCAAACGGCCAAGACACATCATGCGTGTGTTAAACGAACTTTATTTTCCGTCGTCCCAAGCAAACGGGGCTCTTTTACCGCAGCTTCACCACCGTCATACACAATAGCCAGTACCTGAAATGAGTCAAGAAAATGGGAACGTGAACGCGGATCTCAAGGACCTTCATATTCAGTCGCTTGGGGTCGAGATAAAATCGGGGCGAGAGTTGCAGATGATGCAGATTTGTCGCAAGGGTGTTAGATTTTATACCAAACTCAACTAGATGCATGGTACAACCTAAATGAGCCAGGGCACGCAATGAGGAATTCACCCCGCTCATGATGCGAGCCCGAAGACAAAAGAACCCGTCTCGAACATTCGGAACCGGGCCAGCTGCAGCCGGATCGGGCGTCCAAAGGCGCCTGCTCTTCTCAGTTGGATCGCTTCGTAACCTTTTGGAGATATAATCCGCAGCGTCATGTATTCGCATGCGAACATTCCGCGTTTGATATCGATGTTCACATTTGCGCAGTTCCAAACAAGAAGAATGAACGAAGCTGTCCACGCACGCAGCCAGTTCCGCCAAATCCGAATAGCTCATCTGGGCGTCGACTCAGTTGGACGGGTCAGCCTTTTCGGAAAATCGGTGGGTGGAATCGGCGGAGCAGTTCTTGAGCAGCGAGAGAGCCGCTGTCACGATGTCCCCTCGCATTCGAGGTGAAAGACTGACAGTCAGCAATTCTGTAAGAGGTCATGTTGACAAATGGGCTTTTCTGCAGCTACGAGTTATGAGTCATCGAAAGACAGAGTGCGAAGTTATTGACACTCATCGCATAAACCGCGTTTATTTTACATCCGAGAGCTTCGCTACGCTCGGAAGTCAGCTAAGCACAGCGCTGGGAATCGCGGAGAAACGGTTTGGAGTGAGAAACGAGCCTCAGCTGGTGTACCATTTTCGTGTTCCTCTATACCACACTGGGGACGACGCGTGGTGCACCGATTTCTGGCAGATTTGCTTGGCTTTGTGTCACATGTTTATGGCATGTGACCGTGATTGCGCTGTGCACTTCGCAAGTCTGGCATCAGGGAAGAGACGAAGTCCTATGTTTCATTCCAGCCTACAGCGATGAGACACTGCAGCCCCTTCCATTTGGAGCTCCCGACGTACGGGGATTGTCGGCCTGCGCGTGTGAAGACGAGATTATATATGATGTCAGGAGCTAGAAGCCCCGATCACGCTCCACCGATCTTGAATGTGGACTGTCTTGACTGCCATGAATTCTCAAGGTGCGTGGCCCGCGCAGCGAGGGCAACGTCGCACTCATCTTTTCCCCCAGTCGAAGACGAGACCCATGGCGGCCTGCACTCCGCGCCCCCGTTCCACGCGGCCAAAGCGCTCACCCGGCGAGCATACCACCCTGATCCGCCCGCCAACCGCTCGCCGTGGGTGATGTGGGTTGGGAACGTGCCCAAGGACACGACGACGGACGAGCTGCTGTGCTTCTTCTCCTCCCCGGCGTGCGGCGAGGGCGGGCACCCGGGCTGGCCCCCGTCCGCCTTTCAGCAGACGCACGGCGTGCACTCGGTGTTCCTCATCTCGCGCTCCAACTGCGCGTTCGTCAACTACGACAGCGATGCGCAGCTGCGTGCGGCGGTGGCGCGGTTCGACGGGGCGACGCTGCGGCCGGCGAGCACGCTGAAGCTGGTGTGCCGGGTGCGGAACGAGGAGGACAATCTGCGGGCCGGGGTCGGTGGGCAACGAGGGATGGGGCTTCATCGGCAGTGGATCGAGGAGCAGCGGGGTGACAGCGGGATGTCATCGAGCACGGAAGGGTCGCAGTCGACGTCATCCAGTATGCTGCAAGCGCATTTCCCGCACCGGTATTTCATCCTCAAGGCTCTATCGCAGGACGACTTGGACACGTCTGTTCAAACCGGGTCATGGACGACTCAAAAGCACAACGAGGGCGTGCTCGTTCAAGCGTTTCGCACAGCCAAGGACGTTTTTATCTTCTTCAGTGCTAACAAGAGCGGTCGGTTCTACGGCTATGCCCGGTTTGTATCGCATGTGTCTCAGGCATCCTGATCGCCAGTTCTTACCCAAAACGTCAGGATTGCGGGTATCGAGGACAACTCGGCACCTGTGCGACCGTCAACTCTCAAAATGCTCAGCTCGCAACATCAAGTCGACCGATCGCCTAGCCCGCTTCCAGACGATCACGACCCAATGCAGCAGCCACCTTCTCTTCTTCAATCTGTTTCTGCTCCCCCCATCTTGGCCGACAAGCAAACGAACAAAGAGCCGCTGGGGATCAAATTCAGCCTCGATCAGCACCTGGCACGGAAGGTCATGAGCCATTCCATGGATGCTCCCGCTGCTGAGCCGGAGCCCGAGTACCACGGCGGCGGCGGCGGCGGGGAGGACGAAGAGGACGGCAACAGCGAACCTCGTCAGTTTCGGCTGGAGTGGATCGACACGCGACCGGTCCCGTTCCAGCGCACCAAAGACATCCGAAATCCGTGGAACGGGGATCGGGAAGTCAAGATCTCAAGAGATGGGACCGAACTGGAGCCGTCCGTTGGGGCGGCGTTACGGAGAGCGTGGGATGCGCTGCCGTGATTCCTGTGGCTGACTCTGGGCTGTTATACACGCGCACTAGGTAGTATTTGTGGCTTGAGGTCTTTCTCCCTGTCTGTGAATCTTCGATTTGTGATTTATTCATTCAGCCTTTGTAAGATGGCGACTCTAGTCCTCAACGGAAAGCTCCTGGGACTCGGTGGGTGTTTCCGAGGCTCTCCCAGTAATCAGCGTACGAGGCGCGTAGGCTCCGACCTGGAGCAAAACGCTCTCAGGCGGGGAATCGAACCCCGGTCGCCCGCGTAGGCATTCAATATGACAAGCGGGAATCTTAACCATTGGACCACCTAAGACGACGGCGGAGTCGGACGGAATCATGTCTCCTCTAGCGATGTTGAGATCTTCAATCGGCTATTCCTATTCTCCCTCTTAATCGGGATCTATGTATTGTACCCCGATTGTGAAACAAAGTGAAATGCCTCCAGGAAGTGTAGAAGAAGATTGGCGTTGAGATTATCCTCACAGGTCATAAGTCTGCTCGTCCCGCGATCGGGGCAAGCGCAAGTTCGAACTGGATTGCAACATTCTCCTATGTTGACCAACCTCAGTGTACTATGTTTCATCCCTTCAGACCATTTTCAGTACAGGACTGCATGTTGCAACATACAGTCGGGCAGTGACTGTCCGGGGCGCAATGCACTCCCAGTGTCCCGATCATCTGTAGTTATGAAAATGTTGCCCGGACTGATTCTTCGCTGGATAGAATCATTCCAGAGTCAATTTCGGATGCTCAACGTCTTCACACCTGGTAGGACAGGGGTTGCACTCAATCCGTGGATCACGACCGGTCCTCTGTTGACGCAGGTCTTCCCGTATATGTGTGAGTGTATGTGCAGCGAAGCATCGATATTCAATAGGTCTTGTTCATGGACGTGCCCTCCACATATTCATGCATATTTGTATGCAACAATGCGAACACAGCAACGTTTTATATGGAAGTGGATGGAATGCAAAGGCCAGAACACAGAGTCGTTTGTGCGACAGGAGGGCCAAGTGAAGCAGTTGCAATGGAGGGGAGCTTCAGTTGTTCGTGAGAGAGAAGTGTGATGAGTCTGATGACGCCGTCACAAGATGTCGTGATGATCTCCAGCTTCATCATCACTCTCGCTTTGGCCACGTCGCTTCTCGCACTCTGACCGATGAGTGAGGGAAATGTACATTCAAGTAACACAGATACACATTGTGGCATCTCAGCCTACACGGGCATTGCTTCAATCACGCCCACGCGGCATCCCACCCAAGAGAGCTACGATCCCAATTCCCCTGCTTACCTCCAAATACAATCCAGCCGAGGGTCTCGCTCGTCATGATAGCAGCCCGGACAAACGCCGACCCATCTAGCTGACTCGCTCCCTCGTGCGTCTCCTTTCCAGCACTATCCACCGCACCAGGCACCGCACCGGCAGCCGTCTGGCCGAGCCGCTGTGCAGCGTAATACAGCGCGCGGATCGTCTTGATCACATGCGAGTCCGCCTGTTCGTACGCATTCAGCGTGACCGGCAGCCACGGGTTGGCCGCACCGCCCGGCTGAGCCGGGGCGACATCCGCATACGACATCAGCAACGCTGGATTCACGCGGGGCCGACCGCGCGCGATGGTCCACAGCGCAGATGCGATCGCGTAGCCCTGGAGCACCTGCGCCTTGTGGAGCTTGTTGGGGAGCGCGGCCAGCAGCGGCGGCAGGGCCATGGCGCTCGTGAGGATATGCATGAGGAAGAAGTCCACCCGATTCTCGCGTCCGGGGCGCCCCGCCGCTGCGGTCAGCAATGTGGCCTGCCAGAAGCACTCGTCTACCTTCTTCTCGCACTCGGCGTCGAAAGCCGAATCGGAGAGCGTTGTGTCGAGCGACCACTGGGCGTATAGCCGACGGAGTTCAGCACCCCGGGCGGGCGACGCCGTCAAGTCGTTGAACCCGATCCCAAGCACGTCGCTGGGGTTGTAAGGGGCCAGTGGAGCAAGCGTAGGCGAATCGTAGACTTCGCGGAGGACGGACAACAGCGTTGTACCACTGGTAGGAGTGGTGGAGAGCTCTGGCAAACCAGAGGGGTGACCGGACAAGATCGAGACGAAGTCAGCATCCACGACAGCGCAGAGAGCGAGACCTGGCTCAGAATCCTCAGTGCGACCCCTGCATTTCCGTTTCCGGACACGCACCTTGGGCAACAACACAGTCTTGACCGACCTCGACGCCGAGCTGGACCTCCCATCAGCCAGATCTCGCGTTAACGAATCTGCACTTACTCCCACGTGAATGACAGGATGTATCCTGACACAACAGTAAGGAGATGCGACGAAACCGTAGAGCGACCACTTACGCGCCGCTAAACAACCGGCTCAGCATCGCAGCGCCGTTTGCGTTCGCCGCCGGAGCCAGCACATACTCCTCGATCGTCTTCTGGACGCCGAGCGCTTCGATCTTCTTCTCGAAGAAGTGAAGGTAGCTCGCATACGCGCTAGTAGTCAATCGTCAGCTGGGGGCTTTCCGCCTGCTAGATCGGCTGCCGTACTTTCGTTCGCCCAGCCTCGTCGTCCACGTCTGGTCCGTGAAGTTATCGTGTTGGGGTCCCAAGGGCAGGAGCGGCACGCTCTCTCCCTCGTAGATCTTCTCCAGCAAAGCGGGAGTCGCGCCCAGGTCGTAGGCTGCAATCAAGCTGGCGCGGTTTGTCATCAGCGACTGCGGATCATGAAAAGCATGGAGAGGGACGCACTGGTGGGAATTATGGTTCTTGAATCCGCGGTCATCGAAATAGCAGTGATGGTCGCGGGCATCCCGCGCCAGCAGTTCCTGCAGCTTTCGGGCGGCCTCAGGTGTGTTGGGAGTGTTGACAAGGCCTTGGCGGAGAGGTTGATACATGGTGTTCCTCGATATTTCTGGCCATCTAGGAAAGATACAGTCCTTTTTATGCACTGTCCGTGGCAGTCACCGGATCGTGCTCGAGGACAACGACTGAAGAGTAAGATGGATGGATCACCCAACGAACAATGCATAAGGGAGGATTAGAAATCATGTTTCGCGTTTATTCGGCTTACTGATCCTTGAATCTAGGCTCAGATCGTCCAGCATAGAATTCTCCAAGTGGCCCTTTCCTGCCGTGTTGATGTCGCGGTCAGCATCCTGGCAAAATTTCTGCATAAGCCGAATTGCAAAAGGCTACAAGGTCACTATGCCGTTTCTCCTATTTTCCCGCTGTGCTAGCGTAGCATCCATGTTCGACGTACATGCTGTTGTGTAATCATCTCGTTGGATGCAATGCCGGACTGTACGCGCGTACAGCGAAGCTCCCCTGGTAAGCAAGACTCCCACGGCTTGGCCAGTGGCCGTCGCGCAGTGCGTGCTAATTCTCCGAAATTCTGAGAGGATATCTTGATCACGGATAGAGAAGACGATGGCAATAGCGTTAGTATTGTATTACACTAGACCTAGTTCAATGCATTGATCACCCTCAATGAACACTGCCATCAACACAGCTCCGCGGGCAGGCGGGGTTTCCGCGGGGTCTCATTTTGCGAGAGATAGATATTATACATAAGCCCTCTGTAACCTAGGCTCGCTTCCCCCGCTTTGGCCGAGTCTCCTATGCTTTTGCAGGCGACCGGGATACGATTTCTCTTCGAGTGTGTTATTCCTCCGTGTCGGAGCCATACTCAGACGCTGAAGACAGGAAGAACCTTCGAAATACCCCGAGTGGAAGCTTGTGCCATGTATCCTATGCATTCAAGCTGTGGACAAGAAAAAAACTGTGGTATCGCTTGACGACTTTATCCAGCGTTGTTCGCTTCCTCTGGCTAATGAGAGGGGTGAAATTACATTCAAACAGCTCGGACACATATCATGGCATTTCAGTCTAGACGGAGATTTCTCTAATCAAACCCACGCAGCATCCCACCCAAGAGAGCTACGATCCCACTGCCCTGGTTCGCCTCCAAACGCAACCCAGCCGAGGGTCTCGCTCGTCATGATAGCAGCTCGGACGAAGGCTGACCCATCGAGCCGACTCGCTCCCTCGTGTGTCTCCTTCCCATCGCTATCCACTGCACCTGGCACCCCGCCAGCAGGGGTTTGCCCGAGCCGCTGCGCCGCATAGTACAGCGTGCGGATCGTCTTGATCACATGCGAATCAGCGTGCTCGAGAGCATTCAGCGTGACGGGCAGCCACGGGTTGGACTCACCGCCTGGCTGGCCCGGGGCAAGGTCGGGACACGACATCAGCAGCGCGGGATTGATGCGGGGCCGACCGCGCGCGATGGCCCACAGCGCAGATGCGAGCGCATGGGCTTGGAGCAGCTGGGCCTTGTGCAGCTTGTTCGGGAGCGCAGCTAAGAGCGTAGGCAGCGACACGGCGCTGGTCAGCGTGTGCATCAGGAAGAAGTCGATCCGATTCTCGCGCCCGGGGCGCCCCGCTGCTGCGGTCAACAATGTGGCCTGCCAGAAGCACTCGTCCACCTTCTTCTGACATTCGGCTTTAAAGGCCGAATCGGTAAGTGTTGTATCGAGCGACCATCCGGCGTATAGCCGACGTAGCTCAGCGCCCCGGGCCGGTGACTCCGTCAATCGGTTGAAACCTAAGCCAAGCATATCGCGCGGATTGTATGGGGCAAGGGGACCAAGCGTAGGTGACTCGTAGACCTCGCGGAGGATAGACAAGAGCGTTGCACCACCGGTAGGAACTGCGGAAAGCTCAGGCAAACCCGAAGGCTGACCGGACAAGATCGAGACAAAGTCGGCATCTACGACAGCGCAGAGAGCGAGACCTAGCTCAGGTACTCAGTGGAAAGGCTTGCAGTTCCGATTCCAGACACTCACCTTGTGCAACGACACAGTCTTGACCAACCTCGACGCCGAGCTAGTTCTACTATCAGCCAAGTTTCGAATCAACAAAAGCACACTGACCCCCACGTGAATGATCGGATGCACGCTGAACAGGTGGTAAGGAGTGTGACATAATGGCGCAGCGACTGACTTACGCGCCGCTAAAAACCGGCTGAGCATCGCAGCGCCGTTCGCGTTCGCTGCCGGGGCCAGCACGTACTCCTCGATCGTCTTCTGGACGCCGAGCGCTCCGATCTTCTTCTCAAAGAAGAGGAGATAGCTCGCATATGCCCTGGTACCCAACCATCAGCTCGAGGCTTTCCACATACTTGACTCAGCCAACGTACTGTCGCTCGCCCAGTCTCGTCGTCCACGTCTGATCGGTGAATATATCGTACTGGGGGCCTAGGGGGCGGAGAATCACACTCTCCTCTTCGTAGATTCTCGCCAGCAAAGCCCCAGTCGCACCCAGATCGTACGCTGCAACCAAACTGGGGCAATACATCAGCGACTGTGCGGCGCACGGAGAGCGCGCAGAGGGACGCACTGGTGCGCATTGTGGTTCTTGCGCCCGATGTCATCGAAAAAGCAATGATGTTCTCGAGCATCCCGCGCCAGCAGCTCCTGCAGCTTGCGGCCCGCCTCGGGTGTCGTGGGAGTGTTGACGAGTCCTTGGTGCAGAGGTTGATACATTGTTGCTTCTGGTCATCTGGGATAGATGCAACCCTTCTTATACGCTCTCCGTGGTGGTCGAGAATCACGATTGCAGAGTAAGGTGGAATGGATCACCCAATCAACATTGAATAAGGCAGAATTAAAAATAGTCTTTCGCGTTATTCAACTCACCGTTTCCTGTGTCTAGGCTCAGATCATGTAGGAAAGAACTCTTCAAGTGGCCCTCTCATGCCGTGTCCATGTCGCGGTTAGCAACCCGGTACGAAGTCTGCATAAGCTGAATTGGAAAGAAGGTTAAAAGGACACTGTACCATTTCTCCTATTTCCCGTTCTGCCGACGTTGCACTCGCGAGTCGCGTCCAACGCACTTATGTGCTGCGGTCCGACAGAATGTTGGATGGCATGCGCGTGAGAAGAAGTATCCTAACCCGGTCTGTGGCGGTGTCGGTTCGAGAGCAAGAAAGTTGGGCGTGATCTGTCAGATACCCATACGAGTCGCACTTTGCTGCAGCCAGAAGCCAAGACTTCGACGGCAGGTTAGTGTCGTGTGGAGCGTCAGACTTCTCCAGAAATTGCAGGGGAAGTTCTTGACGACGGACAAAGACCGAAAATGGTTGGTGACAGTATTATACAGGGACTCTTTTCCACTATGGATGAATGCCATAAGCTCTTTGTCCCAAGCATCCCACTGATATGTACAATAAGTCATTGAACACGACCGAAGAATGCAAAACGGCCCTGTGCATATCATGTAACTGGTAGCCTGACTGAAGGAGATCGCAAGCAAACGATGGGATAGAGACGGTCGAAGGTCAGGACATTCGTAAACGGAGGCCAGAGAAAACGGCCAAGTCCTCAAGGAACTCACAGCGAAAAGAGAGAGACTTGTCATGCACCATAGAACACAGACATTGTAACAATGGAACAATACACCTGGTAAGACGGATAGAACTCGGGTATGGCAGCTATCCGGAGATTAGGAGAAAAATAAATAAATGACCGTGTCCTATGCAAGACGCGTATGTTTTATCTTTGCAGGGACCCGGGATCAATCAGCCGCATTCACACTTGTCGGTGGCGACTGGGGTCGGCCATCCACAGTTTCCAGGCCGCTATCAGCGCTGACCCAGCACTTGGCTCGAGTTCGGTCCCATCCCTCGAGATTTTGATCTCACGGCCTCGATTCCAGCCGTTGACGATGCTGCGCGTTCGTTTGAAAGGCAGAGGCTCGCGGCACAGCCATTCGACGGTGAACTGGCCGCTGAAACTAGGCATCGGTTGCGATTGTCCTTCACTGGGTGCTGGATCGTTGACTGCAAGATCGGGTTCAGGTTGATCATCGAGCGGTGGATCAGGGCCGAAGTGCTGTGAAGTCGGGAGGGGTAGTCGACTCGGGCTGAGAGATCGATGCTGACGAACTCCAACCCTATCAAGCTCCCCAAACTCCGAAACTCGGCCGCTCAGAACACTGGGTGCCGACTGGGTGGCACCTGAATGGGATGAATAAGGCGATGCGACTGGCACGACCAATCTCGGAGACGTATCGTGTGGGGTGGGATCCGATGCGAGGGAAACCGACTCCACCACCGGGCTGATCATTCTGAACGCACGTGTAAGCGAAAACGTGGATTCGATGAATGTGGAGGACGTGCTTGGCATAGCCGTAGAACTGGCCACTTTTGTTCATGCTGAAGAACAGGATCGTCTCTTGAGAAGTGCGGAACGCTTGATCGAGCACCACCTGATTGTGTTTCTGGATGTACCAAACACCGTCCACAGCACATCGGTCCAGTTCTTCCTTCGTCTGACACTTGAGCACAAAAAAGCGCTGGGGAAAGTGTGTCTCAAAGAAACTCGAAGTTGTTGACCCGTCTGAAGCTGAGCTCGGCGAATGGCTATCCGGCACACCCAGCGCTGGGTGTGGAGGCTCCGTATGGTCCTTGATCCACTGCCGGTGCAGTCCCATTCCTCGCTGTCCACCGACTCCAGTCCAAAGATCGTCGTTGAGAGTGCGAACCCGACAGACCAGCGGGGGCCCCATCGACCACTCAGTGCGGAGATACCTCCCGTCACATCGCTCAATCGCTGCAGTCAAGTGCGCCTCGCTCGCAAAGTTCACGAATGCGCAGCTCGACTTGGAGAGCAAAAATGTCGACACGACGCCGTGATCAGGAAATTGGGTGAAAAACGTCTCGAGATCGGTTTCATCGGCATGCTTCGGCACGTTACCGACCCACATTGCCCATTCAGACCGGTCTGCAGGTGCATCGGGGTGGTACACCCGACGCGCTGTCGGTTTCCGGATGGGAGACGATGTCACCCTGGGCGCGGCAGATCCTCGGTCTGGTGGGATCGACGATGGTCGACCGATGATTTGTGACGATTGTTCCTGCCCTGATGCTGGTGGACCACCACCGGCGGAGAGTCGACGATGTTCTTCAATAGAAAAACGTCAGCTTAGGAAACGTGAAGAGGGAAGACGTGCCTCCTGCCTGCATACAAGGACCGAGATCGTAGTCTCCCAGCTAGAAGCACACACAGGCGATGATCGCCCGCTCGTGGTGTCCGTGGGGAGTTTTAGGGTAGGCCAGTGCTTCGTCTCCGTTACGAGACGCTTGTGACATCATAAGCAGACACGGTCCTGTGAGTGATCATATAACAAAACGTGGCCGGTCATGGTCTCCGGCGGGTCGGATGGAGAGTAGGAGAGAGACGGAGAGGGAGGAAGACGGCGGTTGTTGGTGTCGCATGGAATGTAACCTGAAATGAGCTTGCATGATTTATTGTGGTTTGTGTTGCCCTCCCATGATCCCCCTCTGCGAACAAGGCCCGACGCCCATCCTTGCGAACTCGTGCAATGTCACGCTCAACAAGTCTTTTCGTCCATACTCATCGTGTGCGGCCCAGAGCAGTGGGAAACAACCTCTGGACGTCCGCTGGGAAGCAGCGAGCATCCTGGGAAGGAGAGCGATCTTGATGGACTGGTTATTGGCTTGTCAAGACAAAATGTCTGGTCCGTCGATGCCGCTGCCTCAAAACGGCATGCTCAGTCCGGTGGACCTACCACAAGCAGTCTTGCCCTTAGCTGCCCCTCCATCATCTCTGTCACTTCGGTTTCACAGCCAATCTGCCTCGAGATCAACATCCGCTCCAGGAGTTTGATGAATCGACAAGTTTCGTCCTTGGTGGACCCAGCTTCGAAACAGGCCAATGAGGTGGCAGAAATCAGCCCCACTTGGCTACATGACCGAGGGGAGTTCGACGCAGGGATAGCCTTCAACCGGGTCCAGGAATGATTATTGATCAGGTGCCCGAGACTATTCGCTCCCAAAGGATGTCTTGGAGTCCAATGCATCGCTTCCTGCTCCAGCAAGAGGCCCTCGGTCGAGACCCGTGTCGCGTGACTCGCAGATGCAGTCGCCCGTCTGGATTGGATACGCCAGTCTCTCGATGTCGCGAACGCGACTTCCGCTGGTGCCCTCTCCAGTGTGGATTTAGGTTCTGGACGCTCGATAGAATGGATGAGGGCTAGAGCAGCTGGTGGGCAATGGATTGGAAGGTCCTGAGGTTCGACGGAACCACCTGTGCAGACATACATGATGCGATGCGCTGCCAGCCAGATCTCGGGATTATCTTGAGCAGCAGTGCCAATATTCCTCAGTTGTCGCCGTGGAGAGATAATGCTAGCCCGGGCGGAGATTCTGCACTCACAAACGACTATCAATCAATGGCCCACCTGCCCTGGTCTACAACGATGATTGGTCGACGAAGAGCTCTTGGCGAGGTGGAAGGACGATAGTCAACGCGGGAAGGAGCTCCCATTCGACCATTGTCAATGTGGCGTAGTGAGGGAATGGGGGTGAACATGTTTCCATCTCGCGTCCGGTTCGTCAGCTGAGTCCTCTCCCTCTAGACTAGAGTTCAGCACGGCAAAAAACACAGCAGGGAATGAGCCGCACTCCGACATGGATTCCGTTGATCTCCTCACGATCCCATAGTCGACATTCCCTAGTTTGGCGTTCTCGACGTCTGCGAAATCGTTGTGTCGTGGTGTGTTTGCATGGACAGGGCAGTTGGTCCAGCCGCAGAAGCGGTGGTCTTTGCTTGGTTGATCGCATTCACATCAACCTCCGCATTCGCGTGAGCCAAGCGGGTCCTGAGCCTCCAATCCAATGTCGTTGACTTTTATTCGGCCCCACGGCTAGCAGAGGACGGCCCAGCAGCTCGGCGACCACCTGATGGACAACAAGGACTCCCTCGTGCGGCATTCCTGACCGCAGTCTGAGAAGAGTGCGACACCTGAGCGGGGTGACGCCATCTCTGGCAACCAGGTCCAACAAGACAGCCCGATCGTCTGGCACGACCACTCGATCGACAACCGCTTCCACTCGATGCAGAACGAAGTCCAATGTGGTGGGCTCTGGCGCTCGGACGTAGGCAGGGGGACTTGTCTCTCATAGTCTGTGACTTGCTGTATGCTTCTCGACGGAAATGGGATCGGGGGCTCAGCGGAGAGCATGGATTTGGAGCTGGATGAGTGCGGGTTTATCTTCGGCGCCAAACGCCATCGGAAAGCCAGCTTGTGTTGCGATGACCTCTCTGTCGCTTCATTGACCTAACTGGATCCGAATCATACACGAGCGCAAAAGGATTGAGGCGATTTGTATTCGACAATATTGGCCAGGATCGCCCTCCTCTTCAAGCAGAGGTGGGCCTGCCGTAGCTTCGCATCCTTCGCCCGTTGACGAAAACAGTCCCACGTTGGCGAAGAGCCATGTAGAAGATGAGAGCCTATTGACATTGGCACTTGCCTTGTCTCCACAGAATTTGTGGCCGTCCAGAGTTTTCCGTCGGCCGGCGGTCATGGCTGAATGCGGCTCCCAGTCCACCCACGCCTTTGTACAAAGCCTACTGTGGATCACAGCTTTCTTCGTGTTCCTCCACGTCATGTTGCTAACATCGTGGGTAGAGCGTGACCGTCCGTTCTGCGTGAACTAGCCCGAAATCGATGAGAACGCAGCAACCAGGGTGGAACGAACACCAACTGTGTCTTGACCGCTTGTGGAGAACACTATCCAGATGCATTCGATTGTGCATCCACCCGTGACCATATCATCGAGGTCGAAAAGAGCGCAGAGGCCAGCCAGAAAGCCATACGGACGAAGAGAATTCCTAAAACGGACGACTGCACGGGGAGTCACTGCCATCGCTTCACGTTTGTCCAGCTGTCCCAGCGTCCTCGACCGGTCTTTTCCAACCTCGCTCCGTGCTGCTCTCAGCTCTTCAAGTGTGCAACGTTTGAAGCTACCCGATTCCGTTATCTTCCCATCCGCAAGTCTGGCCTGCAGTTGCAGCTCGCAGCCAAACCGCAATCGGGTAGACGCACTGGACCAGATGTTGCCCCTCGGAAAGCTGTAATTGGGCTTTCTCGAAAGATGTTTGCCAAGTGAGAGGTGAGCGGCTCTCAGCTACGCATCGAGTTGAATTGTTGTGGAGAGGCTCATGTGCCTCCATTGTCCTGTTGTCGGACTAGGCCCAGAACACGGGCTGCTTGCGCTGAAGAACCCCCACGTCGCACAGGCTGGTCGTTATTGGGGGTGGTATTGCGGCCGGCTGGTGATCTCGATGCTTCACCGGTGAGTCCTCTATAGGTCCTGTCCCATTGCTGATTCGTCTCCAAGATTTTCCATTCGACCGTATTCAAAAAAGCACGAAACTAAATCGCGAAGGCAGCGTTTCGATTCGAGCCTTCCATCCATCAGTTAGCGGTGAAACGAGAGACATTGAATGGCAGCAAGGGTAGACGCACTTACGACTGCAGCACCGGGTTTTGAGTGATACCAGAGAACATCGTCTCGCCGTGGAGCTCCCCTTCCACGCGAGACCAAACCACCCTATTCTAGTCAAGAGTGCCCACGCGGATGATCGCCTAGTGTCAGGCCCTTATTCGCTGCTGCTTTGACTGGTTTCTCCTTCACGGTCCGAGTTCTTCACTCGACGGCCCCGATTCTGTGGGCGACACCAGATGGGGGAGATCGCTGACTACGTTGCCGACTGGTGCTGGGCTTTGGGCCTTGGAAACCTTGATACTGGATTGGAGGTTGAGCGGAGAATGCGACACGACTCCCGTGGCAAAAGATCCACGAACGGCCACAACCTCTGCCTATGGCGAGGACTGTGTGGCTCGAGGGCGACGACAAGCTTCACTGCGCGAGTCGCCTTGCGAGACTTAAGCTCTTGACCGTGCGACGAACTGCGAGGCGAGCGACGCGAATGGAGGCAGGCGACTTGATGCTGGCGCTGAAGGGAGCAGTCACCATGAAGGCCGGGATCCATGAGCGGCTGCGGCTTCTGTCTGTCGTGAAGACGGCTGTGGGCTCGCAAATCTCGAGCTCTGGATGATGCGATGAAATTCGAGCGAGCGCGGGCGATGGCGCGTGAAGATCGGGAAGGCTTGTCGAAGGAAGACTCGTGCCCAACGCTCTAAGTGATGCGGGACGTATCATCACCGCAGGCTGACGTGCACAGTCTCCTGCTCACGATGCTCGTCCTTTTGGAGTCAGACCGATGGAGGGAGCTTGCCTGCAACCCTGCACTTCAGTTCTCGCAGTTGCCGCAGAGCTACATCCCCTCCTCCTCCTCCCCAATGACGGCCTCGGAAGGTTGCGCATATCGGACGCTGGACAGCACAGAGATAGTGGCAGGGTCTGTCGCTGAAGCTGTCTGCACATGGTGACCAGCGAAGCCACGCCGTTTCAGTCATGGGAGATGGTGCTCTCGAGTGTGGCCGTCGGCTGTCGTTGGATGGAAGATCGAGGTCAAGCTGATTTCAAGACGACCTGTTTACTGGGAACTTGTTCGCCTACCCTCAGTAATTTCTTTACATAACCAAAGCTTTGGCTTTCCAGTCCCCGTCACGGTCTCCGTCCCCGTCCCCGATGCCTTCGCCACTCTTGCCCTGCATTTCGGACGCACAGGCATGGGAGTTGCTTTCATGCGGGCACTAACAGTTTTAGGCATACCGAAGTGAGGATTCCGTCAATTCTCCAGTCGCACCCCTCCTGGATGTTTATCAGGACCGGAACGCTCGCACTAGCCCGCTACCGCCGTCGCAAATCGACGGCGCTGGGGACGGATTATGTTTCTCCGCGGCGGAAAGCCATTTGGCAGGCGGTACTACTCTCCCCGCCATCATTCGCGATGACGCGTAACTGACGTTAAGCTCGAACTCGCCTCGTATTTTCCCGAGCTTCGCACTGTAGAACCGTTTGCTTTACTTGAGCACAAGTTTTCAAATATGACGGATATCTTGAACAAAGGCGACACGCTGGCCGGCGTTTGTTCACATTTCCAGGTCTCATGAATCATTATCTTCGGAATGAATCTCATTTGTTCGAACATGATCCGTCGAGCTGACGGCTCACGACCTTATCTCAGAAGCTGTCAGCAGTTATTGCAGTAATCCCACACATATCTTCCGCTGCCCGGATGACGATTGAGAAAACATACATAATTTACGCCGGGCCGGCATCTAAATGCATCAGACGCGCAGCTGGCCGACCTGGATTCAGGTGATCACCTGTGGAACTTGATTCATATTGTCAGTACACGGGCAAGCGAGGGAGCTTCCTCTTGGTGAGTTGAATCAAATGTGATCCTGGTCCTATGAAATCCTCGAGTTCAACACTCCACGAGCAAGCTAAGGAACGCATGACGACCCATGTTCATGATTATGATAATGAAGAGAGATGAATATTGAATATATAATGCCGTAGCCTAAAACAACGTTGCCTAGCGTTCTTTACCAATCACCAACGGAATGGTGAGACTCGCCTTCGAAGTTCTCCTTTCCCCAGCTACGATTAGGCCAATTGCTCCGTATGCCTCGCCGACTTCTCATCGATAAAATTTCAATCTCCAAAAGCGCACTTTGATACCCTGAATCACACTCTGATGGAGTAGTCAATCTCAGGGGACAATCAGGGACAATCCCTTGAGCTTCTTGCCGAGCCATCATCAATCGATGCACTGATTGCAGTGTTTGAGGGCTAACGAGAATAGACGACAATTGAGTCGACCTGAACAGACCTGAACACTGCTGTTCTAAAATTAAGACGGAGCGACGTAGTGTCGCAGGGCGCCAGATCACTGACATCACTCTGTTTCACCCGTCGGCATGCTCTTGGCGCGGTCTGCGTTCACCGCACTCCCCAGCGGCATAAAAGCTCTCTTTTGACACCATCGACAGTAGTTCTACCTAACAAATGGCCCGCTTCTCTGCCGCTGTAATCGCTTTGACGCTCGCGGGTGTCGCCACTGCGCAAGTCTGTTCCTCAGGCAGCTGCTGGACCAGCCCTTCCAACGCCACCGACCACGGATGCCAGACTTGGGCGGGCGGAGTCGATGCCTGGGCCACTTGTGGCTTCGAGGGAGCTGTGCGTCGCCATCTCTTTGTACTGAGTTGTCCTACGATGGACATTGACCATCCTCCTTCCCAGGTGACCTGCACGACCTGTCTGCCGTGCAACACCGAACACTGCTACACGTCTCCTTCGCAAGCTACTGGTGCCGGATGCACCGCCTGGGCTGGTGGAGTCGACGTCTGGCAGACATGTGGATTTGACGGAGCCGTGCGTTTCTTTACTCTTTCCGTCGATTCAAGGATGCTCCCTCAACTGCTTTCCGTCAACAGATCACTTGCAGAACCTGCGCCGCTTGAGTTGTAGTCCAGGACGCGCGCAAATAGTACATGCTTTGATACTTCTAATATAACACCTTTCTTGACGGTTGACGCTGGGACAGCTGGGGGCGAGGGAATCGGAGTGTGGCGATGCTCTGATAGGCGCGTGCGATGGCGGCGGAGAACAACGATCTGAGCTATCTACGGAACAATCGGCTTGACTATAGATCCGATCAGCACAGCCACCGATCACCCTTCCTTGCCCACCGACACATGTAGGTTCGGATCAAGCCTGACCATCATTATTTGTACTGATCATCGTGATGATGATCATGTTGGGGCCACAACAATTGGACAGGCTTGAGCCAAACTGTCGAAAAACAGGGACCTGGATAATCGACCTAGCGGACACAAACACGCTCCGATTGCCCAACACATCAGACCGAAGTCAAAGTATTTAAGTACCTGCACCACCCTGTACACTCTGGTCTGCTCTAAATCTTTTCAAGTGTCAATAAATGAGCAGTAAGTTGTGCTTTGTACCTTAGGAAGGAGGTTCCTGAACGGGGTCATTTCTTGACCAAAACTGGTGATGTTGGGTTCTAGAAGCAAGGGAACATGTCTGGGACTCCATCTGCCAACTCCGCACTTCATCTGGAATGCGAACACAGGGAATGTAACTGTCTTATTGATCACTAACGCGTCTGGTCACACATGTGACATTGGTGACCGTCAGTGAGTGTTGTATTTCTGCGTGTGAATCCCGCTCCTTACCCAATTTAACTGCATGAATTTCCTTTGATGTGCATTTGTAAGGGATCGAGTCTCTAAAAACACAGATTAATGGTTTTCCGATGAGAAATTGTGGGACCAACAACTTAGCCAAGGCTGCGATCAAGCACAATTCCAGCGAGCATCCAGCATCTTATGCTCATTTCTGACCTGACAAAATGATGGCCGAACATCCTCCTAAGACACATATTTGAAAAATTACTGAGGTAACAGAGTTGAATGAAGAGCAAATGCAAGTTTCATGGGTCCTCTTATTTTGACAGTCTGTCCCAAGCCTGTCTCCGACAAGGCCGGCTCGCCGGCCCGGAGCAGGCTTGCTCTGAACCTACGACACATGTGCCCCCCCTCCTCGTGGCGACGTCCCGACGCCAACCACCCCCCTCGCTGCCAGGTACGCGTTGTGGATATACTCCAGATCCGATCCCTTCTTCGGCACAAATCGCCTCAAACACCTCGCATTGAACAGCCCCGCCACCGCGACACCACCCATTGTCTCCAACTCGTAGGAGTTCAGCAGCTTCTTCCTGACCCGATACGGCGCACCCCACGCAAACACCAGCTTCTTGGCAGCCGCCATCGTCGTTTCCAATTTCCCCCTGTTCACCTGCACTAGCTCGCCCGGTTCGAAGACGACTTCACCCGGTTTGCGCCCCACCAGCCTCTTGTCGAATGCTTGTTTCCGCCCCATCGCGTATCTGACTCGCTCCGCATAACGGTCCAGCCTCGCCTGTGCTGTCATAGCCATGTTCAGCTCCACGTCGTCTTCCAAGAGGGATCGTTCCGCGTCTGTAACCGGTACTTTCAGTGAGTCAACTATTGTTCTGAAGAGCAGCTCTAGGCAAGAACTTAACCGTGGGCAGGATCCTCCAGTTGAGGATATGCACCGCCCGTTCCAGCATCTCCGGCCAGTCCCTTGGAAGTCTGTCCCATGCCAGCTTGTCAAATGCGTCAACGCCTACGTCCGGCCCACACAGCCACGCAAGAACGAAGAGGAGAAGTCGGTTGGTGCCCTCTACGAGGCCGTTGATCCAGGAGGCATAGGCGGCAATGACATGGTGTGTGGCCCCCCACTTCGCGCAGAAGTCCCGTACCTGCTGATTGTTGAATGTGAGCCACCGTCGGACATAAACGTCCCAGACGGAACGTAGTCCATGAAGATCCTGTGTAATGCATCGGTTGTTGTCTTTGCCGTGCCGTGCGACTTGAATTTGAACGCCCAGACGTGTTGCGAGAACGTGTCCACAAACAACGCTACCGTGTGGAACCCTCCTTTCCCGTCCGGTAATTTGAGGTAGTCCCCTATGAGGAGCTCAAATGGCTGCTGGCGTGTGACTGGTTCTAGCTTTGCGTGCACGTGTTTCGGCCCAAATGCTTTGCAACGGCCACAGTCCGCGATCGCTTCCAAGATTGACGCGTCCAGCCCCAGGCTATGGAAACGGTCCATCAGTGCAATCTTCACGGCATCACGCCCAAAATGGCCATGCTCAGCGTGGACCTCTGTGGCCTTGTCAACTGCCTCCTTCCTGGTGATGCACTCCCTCCAGGATCGTGCTCTGACGCTGCTGCCACCTCCAAGGACCCACAGCTTGCCGTCCTGCACAAAGTATTTGCTTGCTCGGTGCCTTGCTTGTTTCCGTGTGTCGGACGATGCGTGTCCGTCCAACTCGAGGATTGCGTCCAAGACCTTGAGGAATAGTGGTTCGCTGGACAGGCGTGTTCGTAGAGCCGCTGCGCCCTCGGGCAGCATCATGACGGCGACCCCTTGGCTCTGGCTTGTATCCCCCGAGGTCTGGCATGCACCGCTAACAATATCAATTGCAAAGAGGTCGTTGACAACACCAGCTCTGCCGTCCCAGTCCGGTGCCATGGACCACCCACTGCCGTCTCCATCCACCCGGTGCTTGCCTTCATACTGTCGGCTGATCAGGTCTGCTGCCACGTTGGTGCTACCCTTGATGTGTTTCACAGCAACGATATTGTGGCCGAAGATGCCCTCCTGCCATCGCGTATGTGATGCACTTAGCTTCCCGCCTGCCAACACGTCGCGGATCGCACGGCAGTCCGTTTCTATGACAACCGGGAACCCGTATACAATGTCGTCAAATTGGTCAAAGCCGAACTTCATGGCCGCCAGCTCCAGGACGTGTGGGGCATACCGCGACTCGGCGTTTGATGTGCGTTTGGATGCAAACCCAATCGGAAAGCGGCGAATGACTTGTTTCCCGCCCGGAAGGGAGACTTCCATCTCCTGCGCGAGGACACCTCCAAACCCTTCCTTGCACCCCTCTGTTGCGATGATGAAGGGGAATTTGTCCGTGCTCTCAAAGCGCAGCGCTCTGAGAACCGGCCCGGAGGTAAGCAGTGTTTTTAGGCGCAAGAAGCAGCGTGTGTGGTCATCCGTCCACAGATGAGCAAGCTTCTGACTCCGCATGATCTCTCGGAAGATGCGTTTGCTCGTGCCCGAAGGAACTAGGCTCGAAAGCAGGTTGCGTAATGGCTTTTCTTCGGCTGAGTGTCAGGGGGCGCCACGCTCGTTGGGCACGTGACCATGCACGTGACCCACTGCGCCCTCTCTGCCGACCCGTGCCTGCTCACCTGTCGATCACCCAGCCTCCTCCTCCTCCTCCGATCCTCATCTCCATCCATGCCGACATCCGCCCTCTCCCTCCTTCCCCCGGCCATCTCCCTCGAATCCCCACAAGCGGTCTAGCCAAGCCTGATTCCTTGCACCAGGGAGTGCTACTGCCGTATGCACTCCTCCCCCTTCACTTCGGCCTTCTCCCCGCGGATGTGGTCTACTGCCGTACAGGCTCGTACCAGATGCCCTTGCGCTCATCCGCACCACCCCTCTTCCCAGTTGGGCATTGGTCCTCGCCTCTGATGTCTCCACTGGCTGGCCCAGCACTGGCCTGGCCACTGGGCTCCTCCAGTGTGGCCTTCCACTGTTGGTGTCTCAGGAGCTGGCCATCACTGGCCCCTCTGAGCCACTCACTATCTTATCTGGGTTTGTCATTATCTACTTGTCATCTGCCATTGTTCCATGGCAGTGATATCCCATCATCATCAGTCACTTGTCACAGCTGACTATATAGTGTGACACCTGGGCACATGGATCCTTGAACCGTTCTCTAAGGATCCCCCTCTGTGCTCAGGTGAGTAGTATACCTCCCTTGTATTTGATAGTCTCTAAGGATCCCCCTCTGTGCTCAGACTCATGTGAGGTTGTTGTGTGTTGTGTGCTCTCTTCCTTCGGGCTGGCAGGAGTTGCCCTTACACTGAGTATCCTCGAATCAAATCTCGAAAGTAGCCCGTTAACCCCAAGAATGAGTGCAGGTCGGCCGCGGTCTCTGGCTGGCGCCATTGGATGATTGTGGTCAATTTGCGGAGGTCTGGCGAGTCGCCTTGCGGTCCCACTGTCGATCCGGCAAAGACAGCTTCCGTCATACAAAGCCTAGTCTTCGATGGCGACAGCGAGAGGCTTGACTCATGTATGTGTTGGAAGATGATACGTAGTCGTTGTATCATGTTGGCAAATGAATCCGCAGCCGTGCCTCCATCATCGACAAATATCTCCATCACCATGGAGGATGTCAGGTTGTGCACCTTCTCTGCCACCGTGTCGCCAAACTTGGTCGGACAGTCCGTTGCTCCGAACGGCATGCGCATATATGCGTGGTATCCTCGGCCAGGAACAAAGATGCACAGGTAAGGTTGGGCTTTCTCCTCGACCTCTAGGGCAAAGAACCCGGACGCAAAGTTGAACATGGATACATATCGGTGGCCAGCCAACCGGCGTTGCTTGTCTCGGATATCTCCTTGTGGGAACGGGACAACTTTGCAGACCCTGTTGATCTCGGCGAAGTTGTGGCAGACTCGCCAATGAACCGGCTTCCCACATCGGCTGGTGTTGTCCTGCGCCTGTTGGGCAGGAAGTCCGTCCAGCGAGGGTAATCCCGCGTCAACGCACTGGTCGTTTAACTGATGCAGCAACTCCGTCAAGCAGATACCGTCTGGTTGGTCCTTCGGCGCCATCATGATTGGGCTCACACACCAAACGTCCTTGGCATCAATGCGTCTGAGGATGCCAACAGCAACTAATTTGTTGACTTGCTTTGTAAGGAATGCAAGTTGCGGCGGTGACATCGGGCGCTGATTCACGGTCTTGGTGCCAAAGTCTTGACCTTTGGGGATTTTCGGGGAGTATTTCCGACCGGGCACTGCTTTCACTTTGCTGACCGCAAGCGCAAAGATGTCCGCGTACTCCTTAACCAGTGCACGGGCAGTCTCCCTTTCTGTTGTGGACACATCCGGCCCAATCTCGACAAGTTCGACGATTCTCTGGACTCTCTCTGTCAGGAATGGGTTTGTGAGGCGTGTGAACAGGGTCCTTTCATCCGGGCTCGCTTCAAGCACAAATGCATCAGCACTGCTCACAGGGGTTATGGTTGGTGGGACTCGCCTTGCAGGGGTGACCGCGTACGACTCGACCCCCTCGAAGGCCACATGCGTTTCAGACACGGGCAGGTTTGCGTAGCAGTCTTTGTTTCCTTCTCGTCTATCGCGCCCTTTGCCGTTGCCATGGATAGGGTAATCAGCTATCCACCAACGCGGAAGGATATCAAGCAAGACTCGCCTCGCGGGGGAGATTGCGGACAAGTCATCCCCTGTCGCGGCTAGCCGCGGTGCCATGGGCTCTCCTCTCTCCTCTGTTTTTCCGCCCTTCGTCTCTATACCCACATCCCCGGTTCCAGCATCATTCATGGCTTCCAGACCAGCATCCCCGTTCCTGTTCTCTTCCTTGTAAAGGTTGTCAGCTGCCCCCGAACGCAATGAGCAAGCGGCTTGTACTCCCCTCGCGGGGGTGGTTGCGCACAACTCTACCCCCTCTGGGGTTTCACGTCCCGTTGCCAGGTGTGTCTTGCCTTGCGTGGCGCTCTCTGTCGGGTTAATCCCTCTCTGCCGATTCCCAGGGTCCATGTCATGTGTTCCTGTTGTCTCTGCATCAACAAGTTGGGGGTCTAGCACGGGGTCTACTTGCCTCGGGGGGGAGGTTGCAGACAACTCATCCCCCACAGAGGCTTCTTGCCCCAATCCCCGGTTCCCTCCTTTAGGTGTGTCTCGTGTAGGTTGACATGCACTCGATTCATTGAACAGCAGTGATCTGCTCACCCCACGGACACCGTGACAGTGTCCTTTCGAAAGTCCTGAACCGCCCGCAGCGCCCGCAGAATAGGTTTCCCGAGCAGGATGGTCCAGGCCCCTCCCAAGTTGAATACCGCCAACGTCAACGGTTCCTTCCCAGTGCGCAGACAACGATATTGTGGTGCCGTTTGCCATCCTTAGCCGCTTCTGTGGCTTGGACACGTTGCCCAGCCTGTGTCTCCGCACCGCGAACCATGTGCTGTCCAGTACTCCCGATCCAGCCGCCCCGTCAAAGAGCGCCATGCCACGCACACGCTCGCCGTTAGGGCCCTCCATAGATATTGTGTGTTTGAATAGGGGTTGGTCGTTCTCAGGCTCGTCCACAGTAAACAGGTCGACAGTTTCAAGTTCAAGAGATTGCAATACATTAGTGTCGACTGTATGCTGGTAACCCTCCGGCACGTCCAATTGGCCAGAGTATGGGGCCGATGCATCACCTATTGCGTCAGCCCCACCTGAAAATCCCAGAGGTCCTCCTCCGTCGGCGTCCCAATTGAAGTCCAATCAACTACGTTCACGGGCACAGGGGCTGGCCCGGCGCGTGTCTGGCCCAGCCATGTGTGGCAGAGGTTTGTGCAGTGTCGTGCTGAGTCGCCCATGCAGCTCGTTGCTGGTTGTACGTGGCCCGTCCTTGCGGAGTGTCCGGTTGTGCGAGTGAAATACACTTCTCGCAAGCCACCCTGATTTGCGCGACCTCTTCTGTCATTGGGGTATAGTCTCTTTCGAATTGTGCCAGACGGGGTCGGTCTTGCTGGGTCACGTTTGGTGGTCAGCTGGTCGCCGGGGGGACGTGTGCCGGCTTGGAAGCTACGGCGGCAGTAGCGTGGGACGTCGGAGACAACCGGAAGGCGCTAAAGCTGCGCGTCAAGTCGTTGACATTGGCTTTGAGGAGTTGCTGTTCTCGCAATGTGTTGGCCGCGGCCCGGTAACCTTCTGCAAGTTTGTGGATGTCCGAGTTAGCGATTGCCCGGATCTGTGCGGCCACGCCTGCCCAGCTTGTTGGATCTGGCGTAAGGGCCTTTACAATTATGCTTGGTTGGTTCTCCTTCCACAGTGGGTACCCAGCGAGTGTGCCCTTGACTTTTGCCTGCATGGCCAAGTCCTCCACCTGGTTCGCAAAGTCCTCTTGGACGTAGACTTCCACCTCCCCTCTCTTCACCGTCTCCGCGGCAAGCTCTGCCACCGTGATCCTCGTTTTCAGGAGCTCCACCTCATAAGAAGCGGCGGTGTGGCGAATCGGCTTGAGGCCCGGAAATGTGGTCGCGAGCTCGCCCAGGTACGCATCGAGGGACGCGCGTGCCGGCGACGTTGCTGCCAAGCTGAGCATGTGGTCTTCTGCTGGACTATCCGGTTTCAGATGGTAGTTGACAGCGCATATCTGTTCGTCGGTTGTCGCGTATTGGCGGTCAGCGACCATTTGGCAGACTGCACGGACCCAATCGGCAGTGAGCATGTCCGTACCGTCTCGGCGACCGGAGAATGGCGTGACGTTGGCTGAGGGCATGGGTATAGCTGGGCGTGGTCGAGGGATCTGTTGGGACGTGGTGGACGTCGGCGGGGTTATTAGATGGGACAGTTTAAAGGTGGCCGGCGGGCCAGTCGGGCTTGAAGTTGTGCTTGGGTTGCTGAGCTCTGTCAGCGGCGAAGTGGTGTAAAACAGAGAGGGCTCAGATGCGCTACGCTGCCGCTGTCTTGGTTGACGACGAGTGGGCGGGTAGGACACTAGGTCAATGGCGCCCAGAAGACCGTGGGAACGAGTGGAGAACAGTACTGTACCGTGCCAATCAAATCGTCAGGGGGTGTGATGTGTGACACAAAAGATCAATTCGTCAATTCGTCAGGTCCCCCCATGACATGTGACATGTTGATTTTTTCGTCAGGTCATGCATTCACCTCCCTATGAGTTGCTTGCAACTTGATCTGAAGCTATCTGTGTGATAGCCCCAGACAGACTCAAAACAACACAGGGAAGGGTACACAAGTATTTTTAACACTTCAGCTGAACCCCACAAGCCTTATTTATTTCCGAACGGAAAAATGAATTCGTCACCTGAGCATGTGATGCGTGACATCAAAACAAATTTCGACTTCGTCAGGCAGCCTGTGACGCGTGACTGACGATTTGATTGGCACGGTACAGTATTTTCGGAACAGTAGGCGACGTGGGCACAGGGGACGTGGGCACAAGGGCAACGTAGGTGACGTATGCAGAATGAAAAAAGACTTTTTTCCGAGGATCAACATTCGATCGCACTAATCCGTGGACGGGTACGAACCGCACTCCAATCACCACGATGGGACAGCTGGGGGCGAGGGAATCAGAGTGTGGCGATGCTCTGATAGGCGCGTGCGATGGCGGCGGAGAACAACGATCTGAGCTATCTACGGAACAATCGGCTTGACTGTAGATCCGATCAGCACAGCCACCGATCACCCTTCCTTGCCCACCGACACAACGCGTCACCCGGTTGCTCGTCTCAAAATACACACCAAGCCATCCGAGTGGGCCGAAAAAATAGCATCGACAAGGAACTCTCCATTCTCCAGAGGCCGGATAGTCATCCGCCGCCATTCGCACAGCAGCGGCTGTGCCGCGTTCGCGACCGATCTACATATAGCCCTTGATAATCAGACAGATACGATCTAGTAGGCAGGAACCATCACGCACAAGGACTGGCGCCCGCGGGGGAAAAACAGGAATCGTCCGTAGCTAAATCCACCACTCGAGGGCTGGCCGTGATCATTCACCCCGCATCGCTTGACGACGCACAACCAGCTGCGCACGACCATCTCGTCCTCGGGAGCGACAAAGTCGAAAAACGGCCGCGTTGTTGCGCTGCCGGCGTCGACGAGCTGATGGTTCGTGTATCGTGTGATCGTGCAGTTCGTGGAGAATCGGTCGAGGAGGAAGGCTGTTCTAGGCGATTGGGACATGGGCAACTCGGGAGGCGGAGTCAAGGCCGTAATCGGTGATGAACTTCTATCCGGAGAAGACTCGTGCCACCGCTGGGAAAGTTTAGATATCCGCAATCCCCAGCGGGGATGGGCACCCACCTGAAACTCGAAATTGGACGCTGTCGTGCTGATGACCACGACTTCTTGCGCAGTGGAGTTGATGTGCAAAGCTTCGCCGCCTGGGTGGGCGAAAGACACGCTGCTATATGGTAAGTTATTGAGCACGGACAATGATGTCCGGGCACACACCTTCCGATCAACTGGTCGGTGACCACCGTCCTGTATGAACTATGAACGAGTAGTCATTCTCGCTCGCAATGAGAACGAACTGAGCCTGAACAGCGAATCAGGTGTCTTGGATGAAATGGACACCAAGTTGGCCGAACCAGTGCGCAGACGATGTATCCTTTATGTGCGTCTTTGTGCTTGAGACGGACATAGGCGATAGTAGCGGCTTTGTCTGCAAGAATGACATCGCTGATATTAAGTGTTCACTAGAGCTGTTCATCCATTCGAGGCATTAGACACACCTGTGCAGCTCTTTGACTCGTTGTAGCTCGTCAGGATGTACCAGATCGAAAAAGAGCCGATCGCGCAGTTCAGCAGGCTCCCAGCCTGCACCGATTCAGTGCCAAAAGTCATTGAAAGTGGGGGTCAAACAGACCTAGCAGGTCAGAAACCGACTCCGTCAAATGCTTCCATCGACCCTGCGTGGATGCGAATGAGAGAAAGCGTGCGTACTGACTGCCGGTCGGTAAGCACAAGGAGATCAGAGGCAAAGCGAGCAGACAGACATCTTTGGAGCAGACCTGAAAGTCGAGAATTGTGACTGCGGTGGTCAGGAACTCCTCACGAATGAAGCCCTTGACGCTCACTGAAGGACACCGAAGGCGGGACAGTATTCATGGCTAGAGAAGTCGCAGCGCCGGTGGGCGTACTTTATGCTTGGGCGTCTCGGTCTAGGTGCCCATCGCACCATAGCTCTTCACGCTGATTTGCTTTTTCGAGTAGGGAGGAAGTCGCGCAGAACAAGAAGCGGGCCGACGGATCAAAAGTGATCAGCGCAAACAAAACTTGCCCTCTTCTTTGCATCTTTACTCCATCTCAATCCAATTTACCCAGTTCTGGCATTGGGTACACTCAAACTCCTTGCTTCTTGGAGAAGATGTGGTCTACTGCTCGAGAAATCGCCGCCGGCGACACGGTCATCATCTGGCTTGCAAGTACCCCTCATTGATACCCTCGATCGGGGAAATAACTGACCTGCAGAACCTTAGACGCGCGATTTCATCCAGCCGCTCGTCGTAACCCCGGGAAAAGATCTCAACAACAAGTATGGGATGTACAAACACGAGGACTTCATCGGGCTGCCTTACGGGTCGAAAGTGGGATCGAGGACAGGGCGAGGGTTCATCCACGTCTTACGCCCGACCCCAGAGCTATGGACGCTCGCGCTTCCGCACCGAACGCAGATATTATACATCGCAGACATCTCGCTTATCGTCTCGTACCTCGATATTCGCCGAGGCAGCCGTGTTATCGAAGCGGGTGGGTGTGTCTGCGCAGGTCGAATCGAAAACTGCTCAACCTTCACCGCCCCTAGGAACGGGGTCTGGATCCTTTTCGCATTCGGTGGCGCGAACGATAGGGCCCTTGGGTCATCTGTACTCGTATGAATTCCACGAGGCCCGTGCCAACAAAGCCAGGCGCGTTCTTCGGCGGCCATCATCTGTCTGTCTGTCTGCGCTGACGAGTTCTCTCATCCGCTTCTTTCTGCAGGGAGGAGTTCTCGCAGCACGGAATGTCAGAGTTCGTGACATTGACTCATCAAAATGTATGCAAGGACGGATTCAATTTGACGGACACGGTGGATTCTGGTGCGTGGCCCACTTCTCGCGTCATCGGGGCGTCTGACAAGGTTCTACGACCAGTTTTCCTTGATTTACCAGCACCTTGGGATGCCATCGGGCACGCCAAACAGGCTATGAGAGTACGTATATTCCCCTGCCTGCTTCGAAGGGGCTGACATCTTGCGTCGCAGAAAGACCGTGCGGCGAGAATATGCTGCTTTAGTCCGTGCATGGAACAGGTATTACGAACAGTCAGCGCGCTCAATGATGCTGGGTTCTCGGGTGCGGTGTCCCTTGTGGCTGATCCCCTACTTTCTACTGATCTGAGGCAGAGATCACGATGTACGAAACGCTCGTGCGCACACACGATGTGTCGCAGGTCCCGGTGCTCCAGCCCATCTCGGACGTCGTGGAGAAGCTGAAGAGGGCGGAGGGAATCCGGGAGGTCAAGCGCCTGAAGCAGGTCGCCGCAGGACAGCGAAGCCGCGAGAACCCCCACGGGGAGAAACGAAAGCGGGACCAACCAGCTGGTGAAGGCTCGGAGCCCGAGGATTCTGGCGGTAAGAGATTGAAGACAGAGGAAGAAATGGGGGGCGATGATGCAGCTCCAGATAACGACGTTTCTGGAAATGACGTCCGCTTGCCTGTTCCCCCTGCAAAAATTAGCGTATCGAAGGCCATGGCTGAAGTCCGTGGCCATACATCTTACCTTACCTTTGCTGTTTTGTTACCGGCAGTGCCTTCAGCAGAGACACCTGTAGAATAGTCCGTCTATTACTAATCAACTGACACTTCACGACGCGACAGCTCTGCGGAATGCATCCTCCACATCTTGCTCTTGTTGCAGCTCAGTTTCTGTCTTTGTCCTTCGGTGCCGCAGACTCCGCCTTAGCGGTGGCGAGCTCCTCTCACGAGCTCGCTTGGCTGGCGACGGGCCCGACGAGATTTCGTCCTCGGCATCCGAGTCGTCCTCGTCCTTCTTCCGTTTCTTCCTGGCCGACACCCGTCGCGTTACTGGTGATTTGGCTTTCGGCTTTGTCTGATTAGGAGCTCGGCTCGGCCTCAGAATTTGCTGTTTCTTCTGTGGCTTCTTCGCTGGCCGAGAGGGCAAGACATACTCCTCCTCCTCGAGCTCGTTCACATCATCTCGTTCCAGCTCCGTTCTCAGACGAGCCGCGGTTTCTTCAGCCAGCTCGGCCATCGATTTAGGTACCACGAGTGCCGGAGCAAGAGGAGATGGGGCGCCAGGAAGCTCTATGTCCTCGTCAACCTCCATCGTTTCCATATCGTATGCGACGGGCTCTAAATGCGGCATTGTGCTAGGGCCAGGGGCAGCAGGGTCCGACTGCGCAAAGAAGGGGAGGTGGGGTAATTGGTATCCCGTCACGACCGAGTCCGCTCCCTGGAGGAATCCTCCTTCGGCAGCTAAGCCAGGCCGGATCTCGACATCCTGAGGAGATCAGCAGGGGCAAAGCGATGATGAGTGAGACGCACCTCTCCCCTGTCTTCTGTCTCGGCGGCCACGGGCTGCCTATCTCGGTACTCATCCTGAATACTCTTTCTGATCTGCAGACCAGTGATGAGTTTACTCCACCGTGCCAACACGCGCCGTCTTGCTTGCACTCGGGCTTTCTCAGCAGCAGAGTGCTCAAATTCCCAGTAAGCCTGCAGTCCGAGTTAGCACACCGAATGTAATAAGATGGCGCCTGCGCCAACCTCCAGGATCGCTTCCTGGTTCTCTGTGGCAACAACGATGCCCTCGATGATGGGCGTGGCCCGTTTGCGAGCGTAGCCGAATCCGGTCTGCATCCAAGGTGAAGCTGGAATGCGAGTCAAGTACAAGAAAAGAGACGCACCACAGCCTCAGCATAGTCGTATCCGAGCTGTTTGGCGATCTTCCCGATGCCCTTGTCTGCAGGGCAGGTCAGGAAAAGTCAAAGGATGGTGTGGGCACGGACGTGGAAGATGAGCAGCGCCTTCCGGGAGCATCGAGGGAACATAGAGATCAATGTTGCCAAAATTATTCTTCGGGATTTTGCCCTGTATATTGATCAGTCTACCGTCTTTACGAGGCAAAATACTGCACGAACAGCGATGATGGGCTCAGGAACATAGAGCTCGGTCTGGAATCGAGCGTACGTTCCTTGCATGATGTCCGGCGCTGTCCCTTCACCAGCAGTAGGCAACCCGTCCCGCAGAACCTCCAGTTCCCGCCTCCGGGACAGAGTTGACGGGCGCATCTTGACAAACTTGATCGGTTGTTCCCCAGGTTTGACTTGTCGTCCCTCGCTGCGCATCCAGTTTTCAGAGGTCTTGAGGGATACGACAGCGGATCGTGGGTAGACAGATTCGCCTCGAAACTTGCCGATTTCCCGCGTTTGGGGTGGAGCTGGATACAGCGTCTCGTTATGTGCCAGATGTCGGACCAAGACGTATCTAGGCGTAATCAGCCTCGTAAGCAGGTTCAGTGGTTGTCTGACGCACACTGGATGATGCTTGAAACCGTCTATCGTCGTGGGCATGCCCTCCATCAGCTGTGCAGTGTCAAGCTCCATGTCTTCGACATCGTCTCGATTCTGCCAGTCCGTTCATGCTTGTACCGAAGTCGTGAGCCGCAGAAGGACGCACCAACCGATACGGGCGCTGCACAGTCTGCATGACCCGTTCCCACCACATCTCTTTCCGACCACGCTGCTTCTGTCCCCCCTGGATCTTCGCCACCTTGGCAGAATACTCGCGCGCATACCGCCTTGTCACATCCCGCCCGAATCCGTCGTCCTCGAACGCCACCACGTACACCATCCGGTTGTCTCGCGGTGCGATCTTAAGACTCTTCCCAGCCAAAATGGTGCTCGGGCGTGCGTAGGCTGAACTGGAGTTGCCTATCCCTTGGTGCGCCGTGGGAGCCGCGAAAGAGGGATCGAATACGTTTGGCTGGTTGACGTATCCGCGGATGGGGTCTATCGGCAGCCACCGCCCGTCTGGTCGAGAAAACACCTCCGTCCAGAACACGGGGGACGCCGTTCGCGGGTCTGGGGACAGTGAACTCAAGCGGAATGACTAGAGAGGGCTGGCCAACCTGATGGCGATGCCCGGGGTGCGCCTCCAAGCACGTTTCCTTTCGATTTGCGGAGTTTGACAGAAGGCCGCGCCTTCTCCTTGCCTTTCGCTTTGGCGCTTTTGGGCGCGCTGCTGCTGCCTTCGGCGTCTGTGGTGACGCTCGAATCCGCCTTGGCCTTTCCCTTTCCTTTCGCATCGCCAGAGATCCCACTTTTCTTCCAGGGCACACTTTGCAAGCTGACCACCAGTCGCGCCGGGATGCTGAGGGCGCGACACAGGGCGGTGAAGAGCTGGGCACTGACGTCACGACTGCCTTTCCCCATGAGAGCGTGTTTCATGAGACTCTTGGGTCCGTGTATGACCTCGCCTTCGTCAGCCAAAATCACCTCTAACAACTCGTCGTCCAGCGGATCCTCCGGTCCTAGCCCTCGGCGATCCATCTCAGCTTGGACAACGCCGAATGGGCGGTTGCGTACATGCCCCTCAAGAAGAACGGTGAAGTAGTCCTCTATCCACCATCTGGCTAGACCGTTCATGGCGGTCTCAAACATTCGTCCCCGCTTCTGCGACTCGGGCACACGCGATTTGTGAATCATGGCGAAGGAGGTTTGCAAAGAGAGCGGAGCCAGGGAGAGAAGCCGGGCCTGTCCCGGGCACTCAGAAAGAACTCAATGAGATGGAGCTATCCGGACGAACCTGCAGCAGGGGATCGTTGAGCCATTTGTTGCGAATCCATCCGTTAGCGAGCAGCGCGAGAGTGTGCAGCTTGTGACAGTTGATGCGGAGCACAGTCTCGAGCCGTATGTTTCTGCCGTTTCTATGCGATCTCAGTGCCGATCCAGCAGCCAACAGCGACGACTCAACGACTCCAAGGCTTTGGGTGCAGATATAGTGATCTCAAGGTTCTGCCCCTCTTCCGGAAGCTGGACCTCTTCCCAGTCTCCCTCCGAGTCGCTATCAGACATCAAAGCGCCGCCACAAACAAGACTTCCGGACTAGTTCCAGGCTATGCAATTTCTTGTGCGAGAGGAGGGTGTAATAAAAGAGTGCCGAGACACGCTTGTCACAACTCACGCGATAGTGACAAAGTGACTTGACTTTCGGCTCCGGGGCAGCGATTCTTGTTCACAACGTGATATTTCAGTTATCACAAGTTATAAAACGACCGGATGCTCTTCCAGACATGTCCTTTCCAGAGATAATTCGTGCACCCTGCAGCGGCTTCTCCTTCGGCTCGCCGCGCGACATCCCATCCCGTGCTCGCCGTCCCACATGCCGCGGCCAGTTGCATCTTCGTCCATACGGGTCCCATCTTCCCCGGGAGCTCATCCACAAACGCAACGTCGGTATTGAAGATGAGGGACAGTTCCGACAGCGTGCAGCGGTCGCCTTGCAGGCGGAATGTCTGGTTGATGAGAAGTGCGAGTGGGAAAGTGGTCAGGACGTGCGCTACGAACCCTGTGCGTACGGTTGGGTCTCCTTGCGACGGCGGGGCTGATGGGATGACGCGTACGCACCTGCGACATCCTCCGAAGCTGTGAAAGAGCAGGGCATGTCCCCTTCGGTGATGAGGTTGATTTTGCCGTTCACCGCGAGCCCAGTCAACGCAGGAATCGTCTCGATGAAGATACCGGCCTGAGCTCATCATTCAGGAAGAAACGCAGTCATAGGCATCTGGCCTCACGTAAAACCGAGCGTACGCCAACATTAAAGATTTGAGGTGTTCTGTGCCGATGTTCAGCACCTAGCATTGGGTGGAAAGTCGATTTCCTGAGACGCACCTATTGTGCTAATGTGTTCCCCACTCTGCCGCATGTCCTCAGTCACCAGCCCGAACTCCGACGGAACGAACAATTGGACTCCCGCCTCTTTCGCTGCCGACGCCAGCCTGTTCTGCAGCGCTACATCCGCCGCCGACACAGTAGAGACCACGACCTGTACGGCTCGTGCCCGCAGCAGCTGCGCGACAGCCGCTACATCGTTGTAGTCTGCCTCCTCAATTGGGATCCCCTCGCGGATTCGGCGTTTATTCTCCGGGGTGCACTTGCCCGGAGGCGCGATCACGAGCACTGATACGCCTCGAGCGTGGAGCTCGTTGACGATAGGAACACCTAAGAGCCCTGCACCAAGGACAGCAAAAGAAGTAAACATGGGGGGACAAATCCGTCGCCAATGGAGATTTCAAAAGATATACCTCATGGGCCAGGGAGTCAGCGATTCGCCCGACGAACTCTTGCTGGAGCCAAGCTCGAGTTTGGTCATATCCGATGCTTATGAACCCGTGTGACCGGGAATCGATCCAGGCTCCGTCAGCGGGGCATTCCAGGTTGGTCATCCCGCTGCCTAAAGATAGACGGCAGTACAAAAACATTCCTGTCCTATCAATCGGCGATTCCCACATCTCTCAGCCTCTACTGCCAGGCGACGCGGGCTTCCGGGCATGAAACACGGTCACGTGGCGTATATCATCTCTGATTTCCGATGTCGGCCTCGATCAGTCCAGATCTACCGAGAAAACATGGTTCAAACCCGGTCACAACTAAGCCGAGTCGGCAAACACATCTCTCAGACATTCCAGAACAAGCTCTGCATCCTCATCGTCCAGGACATCCTCCGAGCGGAGAGCTGTAATACCAGCCACACTGCGGTCGACCAGTCTCCTGTACCCATCTTGAGTGCTGCACATCCCTAGTGCAGACATCTCCAACGTCTGTGCAGTGCTATCCAAGACTTGATGTCCAGCAACAGCAACAGCAGCTTCGAGAATAGATGGCCACCGGCCATCTGGGATCGAATACAACGCCCGGCGCAGACTTTGCAGTGCCTCACGACGCGTTGCAACCTGCACACCCGTCGGCAAGCGTAGTAAGAAGGTGAAGATTGCCGACGAACCGGGACCTTGGTTGAGACGGTTTCGTCCACGTCGATCAGCGATTCTGGAAGCTCCCCATCACAGGCTGGAGCGCATCCCCGCGAGTTCCCGCCCGCAAAAGCTTCGTCCCGGTCGGATTGCTGTTCTGGCGCGGCCGCATGCTCCCAGTGAACCGACGAAGCCTCATCTCTCGAGCCAGTCTTCTCGCCGTCTTCGTGAGTTTCCGCGTGACTCAGGTTCTCTTTCTGGCTCTCCTTCGACCGCGCGAACGGTGGCTTGTACGGTTTATTCAGCGCTTCAGCACTTTTGTGCGGCTTTGTAACTGAAACCCGACAATCAATCTTGCGCAAGTGCGATCGGACCGACAGAGAACGCACTGAGGACTTTCGGCAAAGACGTGTCTATCCTAGCCTTCTTCGAAACCGGGCCCGAATCCCTGAAAGCGCGCTTCCTGCCCCCCAAAGGCCGGCTCCACACTGGATCTTGTTTCGGGTACGCTATCTCTTGGCACTTCGCAGGCCCATCTTCGTGGCCATCGAAGCGGACATTAGCAGGGACCTGGCTAGCGGCATACTCTTCACTCGACAGCGAGCTATGCCGCTGCCGGGTCTTATCTGGATACCGACAGATCTATGCCCGTTCAGCGTTCCGAGCAAATGACGGCTCACAAACGTACGTCACACATCCGGTTACAATATTTGCCTACCTCTGCGGCTTCGATCGTCTCACCAAAGTACCGGCACAATGCCTGCAGATCCCGTTGTCAGGACTTCATTCTGAACATCAAGACACGCACGATATGCCGACAGACGGTCGTGCTCTCTGCAAATTGGATCAGCTGCAATAAGATCAGTCACTTTCCTGACCAACGAGCTCATCCGTACCGAAGCCAAACTCTTCAGGGCTCGTTCATGGGCCTCCCTCGACTTCGTGTTTGCGTTCCCATTCTTCACCCAACGCTTCACCTTGACCACATCCTCCCTGGCTGCGGTCCCCCGTCAAGCACGTCCTTGGGGCACCAAAGAGCTCACAGTAATACAAGATGCACTTTGCAGGGCTGCCATCCCGGCCGGCTCTCCCCGTCTCCTGGTAGAACCCTTCCAGACTTTTTGGTAGATCGTAGTGTATGATGTACCGCACGTCGCCCTTGTCGATACCGAGCCCGAATGCGATGGTGGCGCAGACCACGTCGACGCCTCCCTGTGTCCACTGAGAAAGCGTCTTATCAAGCGTTGAGGAGCTGAAGGTGATCTGAGAGCGAGAAGCAACGGAGAGCGAACGAACAAACTTGATGCCCCGGTGATAAGGTCTGGCTTGGATCCCCCTGCCTCTAAGAAAACCAGAGACCTCGTCGCACCCCGCCCGCGTTCGACAGTACACGATACCGCTTGAGACCTGTCCACGTCGTTGGTACAGCGTGGAGATGCAGTCGTGGATGTCGGACATTTGCGATGGACCATGGGGCGCAGAGGTGTATCGAACTTCGTAGAATAGATTGGCCCTGTTGAATGGGTGCACGACTTTGACGAGGTGCTCTTCGGACATGCCGAGACTTCGAATGATGTCTTCCTGCACGCTGCCTTTGTCGTCAAGACGCACAAAAACAGCGGAGTGGCACGCACTCGGCCGTCGCGGTGGCAGTCAGCGCCATGATCGGAATGTCCTCGTAACGTTTCCTAAAGTTTCCGACTCGCCGATAATCTGCGCGGAAGTCGTGTCCCCATTCCTGCAGAAGGTTGCAGACTCAAGGCAAACGGAGGGGGCAGAGACGCACCGAGATGCAATGCGCCTCGTCGACAACCAACCGCTTCAGCTGCTTGCTGTCGTACAGGTCATCCATGATCCCTATGAACTCTGACGTGCTCAGTTTCTCAGGCGTGACTGCAGACAGGGCATGAGCGGAGTGCGTAGTACGTCAGATCCTGGCACTCGCTGTATAGCAGTCGATTTCGCGGATTCCCGGACAAGAGGTCGTCCACGATCTGAAGCATTGCATCAGCTGCGATGCACCATGGATGACCGGGATATACGACACCTCTTTTCGCTCCTCCGCAGGGGTTTCAGACGTGAGTGCAGCCACGGTAACGTCTTTCTCGCGCAGACCAGCGACCTCTATCAGACGGGGGTGAGGAAACGCGCTTTTGCGCTATGAGCGCGCGGAACAAGCGCGACGTACGGTTCTTCATCAACGCCAGCAGCGGCGAGACGACTAGCGTGATGCCATGCTGGGATGTCAAGTGCAAAATCAGTCCAATGAGATCAGACGGGAAGTGAGCACGGACGCACCGTCTCAGCGATGGCAGGGACCTGGAAACACAGGCTTTTGCCCATGCCCGTGGGCGCAAGGACAAAGACGTCTGCGCCACACGCGGCGGCCTCGACGACAACTTGTTGTTTGCCCTTGTACGACGTGTGCCCGAATACTGTGGCAGGAGTCAGATTCCGGCAGTCCCATGCTCGAGGGTGTCGGGCAGACCTTTCGTCAAGACGCGCCAGCAATCGACCGACCCACTCGCGTCCCGCCTCAGCGTCTTCGCTTTCGTTTGACTGGGACCGGCGAGGTTTGCGCTGGTGTATGTGACTGCGGGTGGGGTTCGGAGGATTGACGACGAGAGGCTGGGGTCGACAGCGGAGTCTGCGTCTTCGTCTGATGAGCTCGACCGTCTCTGGCGACCCGGGGCATTGTATCGGATGGAGCGTGAGGAGTGTTGATGAGCTCGATGGGGACGACGAAGTGGTGGTGGAGACGGCGTACGGGACATGAGTGAGAGAACCCTGCAACGCCACTGCATCACAGGGATCACGTTGTCGTGACTCAACGCGCCGTGTGAGGTGTGACCGTCCTCCCTACGAATGTTTTTTTTTGATGTTATCGATATGCCTGACGACAGTTGATACATCTAGCGCACACCTCAGTCCGATTCCACAGACTCGCAATCTTCCTCACATAGCTCTATCACCCCCTGGACTTGCTCTGAATGGATGGATGAGCTGTCCTTCGGCAAACTTAATTTCTCTTTTCGCGATCAGTGCGTCGCTCCACTTCAGCCAAATCGCCCGCACACACGATCCAACACTGACATTCTGATGGGCTCTATGATATTGAAATCGATTGTACATCCCATGCCAGTGCTTGCCTCGTAGCGGTCATACTTTCAAAACAAAGATGGCACAAAACGCTGGGCCAAAACTCTGAGCGCGGTGCCTACATTGCGCGGGCCTGGTTCCTGGTTCCTCGCCGCTCACTTTCCGAGGAAATTGGGACTGCGCCGAGTCAGTCCCGTCGGACCGGCGTACGGCATGATAGGTACCGACCACCGCCATTCGGGCTCCCAAGCCGGCGGTGACGTGCGCACTCCTGTATGTCCAATCGATGTTCGCCGTACGCGCCGCACGGCATCGAAATCCACGAACAGCCCCCGAGTGGTTCGTTCTCCGCGTAGCGACCGAACGATGCGAGCTGATGCAATAGAGTTTTTGCAGTCGAGTCTAGTCGAGTCGTGTTTGCCGGTCTGGCACAGATTATTAAATTAAACAGCGCCCCTGTGTTTGTCGATCACTTTGACGGCAACTAACGCGGAAGACATGACATCGGGTGGCTGTGCGGGGTCTAGAGCGCCATCGACCAACCTCTGAAAGTCACTTGACCAGCTTTGAGCCGCTCTGGACCTACAACGACCCGAACGTTTCCAATCAGAACCTGACTGAAGAAGGTGGCCATGTTCGGCCTTTCAACTCGCTCGAGTCATCGAGTGTGGTCTTCCACGTGCCACGATGGGAAGCGGTTGGAGACGGACAGGGATGGTTGAGGGGCGTGATGCGTTTTCCTCCATAGGGGTAACCTAAATCCGATCGCGGTGGAGATTCACGCGTGCGGCGCATATATAATCAGTGCGCTCGATAACCTAAAGCGTGAGCCTGACCTCTGTGTCGTCGACGTTCGTTCCCATCCCCCGCTCCCGCCTCCGCCCCCCGCCTCAGGCCTCGACCATCATGGGCCAGTTCGATCTTTCTTTGGGATGTTTGTTGTTCTCCTCTTGGGCAAACATGATGTGCGTCTCTCTTCTCCCCATAAAAAGCGCTGGCTCATCTTTGTCCAGTCTATTGACCCTTGAGTGCGTTCACGGAGCCATCCAATCCCCAACGCGCTAATCATTCCACTTTACTTCATCCAGGATCGCCCAGTACGTCCTTGTGCTGCTCCGCCATCTCATCTCGTCATCTGACTTGTGCCAGGATCTACCAATATTTCCAGAAATATCCCAAGGACAACTTGTTCAACAAGGGCTCCGTTATATTCGCACTGTGCTCAGATCTGACGACTGTGTTTGCGTGTTTATCTGTGAACTACCTCTACCTCGTCACGGTACGTTATCCTTGGCTTTTCATTTCCCGCCCATTCACGTCCTATAGCATTGGGGGTCGAACGACTATCTTCTCACCCAGCCGTGGTGCATCGCTGTCTACGTCGTGAGCACCGCCATCAGCTCGGCCATCACCCAGACATGGCTCTCGCGCATGGTGTACAACCTGTCCGTCCCTGTCCCTGCCTCTGTTGTTGACTCACCACGCTGATCGATTTCGTTCAGGACGAAGCAGTGGATCTGGCTCCCCATCATCTGGCTGTTCATCGTCGGCGGTCTGACAGGCGCAGCCGCCACCGGTGGATTGCTCGTCATCGACGCGTCGTATGCCGCCCGCGCAGGCTTGATCAAGTGCGCCACCGTCCGCCGTCCTGGTTCTGTACTGACTGGTTTGTGTGCAGATGGGTGACGCTCTGGCTCGCGGGCTGCGTCGTGGCGGACACAGTCATCACAGTTGTGCTTGTTGCCAAGTTCCGAACCATGAAGTCTACGTTCCAAGACACGAAGAGTCTGCTGCGTCGGCTCTCGCTTGAAGCCGTGCGGAATGGATCCATCACCACAGTCATGACGTGCGTCCTCTCTCTCCTCTGACGCTCGCCGCATCTTCTGATCTGCTGCACAGTATCATCACGCTCGTCATCTTCACTCAGCAACCGGGCGAGAACTGTGCGTGTTTCCCAGCTCGATCTGCGTCCGCCTTTTTCATGACTCGTTCCAGCGGCTGTCATGATCGAGATGACGATCGGGCGCGTGTACACGCTGTCGATGCTGTCCAATCTCAACAACCGCTCCATGCTCACCGGCGACTCCCAGCTCTCGGGCTCGCGCAAGGCGGGCGGCAACAACACGCATCACGACCATCAAACTCCGACGATGCTCCGCATCCGGCAGGACGTCGAGACGCACTACCAGATCGACTCGGATCCCATCCAGATGGGCGCGATGCAGAAGGGCCGCGAGGCGGCGGCGAACTCCGACGGGACGTCCGAAGTCGATCTGGTCGTCAAGACCAAGACCGACGAGGTGTATGCCGGTTATTGAGCTGGCCCGCCCTGAGGCGCTTTGATTCGCTCTTTACACACGTCTTTCATTTATCTTTCCCAGGGTGGTTTCTCGGGTGGGAATAAGCACGTAGAGCACGACGCAATACATTCTTTGGCGATGCGGGTTTCGCAATTGCTCGGCGACTAAAATGTTATGCATCGGGCCACAACGTGTTCGGCCAACCATGAAGGTCGAGAGCGCCTGCGGGGAATCCTAATCCCGGATGTTTGTGTCGCACCGAAGAAATGCCGCTGGTTCTGGAGCTGGCATTATCATCGACAATAGTCTCTCACGCGAGCTTCGATCTTCGACAAATGGCGCAATGCCAGTGACTGGAAATAAGACGGTTGCCATCGGCCTACCGACGATCCTCACCTGCAAATGTTTGTCTCCAGCTCGAAGATCCCCGAGCCTTCGCCGAGCCCATTGAGTGCGTGGATTGAGGGGGCTCCAGACTCGGGCCGCTCATGAATTCGAGATGCTGTGGCAAAGTTAGACTGCGATGAGATCAACGAAGTGTCTGTGAGACGAACGAGGAAATACACCTCATGGGGACCGGGAACTTCGATTCCTACGCACACGCGGATTTTGTGCTTACATCCGTTCACTCGGAGAACCTCTGTGACCTGAATTATGCGACGCTTCAATGTCCAACACGTGCAATCAAACGAAACGTCGACAGCGTGAGAGAAATCCAGTGGGACTGGTATTCCTCCTCTGAGTTTTGTTCACTGCCACCAAGAGAAAGATGCAGCTGAACTGTGGAGACTCTCCTCAACCTGGAAGCACTTGGACCTCACGTGCAGAGCTGACTCACCGTTCATCATCTGATTTGATCAATGATCGGTTCTCTTTTGCCGATCGGATTTACTCTGGCTGGGAATCTGGCCGTAAAAATCAGATGTCTTATCGACGTAATTGATCGCAATGTTTTTGTCCGGTGCATTCACTTGGTTCAGGAGACAGAATAGGAGGACGGAACGGCAGGGCGGGATACAGGCGAGGCTTATAGCTGCTTGATGACGAGCTCTGCTTTGCAAGACGGAGTCCAAGTCATTGTGATTTGCTATCTATGTATCGGTCAGGGATCCCGCCCGCGATCTTGCGGAATCCCGAGTTGATGGGGTTAATCCCGTGTCGGGGAAGTGGGCAGAGAGCGGCCACTTACGTAGCGTCGCACGTCATGTCAATCTACGATAAACCCAAAGGGGTATACCCAGATAAAGAAACGTGTCAGCCATCCAGTGTGATCAAAGTGGAGCGACGCTTCGGGCCTTTTCGTGCTTGCGTTCAGCTAGCGTACTCTCTTCCAGTTCTTTCGCTCGATCCTCGTCTCTCTCCTACTCACCGCTTTCCACCATTCGCCTGTCACCCCGCGGGCCATCGTTGAACCTTCGATATCACCGTGATTTGGACAACCGTCTGGGATACACTTTTTGAGGGGGCGCCGAAGGAGCGAGAGCTTGAGACAGGCATGGGCAACACAACCTCACAGCAGATGTCCGATGGAATGACGGGCGGCATCGGCACAGCGCCGCGCCCCACTCCGTCGGGCGCACCCCCGCCGACATGGGGCAAGGAGCGGGAGTCGCCCACCGCATCCGTCTCTACCACCCCCACCAAGTCGAAACACACGACCGCGACGACGCCCATGTCCGTCATCGGCACCTCCTCGACCGCCGCAGACGCGCAGCGCAACGGGGCGCCCAACGGCCACGCGCCCGAGTCCACTCTGCGGCCGAACCGCAAGTCCATCGACCTGCCCGGCCTCAACACGTTTGCGTACTCGCCGGCGATGACGCCGCGCTCACGCGGATCGCGCATTATGGAGCGCGGGCGGTCGTTCGTTGGCCGCGGGGGCAGGCGGGGCGGTGGTGGCAGTTTCGCCAAAACGAACGGCAAGGGCGTGCCGCCACCCCGCAGTGCGGCGATCGCCATCCCAGGGCCCGGGCGCCGGCTCTCTGGGGACGAGGAGCAGGATACTGGGTACGGGCGACACATGGCCAATCGCAAGCATGAGAAGGATGCGGAGCGCGACCGGGACCGAGACATTCAGGGCGATGAGAGACGGTGAGTTTTTAGCGCTCGCTCTATCTACCAACATCCACCCGCTATCTACGCCTCGTAAACCCCATTCTGACTCGAGAACCACAGCAGAGGCCGGACACGGTCGCGCTCACGACCCGGTGTTCCACGCCGTTCCTCAAATCACCACGACCGAAATTACCACCACAAATCCCAACGCCACCACGACTCCCGCTCTCAGTCCTCCGAGCGGGATCCCCGCGAAACACATCTGCGTGCGTCGTCCCCAGCCTCGAGGTCCGGGTCAGGGCGAACCGACTCGCCCTCGGCCGTTAGCGACGAAGACCACTTCCGTGGGCGCAGTCCCTCGCGCGGCCGCCCCGATAGAAACTTCCAAGTGCCGTATTCGTCACCTGTTGATAACGAGCATACCCGAGCGCATCAAGCAGCGATGGCGGCCGCCACAGCGACCCCTGTCGGCCCTAGACATGTCGTGGACTCGATGGAGTACACGAATGGCACAGATCAGAGCACCAGAACAGTGTCGCGCAACGATTCAGGCGACATCATCCGCTCGACGATCCCTCTCACATTGGGGCCCTCTGCGCTCATTGGGATCGGGCAGGGTGATCCCGATGTCGAACAAGAGGAAGGAGAGGACGAGATTGACACTAGGAGGAAGGTTGCTGAGGCGGTTATTGACGAGATTGTTGGCGGTAAGTGTCTTGCCTGCTGTTATACCGCGAGACAGTTTTGAGCGATGTGCACAGATCCGCGAGCGTTGACTCCCGTTACTATTCCCTGGAGGGGACCTGGAACTGATGTTTACTTAATCCGTGCGGGAGACGAGGACTGGTCTCATCCAACACGGATGACGAGGGAGTGCGTCTCGTTCTTTCTTTCTCTCGTTTCTCCTTGTTTGGTTCCTTTGGCATCGCATCTCTTGTCGCGTGGCGCAGTGATCTCTGGTCTCTGCCTGGCTTCTACACAATCAGCTTTCACTTGGTGGCCGACGGCTAACCGTATTCTTTTCTCATCGTTGATATCGACACCGTGATGGCGACCGGGAGGTGCTTGCCACAGAAGTGGGGTTCCTTACAGCATTTGCTGGTTTGCTTCTCGATTCTGATAGACAGGCTTTGACTTGGACCACTTCTGTGACCCTGTTTTGGTTTTGGGGTTGGGCCATCTGCCTGGCTGGTGGCGTTCCGGCTGTTTCCGCTTGGCATGGGCGCCTGCAAATCCCACTTGGGTTTAGCTGCTGAGACTCCAGGTTCCCCATGATGCGCGCCACTGCCTGCGGACGAAACATTTGCCGTTTGAATTGTCCTTCTCTTCTTTTCGCTTCCATTTTCACCTGCTAGAGCCCGTCTCGGTCTTTTCCTCCGTCGGCAGCCGTGTGCTGACTCCATCCCCTTTTTGACAGGTCTCCCGACGAACCGTTCACGACCACTGTGTATCTGTCACCCGGAACGCATCATTTCCGATTCATCGTTGATGGGAACACGCTCGTTGCGCCTTCCAGCGACATCACCAATGCCGTCGACGATCAAGGCTTCATCGCCAACTATGTGGCCATCGTCACCCCGCCGGTCATCGGCGCCAACGTTCCTCCGGCCGAGCTGAGGGCAGTCACCGCCTCGACGACCTCAGTGATCCCCCAGTCATCACGGATTGATCCTCCGGCCACGAGCCCGACGGTCAGCCCAACGACCAGCCCCAAGACGCGGAGAGCGCGCATGGGTCTGCCGCAGGCACCCGGGGAGAGTTTCTGGACGCGCAGCAGCGACACTGACAGCACGGAAAACCTGCAGGACCGAGCGAACGTGACGACGAACGGCCACGAGCTCGGACAGAGCAAGAAGCGGGGGATCGTGTGGTCGTCTGAGATTCCTGCTGCGCTCCTGGCGGCTGAGAGGCAGGAAACTGCGTGGTACCATGCGCAGGAGGAATACTACAACGGAGGGCATCCCGTCGTCCTAAATGGGTTTGAATCGTTGAACATCCCGGAACTATCGGTCCTGCCCCAGCATCTCATCAGCCTCATCCTGAACCGACCGAGTCCGGGAATCGTCATCCCTCGCGCTGGGACGGGTGCAGGGAATTACGGCTTCGTCACCCCGCCACTGACTTCGCCGCAAGCGGGCAACGGGCCGAGGTCCGAGCTTCGAGTAACGACTGCGAGCGGGACGGACGTCACGAAGCCGATGCAGAGCCTGATGATGAGTAGCACGATTGCTCCCGACACACCGCGGCGGCCGCACCCGCAGTTCAGCGAGGTGGCGCCGTCGCGGGTGTCGAACTCTGCGGGGTCGCCGAACGGCGGCACGCCCCTGATCGCCGACGACCCGAGTGTGCTGCAGACCCCGTCGCACGCGGTGCTACATCATCTGTGTACGACGTCGATCAAACATGAGACGATAGCTGTGGGGATGTCGACCAGGTATAGACAAAAAGTGCGTGATGCTGTTTCTGCGCTCGCTGCTTACTAACGGACACGATCAGTTCCTCACGACAGTGTATTACAAGCCTGTGGATGCCGCTCTTTGGGCTGGCCAGTAGACCTGCAGCCGTCATCCACTCGTTTGACAGTGAGACGACCGCCCGCCCGACCGCCCGACCGACCGACTGGCCGTTGGTCCTGTAGAATGTAGACTCGTGTCCTATTCAGCCTATGTTTCGTTCATTGCCCGCAAGCATCTCTTCTTATCCCATTATCTCGGCTGTCGGCCTGCATTCGAGCGTATCCAGACACACACACACCCGATCGTTTAAAATTGTATCCTAGTCACTATACACGACGGTCCGTCTATCGAACTAGTTGGAGCCTGACACCGGTCGTTCTGCGTGTGGAGTCCGTCCTGTGAAGAGAGAGCCAGCCAGCCGGGGGTAAGGAGGGCAACTCTAAGAAGCTGTGGTTGCACTCTGACGAAGTGGGAGAGAAGTTTGATTGTGATGCCGTGAAGAGCGATCGCGGCTGCACAGGGCTGACGGAGACCTACATATATGTACCTGACCTTACAGCAGGTATGATTCCGCCAGAAGTTCGCGTCAATAGAGAGACGGACGGACGGACGGACAGCGTCGCGCCGGATCATCCCCTGGAACCTTCTCCAGAGCTTGTACACCAGCTGCTGCGGGCGAGAGAAGGCAGACAGCCTGAAGGGAGGCGGCTGGGAGACACACGTTCGCGGCATCGGATCGATAAGCACGTACGCACGCACGCACGGAGCCTTCTGGATATTCCAGGCGTCTTCTGCGTCTTCTGCTCTTCCCAGCGCCTGTTCGCGCGAGTGCGAGTGGACGTGGGCGTGGGAGCCGGGAGGGGGCGATCGTGGCGCGCGTCCACGATCCACGGCCGCTCGATCCAGGCCACAGATAAGCCAGAGAGTATCTCACAGAACTCGGGGGCTGCTGACAGGCATGGGTCCTGGGTCTAGATGATGATGACGACGGGTCGTGGTCATGGGCGGCGGGGGCGTGGCGAGCCTGCGGACGGGTAATACCTGTGCGGAATTCACCGAAGATGCTGCGAGGCAGGTGGTCATCGAGTAAGAGAGAGAGAGAGGAAGGAAGGAAGGAATAGTTCCCGTTGCAGCTAGGACCTGAAGGCGCCCGAAAAATGCCGTAGAGGGATCGCTGGAAGGATGATCTATCTGATAGAGTCGCCGCCAACAAGTGATCTCACAAAATGAATCCAGAGTTACATAAGTCTAACCTTGGAGCACGTCCTGACATCGTAAAGATACGCGATCCGATGAAAATCCGAGCGGATGGATCGCGTTTGCGCGGAAGTGAGGTGCTGGAACTGGGTGCAATGGAGATTGATCGATCTTATCTGATTACGAGGCAACGGTGATCGAGCGGGGCAAGTCGGGGTCCGAGCCCCCCGGTATGCACCGATAGGATCAGCTACGCACAGAGGGCAGAATCCCGGCGATTGGGATTCAGATCCATAACCGTGCGATTATCGGCTCGGTCGGACAGACGCGGTCGACGTGCATTGATTGGGAAGTACTTGCGCTGACTAGGGAAATCATCCACAACACAAATCACCGCGGATCATCCGAGTCCGTCATACCCCGCATTGTGAATTCCAGGTCCTCCTCCAGCGCCGCGACTGTGACTGCGACTGCGACTAGACCAGAGCCCCATCTCGCCTCGCACGGTCGGCGTGCCAAGGCCGCGGTGCACCACACCACGCCCCAGCCCACCCGCCACGCAGGTCCTTCGCCATTGGAGTGAACGCGGGAACGAAATTCTGATGCACTGCTGCATCAGAAGTCGAGGGCCATGTCATCTCGGCTGCTGTAGCCTGGACTGCGAGCGGGTTCTGGGCTCGGGCTCTGGAAGGACGCAGGGCCTCGCGGTGGACGCACTTGGGGCTCCACCCCCCATGTGCATGCACGGTCGGGATTCCCGCTGCGCTTCGTTCCAACCTCGGAGATCGTGTTCGCGAGGCGGTGTTGATGCTAGGCTATGCTATGCCATCGGGATTAGCTTTGTCCTCCCCCCCTCTCTGCTGTCGAGTTCGTTTGATTCATCCGAGCACCCCACCGTCTGATGCGGAAGCTCGCGCCACCACTGTCTAAATGAGCCGCCACTGGATCCTGAGGTCACGAATCCTGCGCTTGCATCAGAAGTCGGTGACTGGTTCTGGCATCTGTCGTGATTTGTGAAGCAAGCCAGTGCTATCGAGGATTTTACCGGTGTCTCTATCGATTCATGAGTCTGGGATTCTCATGAGACGTCGTTTGATAAGAGGACAATAGCACGTAAACCCAGTGACGATACACTTCTCCCTGTCATCGTTCCAGTCAAATATCAAAAGCGACGGAAGAGTGAACACCGCCACAGCTTTCCTGTTTCGGAACCGTTCGCATACATGCACATATCACGTGCAGCTACACTCCACGCGTCACAGACGATCCAGTTGATCAACCCTGCAAAGCGCGATGCCGTTCGTCCCCCGCGTCTCGCCCCGGATTGCGGTAGTCCAGTTCCAGCCAAAGGTCAATCACTTCCCGATCCGTCGGATCTGAGCGTTTCGCGTCGTTCCACGGGACTCAGGCCGCAGTCAGATTGGCCAGATCCAGGCGAATATAGCGAAAGCACGGGAGCTATGTCGCGGGTGGGTGCATTCTCCCAGTCCCTCTGGCCTGTGTTCAAATCGTCACTCACACGGGGGGCCGGCCAGGATCCCTGCACGGTCGGTGGACCTGGTTTGTCTGCCCGAGATGTGCTTCAGCGGTCAGACTCCGGACTCTACTTCCTGACAAGTATCGTTCCGCAGCGACTCACTGACACGACAGGATACGTCTTCGAATCCGCGTCCGCGATACAACCGCATCTCGAGACGCCGCGCACGGGCCCTACGTCACGGTTTGCTGCGGATCTCGCGCGGCGGCTCGAATGCTACGTCGTGGCGGGGTACCCGGAGCTCATCACCCCCGAAGAAGCAGAGCGGCACTTCGCACGGACAAGCAGGCGCGTGGTGGGCGCGAATAGCGCTGTGCTGTGCGACCCGCAGGGGGAGTGGGTCGGCGGGTACCGCAAGACGAATCTGTTCCACGTCGACGAGACGTGGGCTCTCCCCGGTGAGCGGTCCGTGTGCGCCTCATCACGCGAATCGATATCTGCAACTCGCAGGCACCGGGTTCGGGACGTTCCATCTGCCACCGCCGCTGCACACCGTGGCGCTGGGGATCTGCATGGACCTCAACGCGCAGCCCCCGCACGACTGGACGATCACGCACGGCCCATTCGAGCTCGCCGCGCACTGCCTCGAGACCCGCGCGAACGTCCTCGTGCTCCTCAATGCGTGGCTGGACTCTGGCCGGGCGGGCGAGGAGGAGAGCGACATGCTGACCATGAATTTCTGGGCCGAGCGGCTGCGCCCGCTGTGGGTCCCGAATAGCGTCCCGTCAGATCCGAATCCGGGGAACTCCGAGAGTGGGGAACGTCCAGAAACGATCGTTGTGGTTGCCAATCGGACTGGCACGGAGAAAGGTCCGTTTCAGTCGAATGGTTATCCTTATCTTTATTTTATCTTGAGCTGATTGGTGCTCGAGGGACGACCTTCGCTGGAAGCTCGGCTGTGTTCAAGATGAGGCGCGGCGGAGGAAAGAAAGGGATCCTGCGTGCTGCGCTGGGGCGAGACGAAGAAGACGTGATGATCTGGGATGACATCGCTGGCTGTTAGATTCTGATAGGCTGTGATAACACCTCTGAAGACGTGACCTCTTGAACGGCCGGCCTGCCAGTGCTCTGTCTGTGCCTTCGGTTGATTTGCTTTGAGTGGGCTTGGCCGACGGTGAACCTCAAAAGCTAGGTACAATAACAGTACTTATCTCTGCGGTCGGCATCGCGGAACGAATGCCGTGGCTACCCAGTTAGACTCGCCTTCGGACCGAGATTCACCTCATTGGAGGCTGGTGCTTTGGTGGTTCAATTGCTTCGTGTGCACTAACTCGGGCGAAATGATGGGAGTAGTGCACTCACTTATCGCCGGTGCGCATCCCAACGATCATCCGTGCACGAAATCTCTATCGTTCGGTTCCGGGGAGAGCAAAGCAGCTAATAGATGCAGCGCGGGAATACCCGAGTCCGTCGGCAGGCAAAACGCATGACAGCTGCGAGGGTTCGACAGGCTCCAGTCGAGCTGACCGGCTTCCTCCACCCCAGCCTGGCGCAAGCATAACTCCTCCACTTCCACTGGGTTGTTCTGTGACAGGCGTGTTGTTGCGAAGGATCGGAGCCATCCCGTCGTCCGATCAGTGCCCAAACCGGACGGCCACTGTGGTCAGTCAGTTAAGCTCAGCCGCGCGCGGACGCTGGGAGCCGGAGGGAGGGAAAGATCGTCGTCGTCAGATCCATGCTAGACGTTGGTTGGGTCGATGAATCCCGGGCTGTGCTATTCTGAATCCCGACTCGGAATTTGAGCGGAGTGATCCCGCCATCTAACTCGCGGGCGTGATTGGACGGAAATAAATAAGCGCTAAGCGCTCGCCAATATTCACGGGAGAAGGTCTGCGTGTTTGGTTTGGCGCGATATGTTCCAGATTATCAGATTTTGCATGGCATATATAGGTACAGTAGAGTAGACTAGCGAGTAAAAATCGAGAGGGGTGTGGACAGTGGAACGTACAGTAAAATACTTGGGGTATCGATCAGCCAGTCAGACAGTCGTGATTGGTCGTTAAGAACGGAACCACTCGTTAAGCCATCAGGACATCCATATCCTGCAGAGACATGTCCGGTCGGACGCGGTTGAGTGACCGGAGATGCGAACTGGCCTGCACGAAGCGACACAGAGCACCTTCGGAGAACACGCTCGTTCCGTCCTCGCAATCGAGCGACTCGAGTTTCGGACACAGCATGGGCAAGGCAGCGAGGAAGCCGTCGTCGAGCTCCTCGAACATCGGGATGGGCGATCGGACCAGGCGCAGGGCGGCCACCCTGGGCAGCGCCTTGACCAGGTCGACGAGCGTCTCCGCACCCAGCTCGCGCGGGGCGACACAGAGCGTCTTGGCGGCCTCGGGTGCAGGGTGCACGAACTCCTTGGCAGTCTCGTCGCCCTTCCTCGCGAAGCAGAGCCGGCGCAGGGCCGGTGCGTCGAGCATCTTGACCAGCGAGACGAGCTGAATGTCCTCCACCTGGACCGGCTTGTGCACGGGGATGACAAACTCTTCGAGGAGCGGCAGGTGTATCGCGGGCTGGTCCTGGTTCACCAGGAGCGAGTCTGCGGGAGCCGTGATGGCCAGCAGACAGCGCACGAGCTTCGGGCACTGGCTCAGGATCTCGACCACGTCGTTTTGTGTCAGACACAGCGCACTGCGCCAGTCGTGGGTGCAGGTGAGCGAGAGCTCCTGGAGGTGAGCCCACGGAAGCGCCAGATGCCGCGGATTCACGGCCGCTTCAAGCCAGACCCGGTTCAAGTTCGGGTGGCTGAGAATCGGCAGGTCACGTAAGTGCAAGTTCTGCGCAGAAGGGGAAGTCCGTGCAACGAAGCTCTCGAGGAGGGGAACCTGGGCCGGAGCGAGGTCGAAGGCCGCCTCCGCCAGAACGTCGTTCCCCGTGATCTCGAGATTCCGGAGGCGAGGCGCGGTCTTGTAGAGCTGCTGCACGCAGAACGCAGGGTTCGGGTGTGCACCGCCCTTCGCTGCGCTATCGCCGGCGCCGGAAAACGAGATGGATACCGGCCGCGTGCGATTGCAGTCAAGCCACGATGCAACCGCGCCCTCGAACCGCTCGCGCAACGCGCTTGGTAGGGCATCGACACGTGGGATCTCCACGTTGCTCCACAGCTCCGGCGTTCCCCGGGCAACCTCGCGCCAGTACCGGCACACGCGCGTGAGGACTAGTGGTGCAGAGCACGGGTCGACGCGGGGTCGCTCGGGCAGGCAGGCGACGAAGATAGTTTGCAGGATTTCAGGGGGAACCTGGCGCACGGCGGCGACGAGGGCCTCGTGGGCGTCGATACAGTGCCCGACGTGGCTGCGGCGGGCTTTGAGCGCGTCGAGTATCGCCTGCGCGGCCGCGATTTCGGTGTCCAGGGCGGCGGCGGCGCGCCTGGGCTCGACGAGGTACGTCTGGATGGCGTGGACCTCCTCGGTCGAGGGGCAGTAGTTGGTGTAGAGCTTATCGGCAAAGGGAGACGGGGGAAACCGGGCATGCGTGGGGGTCTCCATGGTGGTGGTGGGAGGATGGGAGTGTGTATGGATGCCAGTCAGTTTTGAATGCCTTTAGGCGACGATGCTGGCATTGCCTACCCGTGACAGCGTGTTGATGTCATCGATTCCCCATTCGAATACTGCCCGGAACTTGGCTAGAAGGTATTTTGGTCGGTGCCTAACACCCAGACGCGGTAGAGTTTACACGCTGTGAAACCCCTGCGACTGGACGCGATGGTCACGCGGCCTGGCCAATGCAATTGTGAGCAGCCCGCGCACCTCGTGATCAGTCCATGCCCTCAGGCACAAGCTCAGATGAGCCATTTGCTGTGCCGAAAAGCGCGTATTCGGACTAGCGCAATTCAAGGATGTGGGGATGGCAGAAGTACAACACAGAAGCCTAGACCAGAATTCTCCGTGGATCGGGCACGTGCCAGCTCTCGCTCCTGCTCGTCATTGACCTGGGCTGCGGTTCTCGCGGGCAGTGCAGGCTAGCCGACGCGCTGTCAGGCCCCGACGATCGTCGCTTTACCAAATCCGCAGTCCCCGCATTATCTTCTGTGGTCACATTGGAGTTATTTTAAACCTGTGTCGCGCACGGAAACATATATTATATTTAGTCTTCGATGACAGTCATCGCAGCACCGCTAAAATTAAAATCATTATCCTCTGTCCCAACGACGTGGTATTGCACGTGCTCGGTCGATGTTGTCCCCGAGCGCCGAAAACACATGCTGGAGCTTACTGGAACTATTCGCCATCCTGAACTTTGTGCAGGTTCTGCTCCAGAGCCAACGAGACCTCATCCTGCGTCAACAATAATTTTTTTCGGGTTTATCAAACATTTTATGCCGGTCAGGGCCTTGCGGGGCACTGAAGGTCTACTTACAAGAAAATCTGAGTTCCTCGAACCAGTTGTCTGCGGGACGCAGATAAGCCCAGGAGGGGATTGAGAGCAAAACCTTCTTTGCAGGCCCAGAGGCAGATTCTCGGAAGCGTCTGCGCGTCGGTGTGAAGGTCTTCAATACAGCCCACAAAGTCCGCCTCGGCGTCAATAATACAATTCACCAGTTCCGTCAGTGCTTATGCAAACGTGAGACCGACGTTTTGGGCATGCCAAACGGGCATTCGCCCGCGCAAACGGGCATTTGATGGGCATTTGACAGGTTTGGCGTGAAATTGATGCAATCAGGCATGCATGCCCGTTTGCGGGCATGCCAAGCCAACATTTTGGCATGCCTCAGGCCATAGATAATTTGTATTTACTCGTTGTAGGCTTCTCTATGGGCTGTATTTAAGCATGTCAGGCCTACCAATGCCCTTGGCAATGATGTCTCGCGAGATTTGCCACGCACTACGTTACTGATGCTGCTTCGACGCGGGCTTTCACCAAATCGGACCGCGTGGGAGTGTTATAACTTGATTCAGATACAAAATTATGTGGGCTTTTCGCGCCGTGATTGTTCTACGGGGCTCTGCGGAGATGTGATTGACCTCACCGCTGAGCTTTCCTCTATGCAGTCAATGATAACTGACACTTGGGAGAAAGGAAGCATCTCAAAGTCACGGAAAGGTCTCAGATTCATGGCTTAGGACTACACCTCACCCCTACACCTCCATCGTTCAATGCACACGAGGCTACAATGTGTGCTGGTCGGGCTCGAAGTCCAAATTGATCCCATCCGACAAACGGGCATGCGTCCGCATCTCGATTGCTTAAATTCCAAGCTTATATGTTGCAGCGCTGCCGTGATCTAAGTTTCTAGGACACATTATTTCGTCCTTATAACTCCCTTACTAGCCCACAAGCTCATGAAGTGCGCAGAATCGAGCACATGCCCGTTTGCTTGATGGCATGCCTGATTGCTTGATGCAATCAGGCAAGCAGGCCTGTGATCCATCCATACTATCATGTGTCAGGTTCTGCTAATTTGGAAGCCGAGTATCCCATCTATCCAATTCCTGTGGCTCTGCTCCCCCGCGACGCGAAGGACAGAGAACAGGTTGGGGAATAACAGTCGAAGCCGAGAACAAAACCCCAAGCTCGGAATGCGGCGGCACGCGCACAATAGATCAATAGCAACTTGGGCGCTGGCGCAGAGCAAAGCACCGCTGGCCAAAAAAGCAAAGATAATGTGTGGAGTGGAAACAATAGCGACGAAGGGAAAAGGGAAGGCAGGGCGTGGTAATGGAAAGAAATAGGTTTTTATATTGTTCATTGACTCGTACAATATCTCATATTAGTCTATTAACAATTCAACATTCCTCTGAGGCCACCCGACGGCGACGACGAAGGTTGATTAGCGTGGGAAGCCTTACATCACCACCAGTGCCGATCTGGACTTGACCGATCGCAGAACGACCAACACGGCAACAGCGCGATGTCCGCAGCGTCCGTCCGACACCAAACCATGTCCTAAGATTAAAAAAGTTGGGCACAAGCCATGCCCATGCCCATGCCCGCCATCAAATGCCCGCCAAGCCAAATTCAAACTCCGCTTGGCGGGACATGCCCGTTTGACACGCCCATATAATAAGTCTGTGCAAACGTGCTTCCCAGGGTTCCTCTGCGGAATCCTTTCTCGTCCGCTCAACGAACACTCGCTGCCTGTGTCGTGAGTAGTCGCACGACGCGCCTCGGGGCACACGAACCGCACTATTTTTTCTCGAGAATGACGATATAGACATTGTACTGAAAATTGGACGGAGCGACGCGGGCGTCGGCAATATCGAGTTTCTCTGATTATCCACAAGAGTCGCGACACGTCACAAGTGCACGGCGACGACAGCGCAGATCATCGGCGCTGGCCGGTCCGGTGCAGAGGGTATGTTTGTTATCGGCGGGACTGTGGGACTGAGATTTCTCCGATATCTAGCGTGTATACCAAAGCCGAAAATGACTTCATCGCGCACTTCTTTTCGTGGAGCCAAGGGACGTGGGAGGGATGGTTTTGCGCCCACGCTCTGACGTGCGGGTGCTTATCTGTCTGCTCTCCGCGATATGGGCAAGAAACGCGTTCTGTGCAGCTACGGGGTGGACGTGGACGCGGTGGCCGGATGGCTCGGCTCCTACGGCGGCGAGGACTCGACGAGCGACATCAGCCGAGGTGCGCAGACGGTGGACCGCGCGCCGACCCAACCCATCCCCGCGCAGGCATCTTCGCAGGCACAGTGGGGACGCGGCGCCTGCTGGCGCTGTTCGCCCAGTACAACATCAAAGCGACGTGGTTCATCCCGGGGCACTCGCTCGAGTCGTTCCCGGAGGAGTCCGCGCTCGTGCGCGACGCGGGGCACGAGCTCGGGCTGCACGGCTACTCGCACGAGAACCCGAAGGACATGACGCCCGCGCAGCAGCGCGCGGTGCTGGACAAGACGTTCCGGCTGCTCACGGCGTTCTGCGGCGGGAAGCCGCCGCGCGGGAGCGTCGCGCCGTGGTGGGAGACGAGCCGCGAGGGCGCGGAGCTGCTGCTGGGGTACGGGATCGAGTACGACCACTCGATGAGCCATCACGACTGCCAGATGTACTGGCTGCGCACCGGCGACGAGTGGACCAAGATCGACTATGCGCAGGAGGCCGCGGCGTGGATGAAGCCGCTCGTGCCGGGCCCGCCGACGGGGATCGTGGAGATCCCCGCGAGCTGGTATATCGACGACCTCCCGCCGATGATGTTCATCAAGTCCGCGCCGAACAGCCACGGGTGGGTCAATCCGCGTGACGTCGAGGCGATCTGGATGGTGCGTGGTCTCTCTGGCACGGGTCGACATCGATGTGGAGATTCCGCTATAGGATCATTTCGACTACTTTTACCGCGAGTACGACGAGTTCGTCTTCCCGATGACGATCCACCCGGATGTCTCGGGCCATCCGCACGCGCTGCTCATGCAGGAGCGGTAATCAACCCCAGTGCAATCACGTTGGGCGAGAACTGATCATCGTCGCCAGGATCATCGAACACATCAACTCACATGAGGGCGTGGAGTGGGTCACGATGGCCGAGATGTGCGACGACTTCAAGCGCAAGAACGCAGCCCCCGAAGGCGCACTGATGCCTGCTGACTCAGTCGACGTCTTGAAGAGGCTCGGAATGTGAATATCCTGTCGTTCCATAAATATATACATGTTGTTACAAATATAGCAGTGTCTTTTGAAATCCTTGCGTCTTCCCAGGTTAATAATACGCGTGCACTGGTTCAACTTCTCTCCAGCCCAGAACCCGCCCACCCGCATCCACCACCGGCACAAAGCCAGCCCGGACCGGGACCGGCACCGGGGCATAGTGCGAGTGCGACGACGGCCATCCCGCAACACAGTAGCCACCGGCATACTCCGCCGGCACATTCACCCGCTGCACACGCGGCAGCGGCGTCTCGCGGGACCGAGTGCTGGAGCCCGGGTGCGCGCGGTCCCGGCGGCGCTCGTCCCCCTGCGACTGCGTTTGCGGCTGCGCACGGCGGCTGCGGCGCTTCGCGGACGGGAGCCGCACCGTGTACGACGACGGCGACGACGCCGCGCGGCGAGCGGGGTGCGGATCCGCGTCCGGCTGCATCGCGTTGCGCAGCGGGCTCGGGATGCGGGCGCACGACGTGCGCTGGTGCTGGTGCTGTTGCGGCGGCGGTGGGGGCGGCGGCGCGCGGGGGGTCTGCGACGTGTGCGCGGGCCACGCGAAGGGGAAGACGTCGCGGATGGAGGGGAGCGCGTCCGGGCTGTATCTGCGGCCGCCGGTCAGTTCGGGCTGGGAAGCAGGTAGGTGGGAGGGACGCACGCGTCGAAGTGGACGTGCCCGAGCACGCCACCGTCCTGCAAGATCGGGGGGAGCGGGGCATACGGAGGCGCGCTGTGGGCGTATGCATCCACCTTCTGCGTCTCAAAACGCACGGGGACGATCTCGGGAAACTGCGACGCGGTGGACGAGACGCTGGGACTAGACGGAAAAGCACGCTCCTGGGTAAAGCTACTCGGAGAATCGCACAAGGGCGACTCGGACGGCGTGCGCGAGGCGGAGCAGCGCGACTGCGCAGACGCCGGCCGGGCGATCCCGGCCGCCCACGAGCCTGTGTCCATGCGCACCGCGTCGGGATCGCGCGTCAGGTCGAGCAGCGAGTCGGAGTAGCGGCGGGCGAGCGGCGGGCGAGTCGTGGAGCTGCGCAAGAGGATTGGTTGGTCAACGAGTTGGGGCTGAGATAAGATAGGGAAGACGGACGGACCAGGGGTGCGGCGATGCCCGGGTGTGCAGACCCAGCGCGTTGTTGGTGTGCATTACTAAGTTGAATTGGGGCTGAGAACTTCCGTCGTGGTTTTGTGCGCGGGGGTGGTGGTGGGGAGCGACGGACGAGGGTCGCTGGGTTTTTGTACCCAACGCCCGGGGCTAAAGCCATGTTGACACATGTCAGAAGCACAAAGCACAATGACAATGCGACCCTCTTCCGCCTGGCTTGCGTCCAGCCGATCGCGGTGTGGTGTGTGGCTCTTTGAAATGCCCTCCCGGATGGGCCGGACGGCGGGCACGCACCACACCGCACCGCACCGCACCAATACCAAAACAATCGGCCTGGTCTGAGAGTGGACAATAGGAAAAGGAAAGACGGCGGAACCAAATTCGCGGTTTCAGAGCAGGGCGACCGTGACGCCATTCAGACGTACGACGAAAAGATACCACGGCGCGTATGGCTGGTAGCAACCCGATGTGGCGGAATTCGAGGCTTGCATTATGGAATGGCGTCTGACCCATAAGTCGCGACAATGCTTTCTAGTACAAAGCGGGGTGGTGGGGAACGCGATGACATGGCTTGGGTATGGAGGCCGGGAACTATATGCTGATAAACGGAGGACGTATCACTGATACGCGATAGTTTGCCGACATAGGATCAATTTCATGATGCGCTCCATGTCATGATGCGCCTATCTGGACGGCTGAAAACGTTATACTAATAACCGATGTCTGAATCGTGGATGGCCGCTCGGCAGATATTGATCAGATGATTGACGCAATGATCAAGACCCCAGGTAGCCGACTATCGCAATATCGCAACATCGTAATATTCGAAAAGCGCAACATTCGAGATAGGATCAGCGGCCGGGTCGCCGGCGCGAGCAGGCTCGTCGCAAGTCCGGACTCCCAGGCGACATTCCAGGGCAGCGGTTCGTACGTCGTGTTCGACTGGGGAAGGAGGTGCGCGGCCTCCCTGATACAGCGCCGTCGAGGGTCAATTCACACACCCATACTGTAGCTTGGGGGGATCCTGTCGCTGACGATCAACAACGCGACGGCCCAGTCGCAGTTCTCACTGTCGTTCACCGAGTCCGCGGAGTTCATCAGCCCGCTCAAGTTGGACGACTCGTGCCAGCCCGCACGGCTGCAGAACTGGGACAGAATCCAGACGTTCCACGTGCCGCGAGCCACGGGGCTGCTGACGCAGACCGTGGGACAGCAGCGCGGCGGGTTCCGCTTCCTGACGATTGTGAGTGCGAGCGCGGACCCGCTGACGATCTCGAACATCTCGCTGGCGATCACGTTCATGCCCCACTGGGATGATCTCAGGGCGTACCCGGGCTACTTCTTTGCACCTGACCCCGGGTTCCACGACATCGACTTCCTCACGAAGATCTGGTACGCCGGTGCGTCATCGCCTGTTTGCTGGCTGATGTGGCAGAGCGTGGCGTGGGTGGGGGCTGACCGCTAGCAGGCACTATAGGGTGCAGACCAACACAATCCCTCCCCACACGGCGCGACAGGAGCCGTGCCCAGCAGGAGGTTCGTGTCGGCGTGGATCTGAATTTTGGACTCAAACTGTGCGATCACATTTGTAGGTGGCTGGTCCAACGATGCCTTGGGAGGAGCTGCCACTGGGCCTATCCTCGTCGATGGTGCAAAACGCGACAGGTGAGGAATGGTCGGTCGCGATCTGTGTGTGCAATCCCTGCTGATGACATTGGTACTGTCAGGAACATCTGGCCAGGTAACCCCTCATGCTCATGGACGCGATCTAACCCTCGGACTCATGCGACGGATCAGGCGACTGCGGCATCTCCACACACACGGAGCTCGTCGCGCTGAGCGACATGGAGCCGACCAAGAACTCGTTGATGGTGATGTTCCGCACGCAAAACCTGACGACTGGCGCGCTGCAGTACTCCGGGCCGCCGCTGAACAACCAGGGAAGCGACACGTACATCTCGTGGTCGCTCATTGGGACGCACAACTACTTCCTGTACACGGGCGACCTCGATTTCATCAAGTCTGTCTGGGCGAACTACACCAAGGCGGTTGGCTTCCTTGAGGGCCAGGTGGACTTGACCGGCCTGATGAACGTCTCGTCTGCGCTCTCGAACGACTGGGGCAGGGCCAGCGGCGCCGGACACAACTCTGCGGCAAACGCGTTGCTTTATCGCGTGAGGATTGATTTCTGTCTCTCGCATCATGTATCCGCGCTCATCAAGCTCGTAGACGCTCGTCACCACGGCGGACCTGGCGACGCATCTCGGCAATGTCTCCCTCCCCGCCACATACCTCGCCAACGCGACCAAGATCAAAACTGCGTTCAACAGCCTGCTGTGGGACGCCGCGGCGGGCCGGTTCCGCAGCAACGACCTGCCGAGGAGCATCCACCCGCAGGACGGCAACGCGCTCGCGGTCCTGTACAACCTCACGACATCGGACGCACAGAACAAGGCCGTGAGCGCCGGGCTGATGAAGTTCTGGACGCCCATCAGGCCGTGGCTTCGAGGTGCGTGTTGCGCTGGTGGTTTGTGGTTTGCGTGTCACCTGCGCGACAGATCCAAGCGCATTTTGTGGCCGGCAAGGGCGAGCGGGCAATTGATCTGATCGAGCGCGAGTGGGGGTACATGCTGGAAACCAACTTGAGTGTCAAGTCGCCGCTGCTAGAGGGCTTCTCGGCCAACGGATCGCTCGGGTGCGTGTCGTATCAATCAGCTGCGGCAAGCTGTTGGTCCTGATCTGTACGCATGGTTCTCGGATGAGGAAGACTCCCGCGAAAATGATTAGTGAATTACAGTAATTACATGCTCACTACGCTATCTCGAATATTACACTATCTTGAATGTTGCGCTTTTCGAATATTACGATGTTGCGATATTGCGATAGTCGGCTACCTGGGGTCTTGATCATTGCGTCAATCATCTGATCAATATCTGCCGAGCGGCCATCCACGATTCAGACATCGGTCATTAGTATAACGTTTTCAGCCGTCCAGATAGAGCGCATCATGACATGGAGCGCATCATGAAATTGATCCTATGTCGGCAAACTATCGCGTATCAGTGATACGTCCTCCGTTTATCAGCATATAGTTCCCGGCCTCCATACTTGGGTTGCGTCCGATCATGACATCCGAGAACAAGAACGCCGATCAGAGTCAGGAAGCGCGTGGCTGTGCGATTTTAGAGCACGTGAATGGTTGGCATCGCCAGTGAGTATACAGTACCTTTTCCACTCACTGCTGGCTTTGGATTGCCCCTGTTTTCAACGATGTATGCGCTTACAACACTGCCGCAGTTTTTTTCTTGCTGCAGCGGCTCAGCAAGGCGTTTCGATACTGCGCCCGGGTCCAATCTATCGCTACTGTGGTGATATCGAGTTCTAAAGCAGCTCAGTAGCACGGGAGTCACTCTGGCCAGTGCGGCATGAGATTTTGGCGATTGCGCGGTAACTCACCGCATCAATACATCAGTGATGGAAACAAGATCCGTCGATTGAGCTCACTCTCTCGGTCCTCCAGTGCTCGTCCCACGTCTACGGATCCTTGACGACTCTACTCGTGAGGATGAACTTAAAACCATCCCACCCGGTCCGCCGGCTCCCGACTCTGGAGTCGTGCCTGGATGGCTGCTCTTGGAGGGAAGATACATAGTGTGGAAGCACACTCCCACGGATGTTGAGCCTGGGGGATTCTCTGTTACTGAAGATCCTTCCACGTCGGACTTGAGTACTTGAGTCTGAAGTAGTGTTGTGTGTCTCACCGCCTCAGAGCCAGCGAATGCGGGTCCATCCCAACAACCAAGGAGCAGGACGCCGAGCGACGTTATCCGGCGGTTCTCGGATATGCCTCAAATCTGACATCCCGCGTACCGGCGCTGGCACCCGATCTCTCATGCGAACCTCACCCCCGTGGGTCAGTTCCTGGCGGAATTCTGGTGAGGCGTGATGAAGTTGCGAATAGATCCTGCAAGCTCGGACTGCCGAGCAGTACTTATCCCACCGCGCGCGCGCCCACTGGCCTCTGGGCTCCTCACGACCATGGCTCGCACTAACTTATACAACACGCTCGGCGCGTACGAGATCGGGCTGGCGCTCAGCACGCTGCTGTTCGGCGTCGAGTCGCTGCAGACGTTCTATTACTACCGGCGCTATGCGAAAGATCCCCTGGTCCTCAAGATCTTGGTGAGCCCCGTCTCAGCAGCTGCTGCTGCTGCGCCGCTGCGGCTGACGGCCCGCACCCAGGTCGCCGTTATCTGGTCAGCCGAGCCTTCCGCGCGGCGTCCGAGGCTCACGCGCGTTCTCTGGCAGGATCTTCGGACTGACACAGAGCATCTGCGCGTGGCACGCCGTGAGTCCGCCCGCCCCCACCCCCACCCCCACACCGCTCTGGCTGACGCCGCGCCCGGCCCAGCTGTTCCTCATGAGCGTCACGTTCTTCGGGCAAGAAGCGCACATCACGACGAGCCCGCCGAACTCGCTGACGCTCAACGCGCTCGTGTCGACCGTGCTGTTCGTGCTCGTGCAGGGCTTCTTCTGCCTGCGCATCCGCACGGTCTCCGGCTCGCGCGCGCTCGCGGCAGGCTGCTTCGCGCTCGCGCTGCTCCCGCTCGTGCTGTACGCGTACGTCGCGGCGCTGCTGTTCCGCAGCGGGTTCGCGGCGACGGCGGATCCGCGCGGCCCGGGGCATGTCGTGATGACGGTGGCGGCGGCGGTGCTGCCGCTGGCGAATATCCTGGTGTCGGCGGTGCTGTGTTGGGGCCTGTGGCGGATGCGCGGGCAGAGGACGTTTCAGAGGTGCGTTGCTCGTCGTTGTAGTAGTGAGAAGAGGTGACTGGGGATTTATCTGCGCTGCGTAGGACGAACTCGATCATCGACACGATTATCCTCTGGACTGTGGAGACGACTGCCATTACCAGGTGCGGCTCGGTTGTTTCGTGGAGCTTATCACCAATATTATTCTCTCCCAGTGTGGTTGCCGTGCTGGAGCTGATCATGGACATCACTGCGGGGAAGACACGTCTGTCATTCGAACATAGTGGCTTCTACATTCTGATACATTCCGCGGCAGTCCTCTGGATCATCTTCTTCTTCCTACACGGCAAGCGTAAGCATATGTCCCGAAGATCGAGTGCTGCAACTCACTCTTCGCTTCGGCATCAGTCCAATCGAACACAGTGCTGGCCTCGTGAGTGCCTCAGATGCTATCCGGAGTCGACCCACTGACGCCTGCTTTCCACAGCTTGAACAGCAGAGGCAGCCACGCCACCGACCGCTGGGCGATCTCGACCTCCGGGAACGGCGGGGCCTCCAGTACGGGACGCAGACGCGGGGTACGTTCCGCCCCCGCGGCTTCTCCCGAGACAGACTGACTTCCTACGAAAACTATGCAGACCGAGCCCGTGATGCTGCCCATGACACACTCCGTCGCCGCGAAGTCGGATCTGGAGGCGTTCGAGCTGGAGCACGCGCCGACCCGCGACTCGCACTCGGAGGACGTGAAGATCAGCCCGTCGTCGTGAGGCTTGAGCGTGCTGGGCCGCAGATGGTCTTCTGTGGGCGTATGTAGGAGATTGTGCTGAGGCGCAGCACAGAACGAAAAAAAAGTTGTATATCGGCGGTGCTTGCGACCATTTATCCCCAATCCGTTCTTTCTGTACCGATGTCCGACAAAGAGTAGATTAGATAGGGATCGATTATCAGGAATTTGTCATGACCGATTCTAACCGAGTTAGCAGTGGTTCAATTTCAGCGACGTGGTAAGTTTCACAGGGAGGACCCCATCGTCTGGTAGCTTCCACCCATGCCCCGTTTATTCTTCAAAAAACAAACCATTCAAAAATACATTGCTCATACTTCTATTCCGCAAACACACGCGCATCGTCTCAGTCCACAGGCTCGCGGGGGTACTTCCGGACCGCCGCGAGATAGTCCTCGGTCTTCTCGAGGGTGAACTCGAGCGGCCGGGTGAGCGGGGTGAGCGACTCGCCGCGGGCCTCGAGCTCCGCGAGCCTCGCCCGCGTCGCCGGGCGCGTGCGGTTCACGCTGTAGATCTTGATGCGGTGGCAGGACGACGTCACGTGGAGGTCCCAGCTGATAAGTGTCAATCACACGCAGATCAGATGAGATCGGATGGAGGAGACTGGGACACGCACTTCCAGGCCGAGCGGACGAAGGTGGGCTCGGTGTTGTTGGACGAGTCCCAGGTGCGGACGAGGAACTCGGTCCAGCCCTCGGCGTCGACGGGCACATCGATCTTCCACAGGCGCCACGCGTGGTAGTGCTATCGCGGCGTCACGTCATGATGTCTTTGGGGCGTGAGCGTGAGACGACGAGGACGGACCTTCTGCGTCATGTCCTCCTGCGCCACGGCGTACCAGACGTTTCCGCTGCAGGCGGGTGAGAATCGAGAAGCCCGATCTGGGAACACAAGCTCACCCGTCAGGCGAGACCTCGACGCGCTCGACCCAGTTGCCGCCCCCGGAATACGCCCAGCCCTTGAGCGCGATCTTCCCATCGTGGATGATCACATCCTTGTCCCGCGGCTCCATAATCGCGCTCCTGCAAGCCACCAATCAGCCTCCCTCCTCCCGCGGCGACACCAACACGCCACAGCAGGACACGCACGAGACGGGCATCTGCTGGATCGAGAAGCCATTCGACGAGAGCGCGTTCTGCTTCCCGATCTGCTGCGTGTAGTACAGGTACTCCTGCGCCTGCACGGGGCCGAGGCTCGGCTCCGCGAGCGCGTTGATGCGGTACACCCACTTGCAGCTGCGCGCGCCGATGTAGCCCGTGACGACGACGCGGAGGGGCGCGCCGTGCGACTTGGGCAGCGGCGCGCCGTTCATCTCCCACGCCAGCAGCACCTCCTCGCGCGCGCGGACCTTGCGGTACGGGACGGACACCGCGTAGTTGTACACCTGGCCCTTCCTGGAGGGGGGGCGTGAGTGAGTGAGTGAGTCATCAAGGTGGGAAGGGGGAGGGGAGGGTACTTGAAGTAGGTGTCTGCGCCGATGAACTCGAGATGCTTGCACTCGGGCAGGACACCCCCGCAGGCGACCTTGAGCACCTTCTTCAGCGACACGCCGCGATACACAGCGGTCCCGCTGGTGTTTGCGTTTTGTCAGCGGATTAGTACAAACCGGGGAGCAGATCCTTACATCGCGCCTTCGCCTGTGGGAATCATCAGCCCATGCATCGGTGCGCAGAAAGGAAGGAAACGCGACAAACCCCAGGGCGCGTTGATCAACTCGTCCCCGTCTCCCGGATACTGCACAATCTGCTCGAGTCGTCGCTGCGATCCTGTGGCATGAGGAACGGGTGTCGAACGCAGCGAGAAACGACGCCGACCGTGCCACTGCACTGGAGAGTCACTGTGACTTCCTCCTGCCTGATGAGCGCATAAGCATAGGTTCATCTGCACCGGCTCGGGCAGGATCGGACGTACGGGAACTTGGAGGCGTCCTTGAGATCCTTCAACGACAGCTTCACGCTCTTGTTGACGAGCCCCCCGATCTCGAGCTCGAACGCGTCCTCCTGGATGTCCGGAATCCCGCCGTGGTTCCGGACGCTGGAATATCAAAACCATACATACACAGACGGACGGACGAAACCCGCCGCAACGCAATGCGAGGCTCACAAATGGAACTTGTTGTCCGTGATCTTGCCCTGCATGATCTGCTCCCGCCTCGTCTCGCCGTTGTACGGGAAATCAAGCACGTGGATCAGATCGGGCTTCTCCGCGAGGACGGTCTGCCAGCTGAAGTCGACGATCGACGCGAGGCCCAGCGCGGCGTGGTACTCCTTCCAGCGGTGTCCGATCAGGATCGGGTTCGTCGTCGGGAGCGGGACCAGCTGGAATTCTGGTGCCGATGACGGTCTGGTTAGCGGCGGCTGGGTACAGCTGGGAGGAGGCTGACCGGGGATCGGGGTGAACTGGTGTGCGCGCAGGATCGCCTGCGCGCGGTCCTTCTTTTCGGGGTACTGCTCCCACTCGACGTATCTCAACCCCCCCACAGACGTCAGCATCGGGCCGTCCGGCCGGCAGGCGTGCGGCGCACGCGAAGACTCACCCGCTCCATCCGACGCGCTCTTCGGCGAACTGGGGCGGCGCCTGGCTGATCTGGAGCTGTGGCTCGGTCGACATGGGCGAGTGTGGTGGTGGTGCAGTATTCGACTCTCGCTCCTCCTCCTTCCCCCCGCGTGCGAGCTTATGTTACTTATAGGACGAGCACTTCATCGTGTTCTTCTTCTGACCGACGACGTCCACCCAATCGAAGGCGAGCCGTTTGTTTTCGGGGTCGATGGGCATCACGTGGTCGGCAGGTATGATGTCACCGATGAGCGGTTGAGGATGATATACGGGGATAGCGTTTAACGGGACGTTCCGATCAATTGTTCATCAGTTGGGTCGCTGTGGTATGTGATGACCATGTTCATGTTCATATGTACAACAGCTGTGGACAGCGCCTCGCCTCTCAGTGTTAGCGCTGATGAAGGGATTCAGTTCCTCTCCCACCTCCGGATAGACATCTCTCTGCGTGAGAGACCTGTGGCGAGCACCTGACGTTGCCATAAATGTGTGCCATCGGGTGTCCGCTGCAATGGCCGATCAGCTGAAAACACCGCGAGCGTCTCTTCGCAGATGTCTTCCCGCGCTTCTCTGTCTCTCTCTCTCTCTGTGCCTCTCTTCTAATGTCCCCCACCAGTTCATTCTCCCCGCCAGTGCCAGCACCACCCCCACCCACAAGCACGGTGGCAGCGACAACCGATCCCAGCCGCCCGCGGACACTCGTGCTGTGCTTCGACGGGACGGCCGGCCAGTACGACGGATACGTGCGCGGTGCCTCGTGATCGACGGGTGCGAGATCTCTGACCGCGGGGCAGAACACGAACGCGGTCAAGTTCTTCGCGCTGCTGGAGAAGGACGACTGGCGGCAGCAGCTGTGCTACTACCAGTCGGGCATCGGGACGTACTTCAATCCCGGCGTCGTCGCCCCCGTGTTCCAGTGGTGTGCCAAGATTCTCGACGAGGCGTTCGCGATGTGCGTGGGAGCGGCCGCGGCGCCCGAGCTCAGGGCTTTGTTCTGCTGAGGCTGATTGCTGCGGGGCAGATATATCAACACGCATGTGATGGACGGGTACCGGTCCGTGCATCGCTGCCCTCCAGCTGGGCTCAGGCTGATGAGACTCTCAGATTCCTCATGGCGAACTACCACCAAGGCGACAAAATCTGTCTCTTCGGTACGTCCCGGTGTCTGTCTGTTTCGAGTCAACCCCGTCCCGCGCTGATGTTTCCGAGGTTTTTCGCGGGGCGCCTACACGGCCCGCGCGCTGGCTGGGATGCTGCATCAGGTAACTCGCGCGTATTTCCGTATCCGCCTGCGATCACGGGCATCACCGCTCCGTTCTCACGCCGCGTGCGCAGGTCGGCCTGCTGCCCAAGGACAACGAGGAGCAGATCCCGTTCGCGTACAAGCTGTACAAGGACACGAGCGCCGCGGGCGTGCAGCTCGCCGCGGGATACAAGGAGACGTTCTGCCAGGATGTCGCGATCGACTTTATGGGCGTGTGGTGCGTGCGCGGAGCGGGCGTGTGCGTGACCGGCCGTCGTTGACAGCGCTCATCGGCAGGGACACGGTGGACAGCGTGGGCATCATCACCGGCCGCACGCTGCCGTTCACCGCCGTGAATTCCTCCATCAGGACGTTCCGGCACGCCGTTGCGCTCGACGAGGTATGCGAGAGGCAGATCGTCGGTGGTACCGGACAGAGAAGCTGACGCCCCAGGAAGCGCCGACTGCGGTTCATTCCGTACTTGTACGAGCCGAAGCCCGGCCAGCCGGCCAACGGCAAGCCGGCGCACTACCGGACGGACGTGTCGGAGGTGTGGTTCGCGGGATGTCACGGGGGTGCGTGAACCGCCAAATGCGCAGTCTGCGTCAAGCAGCACGATCCAACGTTACAATCAGATATCGGCGGGGGCTCCGTCGAGAACGCCGTGGCGCGCAGTCTGTCGGACATCACGCTGCGCTGGATGGTGCGCGAAGTGATGCGCAGCGACTGCGATGTCCTGTGGGACAGCGTGGCGCTCGAGCGCGCGGGGATCCCGCCCGTGCTCGACTCGTCGGCGGACGGTGTGGATGCGGCGGACGCGGCGGCGCCCATGTTCGACGGCCTGGCCCCGCTTTCGCCGTGGTGGGTTTTCGAGGTCGTCCCGCTGTTCTGGCCCATCCAGACCGCAGCCGGGAATTGGAAGAGCAAGTTTGGGTGAGCGGTTCCTGCATCCATCATCTTTGTTTTTGGAGTCGTGGCTGATCGCCCGTTTAGATTCCACTTTGGGAAGGGCCGTGCGATCGCAGACCCAAATCCAAACTTTCATGTGACTGTGAAGGAGCGCATGGCGAATGTACAACTGAAGTACAAGCCCAAGGCGAAGTGGACTGCGGGATCGGAAGTCTACGTGCAGTGATGATCTAACGATGATATTTTTATTCCACTTAAATCGTTTTCCCTTCGGTACTCAGTATGACCGGCCACGATGTAATCTTTGTGCGAAATACCATGACCCATTTGAACACCTGATCCGGATCTCGGTGCTTATACACGAGTCCAGCTCAGGAGCTCCAACGCTCAGATCGATCCCAGAGATACAGAAGCCATTTCCAAGCCAACCCCCAGCGGGGTTTCCAACCCGGGACAACCGATCATGATCATGATGCGGGCGGTGCCGAAGCACGTGACGCAGCGCGTACCTGTTGCCTGGCCCTCTCTCGCTCCGTCCCAACACCCACAACAACCGCTCCGCCCGTCCGTCCGTCGCCGCCGCGCCCGAGCATGTCGACCCCGATCCGCAAAAAGCGCAACTTCAACGTCAAGGCGCTCCAGCTGACGACGCCGACGTCACCCGTCCCGTCATCGCCCGCACCCGAGTCTGCACCCGCACCCGCACCTGCACCAGCACCAGCACCGGCACCCGCGGCAGAGCCTGTCGCGATCCGCCAGGCGCCCGTCGCCACGGGCAAGCGACGGCCGCCCCCGATGACGCTCAAGGCGCCGAAGATCCCGGCGTCCTCGGGGCCCGCGCTCGCCGCCGCGCCTGGGGACGACAGCAATCTGCTCTCCGTTTCGTCGTCGTCATCGAATGGGCTGGGCTCGGCGCCGCTGACGGCGTCGCCGGGCGGCGCGAACCGGCGGAACACGTACCACACGGCGCTGTCGAACACGCTGGCGAACCTGGACATGAACGCGGAGATCAAGCTGGATCTGCGGAACGAGGACCTGAAGGATCTGCGCGAGCTGGGGCAGGGGAACGGCGGGAGCGTGAAGCAGGTGGAGCACATTCCGACGGGGAAGATCATGGCGAAGAAGGTGCGTGCGGGTGCCGCGCTGTCCGGGACGTGCCTGGCTGACGCTGCGTGCTGCGTGCTGTGTAGATCGTGCTTATCGACGCGAAGCCGTCCGTGCGGAAGCAGATTCTGCGCGAGCTCCAGATCATACACGACTGTCATTCGCAGTACATTATCTCTTTCTGGGGTGCTTTCATTGCCGATCCGAATATCTGCATATGCATGGAGTTCATGGACAAGGGCTCGTTGGATTCCGTGTACAAGAAGATCGGGCCCATTGACATCGAGGTCGTCGGCAAGGTCGCATTGGCGGTGCTGGAGGGGCTCACATATCTCTACGACGTGCATCGCATCATCCACCGAGGTAGGCGTCTGTTTATTTGGCCCTACGTGCCAACACTGACAAACCCAACAGACATCAAACCATCGAATATCCTGCTCAACTCGAAAGGCCAGATCAAAATCTGCGACTTTGGTGTGTCTGGGGAGCTGATCAACTCGATCGCGGACACATTCGTGGGGACCTCGACGTACATGAGCGTGCGTGCATGACCTGTGACAGCGTCAACGGTGGACTGACAGCGGGGCACAGCCGGAACGGATCCAGGGCGCGCACTACACCGTCAAGTCCGACGTGTGGTCGCTGGGGATCTCGCTGATCGAGCTCGCGCTGGGGCGGTTCCCCTTCTCCGAGAGCGTGTCGGACGACTCGGACCTCGAGGATCTGGAGGGGACGCTGTCGCCCGCGCGGCCCGGGTCGTACCACTCGCTCGCGCTCGGGCTGCCCCCGGCGAAATCGAAGGCGGACAAGGCGAAGAAGGACAAGCGGAAGAGCAAGGGCGTGAGCCTCCAGGGCGGGGCGATGACGATGAGCATCCTGGAGCTGCTCCAGCATATCGTGAACGAGCCGGCGCCCCGGCTGACGCCGGAGGGCCGGTTCCCCGTGATGGCCGAGCGGTTCGTTGACGCGTGTCTGCTCAAGGATCCGGTCGCGCGGCTGTCGCCGAAGGACCTGCTGGTGAGTCTCGTGTGATCCTCGCTCCTTGCGTTTGACTATGGTTGACGGAATTTTGTTTGCCCGGCAGATGGACGAATGGATCATCCACTCGAGGCTAACGCACGTCGATGTCGAGACGTGGGCTAATACGTTTTGAGCCGCTTGTTGAGATGGATGGATGTGTGCTGCTGCTGTCCCCTCCCCCATATGTATTGTGTTGTGCTACCCTGATTTGGTTGCGCGCTAGCACGCGTGATGTGTATTGCCCCAGTATCTACCGAATGCTCCCCCAAAAAACCTTTTTGCCTTGACGATCTGTGGGCACTGGCAGGGTATCTGGAATTTGCGGATATCCACTGGTGTTCGCGAGATGAAGCTCGGCTGTCCCCGGAACCTTCCAGGGCGATAAATTACCATATCGGGACACTCATAAAGTTATACTACCAGTGCATTAGCCTGGCTGAGTAGATACATATATTGCTGGGGCATCTAGTTGCCTGAGATCAAGCCAAACTCACTCACCAGCGCGATTGCAAATCTGTTCTAGCGCATACTACAGTGACATCTGCCTGATCGAGTCCTTGACCTGTACTCACCGACACAGATGATAATTGCTCAGGACTTTTCGCGCAATCAATGGGAGAAACTTGGGAAAACGATAGTTCCTTCAACACCGGAACCGTGAAACATGAGTCTTGCCCGGTGACACTCCCGCGCGAAAGCGATTGTCTCAGACTTGGCGGTCAAGCGTAAGGCGCGGGGCAGTCCGGATGATATGTATTTACTGTCACTGCACTCACTCATGGTGAGGTTTGTGTTTGAGTCCTTTCAGGATGCAAGCGGCCCGGCATTCCCCCATCAAACATTTGGATTTGAAACCTTTTCTTTCTGAGCCGATGCGGTACTCGAACTTCAGAGAAACCATGATAACTTGATGTGTGATCTTCGTTCGAGATCGGGAACGTCGTGAGACACGAAACTTGCCCGGCGACAATCCTTCGTGATAGCGGCTGACTCAGACTTGGCGGTCCCGTCCCAGACGGTGGGCGCTCCGAATGATACATATGTACTCACTGCACAGTGTACTTACGGTGAGGATCGGATTTCAGCGCTTGCAGGATGCACGCGGCCCGGCTTCCGACCATCGAACATCCCGATCACGGTCGATAGATGACACGTTGCCGCACTGGGCCGTGGTGTATGTTTCACAATTTGAGCTGCGTCTTTCGCCGTGCCCTCGGAATTGAGGACTGCTGACGGCCGGTGGTGTGCTCTGTTTGTGACGTGGCAAGGGTATGCACGACCGTCGTAGGCTGGTAGGCTCAGCCTCGGGCGAGAAGTGGACTGCGGATGGCGTGCTCGATTGTTGGAGATCCTGCTTGTCGAATAGGGGAGAGCGTGATTGGCGGCTACACGGTTGCAGTCATGTCTCACGGAGTTGAAGATTCGAACGTGACTCGGGGACGACCAGCTCCGCGGAGCTCGGACGGGAATGTCCTCCTCCTGACGCCGCATAAGAGGTCTTGGGACCTGGCCTGCAACGAGTTGTGGCTCAAACAGCTTTTGAGGGTGGGAGCCGAAGTTGGTTCGGAGCGGTGGCCGTTAAGCTTGACGTTTCGCAGCCTCAGGGAGTGCAGCGACCGCAGCCACAGTATGTCATGGGTGTGTGGGTACGTGAGCTCTATGCATGGCGAATGGACTGGAGATCAGGGATTCCGTGGCGGCCTTTGCGTACCAAGCGTTCTTTGTAAGAACCTTGACTCTTAGCACTTGCACTTGGCTATCATCTTGCGTGACTCAGGCGCAAAGAGTGCAGGGCTGCACTGGGTGGCATATCCATGTACCGATTGCGTTGGAGAAACGGGAATGTCTGCAGTCTAATCACTCTCAAAGGTAGTGGGTCTGACGCGCGGCAGACCGGGACTCCGATCTTTATTTGTCCATGCGTGAATCTGAATTGGAACCAAACAAAGCAAACCCGGCTTGGTCAGTTCTGTTCAACGACGACGAGCAGCGGTCTTCAGCCCCCATCCTTTCGACCCTCTACTCCCCCCATCTGCATACACTCAAGCGACACCCGCATCCACACGACTGCAGTAGGTGATCTCAGATACATAAGTTGCAACCCTGTTTTGGTTTGGTTTTTTTTTCGAACCACGGGCGATTGTGGCTGATTGCGGCTCGTCGGCAGTGTGGGTTTGGGTCTGGGTTTGTACATAGGCGTCCGTATACGAAGCTACAGACGCGTGCACGGCGGACGAACGACGACGTAACCGAAGCGAAGGAACGACGGACCGACGCACGGACGATCACACACGCACGCACACGAAATGGACGCGCAGACGTATCCAGCACAGCTCTCGGCGTCGGCTCTCACCCCCGCACAGCAGACGCAGCACCACCAGCACCACCAGCACCACCAGCACCACCATGAACAACCACAGCACCAACAACACTTCCTCCCCCCACCGCCCGCCTCGCAACCGCCCCCGCCGGCCCACCCAGGCGCGCACGCCCCGGATCCGCTGTACACAGCAATGCTCCAGTGCCCGCGCCCGACGTGGAAGGTCACCGCGCTGTGCTCGTCGCCCCGCTCGCCGGCGGACAGCACGCGCACGGTGTTCGCCGGGCCCTGGCGCCACCCGTGCGAGCTGGAGTACATCGGCCCGCACCACCCGAGCGCACACATGTGGAGCGACTTTGCGATCCTCGCGTATCTGGTCGGCACCGGCGTCACGGTGCCGCCGCGGCGCGGCGAGGGGCGCGAGACGTGGGTTGAGGTCCGGGTGGGGGAGGCGGCGAATGGGACCGGGAACGGGAACGGAAATGGGAGTGGGAATGTGACGACGACCACCCTGCCGCGCGGCTACCGCATACCGCTTCTCTGGCTCATGCGGGTGCAGTGGGAGTCGTTGCGGCTGCTGCTGACCAGTGCGCGGCCGATGTGGGATATCTTGAAGTTCGACCTGCTGCACATTGGGCGACTGGTGACCCAGTTTCTGGCCAAGGCGCGCAACGAGGCGCGCATGAAACGGGGCTGGCGCGACCCCATGTTCGACCGCGTGCTCACCCGCTTTTTCAACGGGTGGATGGGATGTCGAGATCCGTTCATCTGGGATTTCTACAGGGAGTTCCGTGATGAAGAGTACAAGGAGGATGTGCTGACCAGACGTGAGTGGGGTTTGTTTTCAGATACAAGATATTGAGCAAGTGCAGGCTGGGCACCCAAGGTCGCAAAGGGGATTCAGGGCTTCATCGTCACAGACGAGGAGCTCGTCATGGGGATCACCGCTGTAGAATATATGCAAGGGCTGAAACTTGACGCTGAACGAGGGATGTTCACATGGGAAATGCCACCGGAGGTAGATAATGGGGAAATGTCTTGCATTCGTGTTTACTAACGTCCACTACAGATCGCTCCCCCCTTGGAAGCGATGCCGACGCCGATAAAGGCTGTAGACCCAACACCAACGATCGCCATACCAGCCGCAGCATTACCAACACCAACGATAGCAGCACCAGCAATCGCCACATCATCTGTAACGGCGACAGCATCATCGACAGCGGACGCTCTCACTGCGTCGCCGTCGCCTGACATGCCGGGATCTCCATTGACCTCCGATGGCGAGTCTGGGACGTATCAGCCTCATCCGTCGGTTCGCAAAAAGGCGTCGAAAAGCAGCGCAGGCACGCCACGACCTCTGCGGACCCGGACGATCAGCGGGGGCACCTCCGCAGCAGGTAGCCCGGCGGCATTCCAAGTCACGTTCACTGCGCCGATCGAGTCACGGGGCCGCAAACGCAAGATCGCAGATCTGTACAACAGCAGCAACAACACCAATACCGCTGCTGCTGCTGCTGCCACCGCCAGCAATCGCATGAACACGGGCTCGCCGCTGACGTCGGACAACGAGGAGGATGAGGAGAGCAGTGTGACTGGGACGGCTACACGCGCTGGGAGCGGGGCGCCCGACGGCCGAGCAGGCTCTTATGGAGTGCCTTCGCGTGTCGTTGCACCGAGGCTAGCGGGGTCCTCGGACGTATTTGGGACACCGGCGGAGCCCGAGAAGGAGAAAGAGAAGGAGAAGGAGAAGGAGAGCGCGGAGGCGCTGACCGCAGCGGAGATCCCCGGACCGGAGCGTCCGCCGTACAAGCTTTACGCGATCTCGTCTTCGCCGTCCACGCAGCCGTTCCAGCGCATGCAGGACGCGGTGATCCCCCCGTTCGGCACGTGGCGGCACGCCGCGGAGCTCGGGTATGTTGTCGATCCGGAGCGATGGAGCGATTTCGACATCGTCGCGTTCCTGGCGCAGACGGCGTGGAGCGTGCCGGACAAGACGGCCGTGTCGACGGCGGGCAAGAGCTGGATCGACTTCGAGTACCGGCACGGCGAAGTCCGTGTGGCGGTGCCCCGGGGCTACCGCGTGCCGCTGTTGTGGTTCGGGCGCGTCTTATGGGACTGCGTGAAGCTGCTGCTGACGACGAGCAAGCTGTTTTGGCCGGAGATGAAGTGGGACGTGCTGCATATGGCGCGGCTGGCGGATGAGTTTTTCGCGCATGTCCGGGCTGCGCAGCCGGGCAATGTAAAGCGCGGCTGGCGGGATGTGATGCTCGACCGCGTGCTGACGCGCTTTTTCAACGGCTGGATGGGTGTGCGCGATGAATTCGTGTGGGACTTCTACAGAGAGTTCCGGGATGAGGAGTATCAGGATGATATGGTTGGCCGACGTGCGTGGTTGACAGCTTTCTAGAACTGGTGATTACTGACTGACTGTTCCTCAATCGATTGTAGGCTGGCACGGAAAAGCGGTGAAAGGAATTCAGGGATTTGCCGTTACTGAAACCCAGCTTGTCCAAGGGATCACTCGTGAACAATTCACCGATGGCCTGGTCGTTGACCATGAGCACAAGACGTACCGGTGGGAGGTTCCTGAGGCCGATCCTGTCTCTCCGCCCCCTCCCGCTGCGGTGTCATCACCTGCACCCGCACCCGAATCTGTGCCTGCACCTGTGCCCGTGCCTGCAATCGTCACAGCTCCGCCGCGCCCGAAATCGCCGCTCTCGCTCACGCAGGTGGCAGCCACAAGCCCATCACCCATGATCGTCAACGTCGACATCGATCCGGACACGACGATCACCGGGCCGCCTGATCCGGAGCCGGAGTTCGACGAGACCGAGTTCCTGCGCAGTCGGTTGCCGTCGCCGTTTGGCGGGGAGACCCCGCTCGAGAAGGAGAGAAAAGAGACTGCGCCAGCGCCAGCGCTGGTGCCGGCCCGGGACGTGTCGATTCCGCCTCTGGTGCTGGATGACCTGGGTCTCGAGGACGACGGGGATGCGGATGCGGTTGGGGATGACGACGATGAGGTTCAGATGGAGATGCATCAAGGCCCGCCGCATATTCAAGTGTTTGAAGAACCGCTGCGGATCCGCATTGCACCACAAGCACAGCAGCAGCAGCAGCAGGAACAGCAACAACAGCAGCATGAGCAGCAGCAAGAGCCCCAAATGGAGACGGAGGAGGAAGACGAGTTCCAAGGGCTGGTGATAGAGCCTGTGGAGCGGCTGACACTTCCCCCAGAGGAGATGGAGGAGGAAGATGAGGAACAAGAGCTGGTGATAGAGTTTGTGGAGCACCCAACACTACACCAAGAGGAGATGGAGGAGGAAGATGAGGAACAAGAGCTGGTGATAGAGTTTGTGGAGCGGCTGACACTTCCCCCAGAGGAGATGGAGGAGGAAGATGAGGAACAAGAGCTGGTGATAGAGTTTGTGGAGCACCCAACACTACACCAAGAGGAGATGGAGGAGGAAGATGAGGAACAAGAGCTGGTGATAGAGTTTGTGGCGCTGCCGACACTACCCCAAGAGGAGATGGAGGAGGAAGACGAGTTCCAAGGGCTGGTGATAGAGCCTGTGGAGCGGCTGACACTTCCCCCAGAGGAGGAAGAGGAGGAAGAGGAGGAACAAGAGCTGGTGATAGAGTTTGTGGAGCATCTGACACTTCCCCAAGAGGAGGAAGAGCAACGAAATCAGGACGACGTGGGCAGAGACGATTCGATCCGGTCTTCGTCGAGCCCCAGTCCGCGGCCTGAAGCCGTGCCTGCGCCGATCGACGACGGGAGCGACACCGATGCGGACGGGGATATTGAAGTCGAGGGCGACCTGCTCTTCGTGGGTGTTCCGCAGAGAGAGGAGGAGCGACTGGCACAGCCTGTGCCCGCACCGGAGCCTGAACGACGAGACGAGGAAGCCACCGTCCGTGTCCAGCCTCACGATGACAAGGAGAAAGACGATGATGACGAGCAGGACCTTCCGCCTGGTTTGGGACACCACCATCTCGAGGACGAAGTTGTGTTCCTCGGCGCAAACCCACCCTCGATCACTGATGACGATGACGATGGGACCACCAGTTCGGGAATCCCTGGACTGGGGCTCAACTTCGGACTGGGGCTCAGTGCGGAAGAGTCGAGGCAGGTCAAGGTGGAGATGCTAGCTGATGTGGATGGTGCGTTTCTACTTCCCTCTTGTCTAGAAACATTGCGAGTTGGTTTGGTTGATGGTTTTGCCCAGTGCCGTTCCCTGCCAGATCGGTCTCGCCGTTAGTGGTTCCTGCAGCCCAGTCTCTGGCAGTCGAACCTAGCCCGACGCTTCCTGCTGAAGATCTACCTCCTGGACTGGAGCCCAGCTCAGCGATTGATGCTGAAGCTGAAACCGCGCCCCCAGTTGTTGGATCAGAACCGGAACTTGGGTCTTCGCGCGAACCTGAACCCGAACTCGAGCCTGAGCCCGAGCCCGTACCCGAACCCGAACTCGAACCCGCGCCTGCGCCTGCACAGGATCCTGAAACTGAACCCCAGCCTATCCTCGAACCTGAATCTACACACGAGCCAGAACCCGAGATCGAGCCCGAGATCGAGCCCACGCCCGAACTTGTGCAGAATGCGCCGGAGAAAACCCAGTCCCCTCCACCCGAGGCCGCGCCTGTTGCTGCTGCAGAGCCTGCAGCCGCCGCTCCTTCCGCCGCTCAAAACAATGCGGAGCAGGACAGCGACATGGAGCAGGACATGGAAGTGGACATGGACTTGGACATGGATTTGGACATGGACATGGACATCGAGACGCCCATCGAGTCGGATGTCGAGCGAGCGGAGGCGACGACGACCACTAAATCTCCCGTGCTGGTCGCGGCGTCAGTTGCGACAATGCCAGAGATCTCGACTCCAGTTACGACAACGGCCGTGACGACGGCCGTGTCGAGTTCGCCGCCAGTGACGACGACTGCGGCAGCGGCAATGACTATGACGCCGAAAAGCCCACCGCTCAGCGCGTCGCGAAGTCTGTTCACACCGGATGCCACGCCTGTGCGTGCTGGTGCCGGGGTATCAAGCGCCACGTCGGCCACACCCGATGCGAGTCGGCCGACGCCGACGAGCGTCATCTCGGCTGCGAGTACCAGCTCTGCCGCAGCGAGATCCATCGCGGGATTCGCATTCGGGTACGGGATCGGGATCGCGCCGGGGCTGACGCTGGCCTCGCCTTCTTCCTCGGCGGTAGGAAGCTCGAGACCGCTGTCGAGTGCGATGCCGCCGAGACGGATGGGCGAATCCAGCCATCTGGACAACGGCATCAACAATGTCAGTGGCAAGCTGAATGGGACGCACACTCAGGACGTGGCGCAACTGGCACAAGCCAAAGACATGCTGGACTCGGCGTTCCGGGCCGGGCCGTCGAATTCGCATTACGATCCTGGTGCCAACAACTTGAATTTGGGCGGCAGTAGTAACAGCAGCAGCAGCAGCAGCAGCAGCAATATAACCACGCGGCCGACGGGATACGTGCCAGTCCCGGGCTCGCCATCGCCTTTAGGCTGGGGTCCGCGGTCGATGCATCCGCTGCCTGTGCGCCCTCCGCCGGGATCTTCTAGCGCGCAACAGCAGCAGCAGCAGCAGAATGGGGTCTGGCCCGTGTCTGGTGAGTTGTCGAATGTGTTTGCGTTTGAGTGCGGTTTGCTGAGGCGGATCTTTCTTTCTTAGTGAATGGTCCACAGGCGAATCTTGCGACGTCCGTCGCAGCGCCGCCTCCGCCGTCTGCGCCTCCTCCGACGAGCGCACGGAAGACGACCGCTGCCACTGGTGCCAATGCCTGGCCCGTGTCTGGATTGGGTCTGCGTGAGTCTGTGCGTCTGGTTTGCGACGACATCCGCTCATGTATCTGCTCAACAGCGCGAAACGTGACGTCCTCGGCGAACAGCGCGAAGCCCAAGCCCAAGACGAAAAAGGGCAAGGCGAAGGCTGGAGCATCGTCCTGGCCGCCGCCGCATGATCACCAGCAGCAGCAGCAGTCGCCGTTGGACTCCGGTGTGTACTACGACCCGGGTGCGGGCAGGTATGGGTACGATCAGCGGTCTGTGCCGTCCCAGAGCTGGTATGGAGCGCCGCCCCCGTCGTCGCAGGCACCACAGGACGAATACCAGCCGTATTCACCGCTCATGTCGCTGGGCGGCGGCGTCGGGCCGATGCCGATGCCGATGCCGATTCCGGCACCGTCTGCGATGATCCGGAATCCCACCCCGCCGGTGAACGCGCGCGCAGGAGTGCGGACCCTTCCCAGTTTCGAGATACCTCCTGCGGTCTTGCGAAACCCGACCCCGACCCCGCCGCCGCCTGCCCCTCCCCCGATGATAATCCGGAACCCGACCCCCCCGCCGGTGGTCATGCGGCAGCCGACCCCCCCGCCGCCACCGCCAAAGCCCACCAAGGTGACGGCGGATCGGTCGACGAGCCCGCCCCCGGTGCCACGACGGATGTGCATCAATGCGTCGGTTGTCACCGACCCACTCCCGCCGCCGCCGAAGGAGATCGACTTGGAGGCCTTGGAAGCACGGCTGCTCGAGCGCCTGCGGGCGGAGATGCCAGCACCAGCACCGCCGCCGCCGCCTCCACCCCCAGCGGCGCTGCAGGTGGATGTCGACGCGCTGATTGCGCAGCTGCATGCGGAGATGCCGGCGCTGGTCGCGCGGATGCGTGCGGAGATGCCGGAGCCGCAGGAGCCGCGTGAGGTCGACATGGACGCGCTCGTTGCGCGTGTGCGGGAGGCGATTGCGGTGCCGGCGGTGGACGAAGCGGCGCTCGAGGCACGCATCGCCGCGCGCATGCCGGCGCCGCGGGAGCCGCGGGATGTCGACGTCGAGGCGCTCGCGGCGCGCCTGCGAGGCGAGCTGGGCGCGCGGCTGGACGGGCGCGTGGACGAGCTGCGCGAGGCGGTGTGCGCGCGGGTGATGGCGGAGGTCCCCGACGCAGTGCATGCGCGCGTCAAGGCGGACCTGATGGCGCAGATGGGCAGCGTGCTGGGCCAGATGCAGGCGGACCTGATGGCGCAGCTGCGGGACGACGTGGGTCTGCAGCTGCGGTACTTCGTCGCGAAGCTCAAGGAGGACATGGGCGCGCTCGTCCGAGAGGCGGTTGCCGCGAATCTGGCGGGTGGCCAGGCGCCGTGGGTGGGGCAGGTCAAGGCGGTGCTGGGGGAGCAGCTGCGCGATGCGTTGGCTGTCCAGCGCGAGGTGATGAACCGGGACTTTGAGCGCCGCCGGGCCGGTGTTGCGGCTAGGCGCGTGGCTACGACGCCCGCCGAGGCGACGACGCCGGTCACGCCGAGCCATTCGAACGCTGTGAGCAGCAGCAGCACCGCCGGCAACAGCGGCAACAGCGGCAGCCAGCTGAAATCGGTGCTCTTCCCGGGACGGCACCCGCTGCACCACCTCGTGCTCAGCGCCACTGCGGAAGATGCGAACGCGGACGGGACGCCCAGCCAGACGCGGCCGTCCACGCCGATGCCTGCGAGGCACCGCAAGTTTGTGCAGCCGCAGTCGGGGCTGACTAGTCCCGCATCAGAAAACCCCGTCGAGCGTCCAGCTGGTACTGAGCCTGCCCACCCTCTCCCCCTTCCGCCCCCGCCGACATTGATGGCTGACGCGCCGCTGCCGCCTGGGGACGCGCAGATGGCGACTCCGCCCCCGCCCGTGAGTGCACCGGGTCTGGCTGTGGCGTTGGCCGCTGTATGATGTGTGCTGCCGTGATTCGTTCGGGTCGTTGGCGTGATTGGAAGACGACGCCGACGACGAAAACGCTCCCGGTGTGTAGTTTAATGCCTGTGTTACTTGATATATATATACTACTACTACGTTCATGTTTATACGGCTCGTCGAGTGTGTGGTTGTTGCGAGTCTCTCTCTCTCTCTCTCTCTTGTCGTTCCTGCATGACGTGTACTTACCTACTTGCTCACATACATTCATATATATACATACATGCGCACTTACTTTACGATTGATCATGCATTCATCCAACCTTGAACCCGCGCAACTTGAGTTCATTGGTCCCGGCGTAACGAGCGCAGCACGTGATCCGATGTTCCAATTGACAGCCGGGGACGACCCGAGCCGGCAACTTGAATAATGGCCTCCACTGCGCCGCCCAATTCACCGACATCGACATAATGCTGCCTCCTGCGCGCACTGGTGGAGACGAAGACTATGGAGGCCGGGAACAGCATGCTGATTCGCGGCGCGAAATGAGATCGCTGTCTGATTGATTGATCGCTGCACGTGTTTGGCATCATTCACGGCATATCACATTGTACTTTGTTGCTTGTGCTCTGTAAGGTTTATAAATGCTAGTTAATGTTCACACTAGTGAGATACCATATTGTATGTATGTATTCTTGTTAACGAGCGTTGATTTCCCCTGGTCCTGAAATTGATCGGTCACGTGCAGTTTTGATGAGTCAGCAAGGTCGCCGAAACACTTTCACGTGATCCAGTCTCATTATTGCGGACGCCCTGGGCAGGAATAGGCCCACGGACACATAGGGTGAACATCCTCCGCCAGCCTACCTACTTTTACATTCAATTTCTCGACATCTTGAGCAACTTTTACTCTATTTTCGAAGGGTTAATTCGATTTTTCTCCCTAAGCTTCTAGGCCTTTACCACCTCTTGAACGCACAGTGGCTATTCCCGCTACGTGTTTACAAGACCCTGAATTGATGAAGACCACCGATGGGACGTCCTTGTAGACTTTTTCAATGCCAATCCATTCCGAGAGATCCAACTCTGGGTCTGTTGTCTCGCCACTGTCCGTGACTTCGAGGACAGCTGCCAACACTTCCGTCATGCCCATGTACTTCGGGAACCGGCTGGATGGCGCAGCGCTTGGGAGCCGGGAACGATGGGCAAGAAAAAACGATCAGGTAAGCGATTATTCTGATCATATCGGTTGTTAGATTCCCCATAGGCTACCAAATTCAGTACATTTCCAGTTGAAATCAGTCTTGCTGACGACTGATAAGAGTGCATGAGCCCAGATGCCTAAATTCAAGTCAGAAATGCCCGGATTAGGCCGGGTTCCACCCGATTTTACACTGATCCGGGGCTCAAATCTTTCAAGATCGGTAGGGAACTAGCCAAGTTTTACGCTATCTCCGGAGGCTTGCTGCCCTTTTTGAGGCACTTTTACGCTATTTCCCGGAGGATTAAAGTCAAAATTTTCAGCCAGATTTACTTTATTTCGGAGGATGTTCACCCTATGTGTCCGTGGGCCTATTCCTGCCCAGGGCGTCCGCAATAATGAGACTGGATCACGTGAAAGTGTTTCGGCGACCTTGCTGACTCATCAAAACTGCACGTGACCGATCAATTTCAGGACCAGGGGAAATCAACGCTCGTTAACAAGAATACATACATACAATATGGTATCTCACTAGTGTGAACATTAACTAGCATTTATAAACCTTACAGAGCACAAGCAACAAAGTACAATGTGATATGCCGTGAATGATGCCAAACACGTGCAGCAATCAATCAATCAGACAGCGATCTCATTTCGCGCCGCGAATCAGCTACTATTGATGCCATCAGGTCTGGAAATGCACATCGGGTCTGGAAATCCAGTTCTGAGCTCTCCCCGGGCATCTTTCGCCCCCGGATTTTCTCGGACTATGTACCTATAACCGTTGTATATAAGTATACCACGTAGCTTCTCTATCAGAGAACGGGAAGTGATTGAGATTGGATTGCCGGTTGGTCAACTTGAGACCCACATGAGCAACTTTGTACTTTAAGAAAGACTTTGAGTCAATTTCGCCCCAGCTATTGAATGGTATAGTTCTATGTACATATAAACCACACGGCAACTTTCTCCTCGGCTCTCCGGTACTTGGTTAAAGAGCATCGAGCTCGAGGTCAATATGTGTGACAACTTGGAACTCCGCTTGACAGGATCGGCACGTGCAATGCGTTTGTTGACGCGACACTACGCGACAACGCGTTTTACAGTCTCACGGTCTGGCACATCTCCGCCATCTCTGATCTTGCACTCCGTAATCAGAGCGTGTGTCGCATGCCCCGCGGTGTTCCCGTGAAGCCGAAGAACACCAATCCTGTTCGTGCTTCCGAGCGCTGCCGCCCCAATGACCATGAGCCTGCAGCACCAACACCGGAGGCACTTCGAAAACTCACCAAGGAGCAGCGGCTCGAGACAGCTTTGGCTGTTCTCTCACACCAACGAACCCATGGGCTTCAACTCAATGTGCTGCGAACTTCTCACGATTTCAATGTGTCTAATAGCACTCTTTGGGCTCGTTGGAAGAATGTCCATAAGCCAATGGCCGAGGCTGCAGCACAGAACCTGTTCCTGTCCCCAGCAAAGGAGCTTGTGCTCGTTCAATGGGTCGAATACCTGGGCTCCATCGGTGTTCCCCTGTCCAAGAAAGCCATTCGGAAGCGAGCATCACTCCTCCGTGCTGATAGGAAAAAGCCATCCCGGAATTGGGTCCCGCTGTTCCTCAAACGTCATCCAGAGATCGTCCTAGGAACTGCATCAGGTCTGGACCCCAAACGAGCCCAAGCTTTCAATCAGCCCGTTGTCGATCGTTACTTCAAAGAGCTTACCGCATTGGTGGAGGAGCATGCCATTCCGGCCGAAAACATCTATAACATGGATGAGAAGGGATGTCAGCGAGGTGGTGGAAAGAAGTCTCAACGGGTCAAGTACTTCTATTCGCGTCGGCAACACGCAAAATATTGACATCGCAGTGCCAATCTCGAGCTCATCACCATCCTGGAGGCTGTATGCGCTGATGGTACCTCCATCCTTCCCGGATTTGTGTTTCCTGGGAAGGAGCACTGTCCAGAATGGTTTGATGTTGATGTTGCAATCCAGTAAGTTTCCGTCACCAAGTCTTACCAATCTCATTCTCATGATATGCCCAGTGTCTCTATGTCGCTTAACGGATGGACTGACAATCACATCTGTGTCAATTGGTTTCGGGACTGCTTCATTCCCCCAGCCAAGAAGCATGCGCAAGAGTGTGGTACAGAGGACAAGCCCATTATACTCATTCTCGACGGGCACGGATCACACGAGACATTTGAGCTTATTGAGCTCGCAATTGAGCATAACATCATCCTTCTCTGTCTCCCCCCTCACACGACACACAAGCTCCAGCCTCTTGACGTTGGCGTCTTTGGGCCGTTCTCAAGAGCATGGCTCGAGCATTGCGACCACATCCTCGATGAGACTAAAGCCAAGATGCGGAAGGAGGATTTCATCAAAGAATATATGTATGTCCGGAACGCGACATTCAAAGTGCAGACCATCAAGTCTGCGTTCAAAAAGAGCGGCATGTGGCCAATCAATCCCCAGGTGTTCACTGCGGATGACTACGCAACAGCCATTCCATTTTTGACAACTGCGCGCAATGTTCCCAACATCCCTGGTTTCTCCCGCTCAGCAGTATCACATCCATCTGCTTCCGAACAGCCTTCCACAGCCATCCCTCTGGCCCCCATGTCTTCTGATCCCACCAACGCTGCGGACAGTCCTGTGAAATCAGCAGAGGACTCACCTATTGTTCCACCAGATTACGACTCAGATCAGGGACTGGACTCAGACGACTCGGATGACGAGTATGATCCTATTGTTAACCAACCGTATACACCACAGCTGCAGCGTCCTCAGCCTGGCACAAGGTCTCTTCTACTCCCAACTCCCGGGCCTCACACCGACACACCTTCCAGCCCTACCGGTGCTATTCCCGCGGCTGCATTCTACTACAACCCAGCGCTCTTCAAGAAGATTCAGCATCTTGAGGGCCAGTTGGAGACGCTCTCAGCACATACCGCTCTTGTGGAAGACGAGCTTGTTGAGACCAAGCGAAAACTCATGGCGCGGACAAACAAACCCAGCAAGAAGCGAAAGCTCAATGTCGAGGCGCGGTGTTTGACATCGGAGGAAGGTCGGAAGCTTGCGGCGGCAGCAGACGCAGAGCGGTTGGTGAAGGAGAAGGAGAAGACAGATCGGGAGGCACGGCAGAAAGAGAAGGAGAACGCTGCAGTGAAACATCGTTTCGAACGAGATCCGAATGCGCCGTTTGCAGGCTCTCTGAAGAGCAAGAACAAGGATGATCTGCTCGATCTTGCCTATGACCTTGGGCTTGTCGAATCCGGCAAGAAGAGCGACCTTATTGAACGGATTATGGAGTTCTTCGACAGCAATCCCCAGAAGAAGGGATCTGACAAGTACCGGGGACTCTTCCATCCAGTCCCGCGTCAATCTGTGAATGCTGCTGCTGTTTCTACAGTACCGGCGGTGAGTCCCGCTCCAGTTGCAGGACCGTCACGTCTGCCCACCCTTGCAGATGGTCTCTATGCACTCCCTTCAGAGTTTGACCCATCCAATCCCGCTGTTCCCCCCGCTCTCTATACCCCATCTCATGATCCTGACGCTACGGCTCAATTTGGCATACCACCGAGCTTCCCGTTCCCTTGTGTCACTTCTCCTTCACAACCAGACCTCACGCATCATTACTCAGCTCAGTTTATGAATCCAGTTGCATTCAAAAACCACTTACATTCATATTATCATCCTTATAGTCCATAATCTCTTATCCCGACTTTCCTGTAAATCTCATCGTATATTCCTTCTATCATCGTAGCTACTTTATAATGTATATGTCAGTTCTGTTCCTTCTCATAGTCTACAAAGCCTGGAACTTGTGCGAGCACAAACAGACGCGACGCGGTATGACAGACGGCTTCTTGGTACTTATCATGCTCCTGCTCCAGCTTTTCGTGTGCGTCCCTCAATTCCAGAAGCTCCCGCCTAGTTGATGCATGCTCGGCGATCTCGCGAACCAAAAGCTCCTTGAGCTGTGCCAGTTGTTCTCGCAGAGTTCCACTCCCTTCAAATCCAGCCGTTTGCACTTCCAAAAGTAGTGTTAGCACGAGGTAAGATCATTGCATGAAATACGCACACAGATCCATTCCATCGTCATGCTGATCCTCCACTGAACCCTCCCGTGCCCGCTTCCTTGAATCCGAAGAAAGAGCCATTTCGGGCGTCGCATTGGCAAAGTACACGTCGTCATCCAATTGGGTCTCGAGGTAACCGGACAGCATCAGCTTGCTACCAAGATGTTCATGAAATCTCAAGCCAGAGGAGGAATGAACGCACCGTGTTTCAGCCTGCCCCGGAGCGGAGCAGCTCCTCGTAGGAATGGAAAACGGGAGCTCGACTGGAAGCTCCTCCTCGACATGCAATCCGACCGCGTCCAATCCTGGCTCTGTTTTCGGACGCTTTGAAGACCGTGGAGGTGAGTTGTAGGGCTCTTCGTAAGGTTGTGTGAGGCCATTGTACCGGTCAGGACTCGAGGAAGGCTGGTACGTTTCGTTGTCCCAGGTGTGATTGTAGCCCGAGCGAAAGGCCATCAGCGGACTGTGAAAGCCAGTGTGACTGCTCGTGACCTCACGCGTCAAGATTCGACCTCGAGCTCAATGCTCTTTAACCAAGTACCGGAGAGCCGAGGAGAAAGTTGCCGTGTGGTTTATATGTACATAGAACTATACCATTCAATAGCTGGGGCGAAATTGACTCAAAGTCTTTCTTAAAGTACAAAGTTGCTCATGTGGGTCTCAAGTTGACCAACCGGCAATCCAATCTCAATCACTTCCCGTTCTCTGATAGAGAAGCTACGTGGTATACTTATATACAACGGTTATAGGTACATAGTCCGAGAAAATCCGGGGGCGAAAGATGCCCGGGGAGAGCTCAGAACTGGATTTCCAGACCCGATGTGCATTTCCAGACCTGATGGCATCAATAGTAGGTTCGGAGCAAGCCTGCTCCGGGCCAGCGAGCCGGCCTTGTCGGAGACAGGCTTGGGACAGACTGTCAAAATAAGAGGACCCATGAAACTTGCATTTGCTCTTCATTCAACTCTGTTACCTCAGTAATTTTTCAAATATGTGTCTTAGGAGGACGTTCGGCCATCATTTTGTCAGGTCAGAAATGAGCATAAGATGCTGGATGCTCGCTGGAATTGTGCTTGATCGCAGCCTTGGCTAAGTTGTTGGTCCCACAATTTCTCATCGGAAAACCATTAATCTGTGTTTTTAGAGACTCGATCCCTTACAAATGCACATTGAAGGAAATTCATGCAGTTAAATTGGGTAAGGAGCGGGATTCACATGCAGAAATACAACACTCACTGACGGTCACCAATGTCACATGTGTGACCAGACGCGTTAGTGATCAATAAGACGGTTACATTCCCTGTGTTCGCATTCCAGATGAAGTGTGGAGTTGGCAGATGGAGTCCCAGACATGTTCCCTTGCTTCTAGAACCCAACATCACCAGTTTTGGTCAAGAAATGACCCCGTTCAGGAACTTCCTTCCTAAGGTACAAAGCACAACTTACTGCTCATTTATTGACACTTGAAAAGATTTAGAGCAGACCAGAGTGTACAGGGTGGTGCAGGTACTTAAATACTTTGACTTCGGTCTGATGTGTTGGGCAATCGGAGCGTGTTTGTGTCCGCTAGGTCGATTATCCAGGTCCCTGTTTTTCGACAGTTTGGCTCAAGCCTGTCCAATTGTTGTGGCCCCAACATGATCATCATCACGATGATCAGTACAAATAATGATGGTCAGGCTTGATCCGAACCTACGAATCAGCATGCTGTTCCCGGCCTCCACAGAAGACGGCGCGTTTTCTGTTGCGGTACACTGTTAGGTTCCCGCTCGGATATTTCCTCGTCCGTCCGGGACAAACTCAAATGTGCGCATGCGCTCTATGCGTAACTAGAAGTCATCGAGCGGATAATCCGATGGGACGACGACAGGTCATCTGGATTTGGAATTGGACGACCAGTGCGGATACGGGCCGTGTATGCTCGCCAACGGACGCGAAAGACGAAACAACAACACCGAACGTCGGGCGCACGCTGCTGTGTCAGCGCCACAATCCAATCCCGTGGCGGGGGCCAAGGCACGCGCGGGTGATAGCCTTCCCAACCGTGCGAGCGCTTTGCGTAAGCAGCTGAGGCCTAGATTATTTTGCGGAGCGTACAGTGTCGACCATGCATGCGCCACACTTTCGTGGACCTGATATCGATGAACGCGCTGATAGGCCCCACGCATCTGTGCTGGCGCGATCAGTGGTGGAGTGGGCGATTGCTGAGATGGGGACTCGAGAGGGAGGATGATTGGGGTGACATAATGGCGATGACTGCGCGCGCGCGCTGCAGCGTCGTATTAATCCGTGCTTCCGCAGGCTGGGTAAACGTTGCTGGGGGGACACGTCGGCAAAAGGCTGGGGCGAGACGAAGAAGCAGCGGGGCGTGGGTATAAGTAGAGCGGGCTGTTGCTGTGATGGACAGAACATCTGCATCATCTCCCACACCGCGTCCATCCACCCACTCCCTATTACCCACCACTACTCAGAAATGTCGAGCACGTATTCCGTCGTCATCACCGGTGCTAACCAAGGTCCGTCTAGTCTGGTCTTGTCTAGTTCCCCCTGTCCCCCCTGTCCTAATCACGTGCCCCATAGGCCTGGGCTACCACACGGTGCACCAGATCGCACAGCAGCCGCACAAACTCGTGTTCATGGGCGCGCGCCGGATGCCTGCGGCCGAGGCCGCCATCGCGCAGATCGTCGCGGACGGCATCCACCCGACGTCCGCCGTCGTCGCGGTCTACCTCGACCTCGCGGACGAGCAGTCCATCGCCGACGCGGGGATCGCCGTCGCCGCTGCGCTCAAGGAGCGCGGGCTCACGGGGATCGATGCGCTGGTCAACAAGTACGTAGCGCCTGTCCTCCCCCTTGTCTCCCCCCAGCTCATGGATGGCCCAGCGCCGCAATGGCCGACGGCCCGCCCGCGCTCGTGTTCAGCACGAACATCGCAGGCACGATGGCGGTCAAGGCCGCGTTCCGCCCGCTGCTCAAGGCGGGCGGCACGATCGTGAACGTGTCGTCCGCGCTCGGCTCGCAGGGCCTCAACGCCGCGCGCCCGAAGGTGCCGACGCGCACGCTCGAGACGTACGGCGCGAGCAAGGCCGCGCTGAACAACCTCACGCTGCAGTGGGCGTACGAGGAGGAGGAGAGCGGCTCCGGCGTGCGCGTCGTCGCGCTCGATCCCGGTGCGTCGCCCCGCTGTGCCCGGCGGGTGAGGCGTCGCTGACTCTGGCTGGACGGTTGTAGGTCTGACGACGACGACGATGACGAGCACGCGCTCGTTCCTTGCTGGCCACGGGGAGTCCCCCGCGGTCGCGTGCAAGGTCATGGTCGACGCCGCGTTGGCGACGGAGGGCAAGAGCGGCGTCTTCTTCGACAAGAACGGAACGATTCCGTGGTAGTCCTGGCGCGCAGCCATGGTAGCGCCTCGTTCTATGCCAATAGCTTTCCTGGTCACGTGGGCGCGTTGGCCACCAGTTTTTCTTGTACATCATCAGTAATACCCTATACCTACAAGATATTGAAAGACACAGACGACCTCATGCGAAGCCTGTTTCCACGACGATCTTTCCGTACACTTGCGGTCCATACGTCCAGGAACAAGCTTCGGGAAATCCGCCGCCGCCACGCCCCGGATGAACTCCACATCCGGCCGGCGGCTGCATGGCTATCCGCAGCACCAGCTGCAGCCTGGTTCTTGGTGCTACGCGTGTAGATTGACCTGCAGCCGCCTCAGCCACAACACGCATTTCTTTAACATTCGGTCGCTCCTGCACCATCTGCGTGCTGAGTGCCAGTGTGAATGCAGCATGTGAGTTCAGGCCCTCTGCGTTTGGATCACGTCACCAGTCACTCCTCGTGCGCCGGGAAGGAAGGTCAGACCAGAGAGCGTATCCAAGCAAGCAGAAAGAAACTACGGAGTTCAGGCGGACGATCGTAGCTATCCGCTCTCGCACTGCGAACGTTCGATTGTACGTCTTGAACCTACGCCTCATCGAACGCGCCTTCCCTCCCCGCATGGACTCAGTATCGTGACCACCGCCTCCTCCTACTCGGCAGACCACGTTAGCTCGCCCGGATCGAGCGCCACAACGCCCTAGTGAGTGAGTGAGTGCGGCTCGCTCTCCACATGGGGTCGTGTCGTGACGCGCGAGAAGCCGGGATTTGCGTCGCGTCGAGATCAGCCCGGGAAGTGGGCTTTGGGGTGGCACGATTACTGAGAGCACGAGGTCGTAAAAAGAAGAATCGCGTCGATGGTGCATTTGGACTGGCAGAATCGAATACGTCTTGGGCACTGCCATACATCAAACATGTTTTCGGATATTGCCGGTGTTCTTTCGGACATTACCGATGTTCTTTGGGGTCATTGCCGATGTCCCTTGAGACCGTCCCGACTTGATGTATATACCGAAAGTTCAAGCGCCTGATCCACTGGTTCTGTCTACAATGCTGGACGTCCATAACACGCTCGTGTACTCATCTGGGACACGTGTCGCAACGTGTCCTGTGCGTGTCGACACGCAGTGACTCACAGCCCGTGCAGCTGCGCCCATCTATGTAAGCATCCAAGCGGGACTCCAATCGGACTACTACACGGCTCCCAATCTCGCTCTCCTATGCGCCTGCACACACCTGCACTCCGCCCGGTGCGTCACACCGTGTCCCGCATGATCTGGGTGGGCTGACCGCGCCCGCCAGGCCCTGCACCGCGCCCAGGCGCCCCTTGCAGCGCTCGCCTCGGCGGGGATGTTCTTCCTCGCCCTGATGCTCGTGACGAACTGCGCCGCGCCCGTCGTCGTCGTCCTCTCGTAAGCCCGCGCGCGCACATGCCACCCACCCAACTGAATGAACAACTAACCACCGGCAGCGGCTCGATGGAGCCCGGCATCCACCGCGGCGACCTGCTCCTCCTCACGAACTACACGCGCGCGCTCGCGCCCGGCGAGATCGCGGTCTACCGCGTGCCGGGCGACCCCGCCGCCCAGTCGATCGTGCACCGCGTCCTGCGGAGCGAGATCGATCTGTCGGGCACGGATGGCAGCGGAGCGTGAGTCTGATATTGGATGCGGGTGGGCATCGCTGACTGACCTCATCCTCCCCCCGGCTCGCAGGATGCAGAGGCAGAGGATCCTGACGAAGGGCGACAACAACGACGCGGACGACCTGGTGCTGTACCGCGGCAGAGAGCGCCTGGCGCGCGCGGACGTGGTCGGGACGGTGATAGGGTGCGTGATTCGCGCGGCGCTGGGCTCGCTGCCACGACTGACTACTCTGGCACAGGATCCTCCCGCGGGTTGGATACGTGTCGATTTCATTCGTGAGCGCACCCAATTCCCTGCACCCCTGAACGGGATGCGGTAAGCAAGTGCAACAGTGCTGATCGGTGTGCGTCCCAGAACGAATGGCCGCGCCTGCGCGCCGCCGTATTTGGCGTTTTAACATTGTGGGGCGTGATCTCAGGCCGTAGCTAGCTAGCTAGGTCGGGAGTCGAACCACCGCCCAGGCGAGAGAGAGAGCGAGAAAGGCTCGCCCGCATTAATGAAATCGAAGGTGTCCAGGATCAGCATAAGCTAGGGCTCTACTGCTAACGCAAAGTAAAGTAAAGCCACGAGAAGGGGGGAGAACGAGGAGCAGGAGGCGTCCAGCGCGTGGGTAGCGCGATGGTGTAAGGTTCACGTAGATGAAGCGCTCTCGCACGGGGCTCTGGATCGTTGGCTCTTACTTTCGCTTGTTACCCGTGGCTTTAGCATGTAGGCTCGGGGCTGCCGTTCTCCCAAGTGCAGCGGGGACTGCTTCGAAGGTCCGCGGATCAGGAGGCTGCTGCGTGGAACAACAACCAACCGCCGGCGAATGATCCGGAAAGGCGGAAGTCAAACTTGAGCCAAAGAGTTGCGTTTTGAGATGGACAGCAAACTTGTGAGACTTTACGGCCTTGGGAATAGAGCGCGTCTTTCTGGCTGATATCGCGAACTTTCGGTCTGAATTCTGTCTAACACCGCTCTCTGCCGTAGCTGAGGTCCAGATCCGATGAGCAACTTGGTAGGTGAGTCCGCGCCGTCTTTTATGAGCTGGGTGATATCTATGTGAAGAGCAAGGTAAGTAGCTGATAGAACTCATTATGGGCTATAACAATGTACTCCTCTATCACCGCCCCGAGAGAATCCCGGCAGCCTTCACCTATAGAGCCCCATGAGCCCCCTCATGCCGTGTCTCCAAACATATACAGCGCGCAGAAATAGCTTGACTAGGCAAGCCCACAGCTTTCTTCTACGTCTCCGATAGTATTACAAAGCAGACCGCTACCCGGGTTCACAGCCCATAGACCAAGCATCGATCTCCGCGTCCGTCTTCCCATCCGTCTGCGCGCGAAACACAGCACAAACCTCCGCATGCACCTCCAGGCAATGCCCCGTCAGCTCCACGGGCGGTGTCGCGCTCGGCCTCGTCGTCAGAATCCTGCAGCGGGGGCGAGGTGGTCAATTCAGTAATTCAGTCAGCGTCAGCCCGACGCGCGTGCCGAGCACAGCACAGCAGAGCAGGGACTCACGCGGGCTCGAGGGCGAGGCACAAGTTGCAGATGAGTCCGATGTCGTCCGCGGTCCAGAGCAGACCGAGCTGGGCGCGCGAGAAGCGATGCGCCGGGGGCTCTGCGTCCGGGGCGACGTGCCTCGGTTCTGTTGTGGCCGCTGCGGTCAGAAGAGGAGACACCGGTTGGGGCTGCACGGAAAGAGCCTCTTCGACCGGGTCGCCTGCAGTTGGAGGGGTGTTCTCCTGGTCGAGGCCGGGCTCTTGCCTGGCCTGGATAGCGGCCCCCGAATCGGTGTCCTCCGATACGGCTACATCTACATCGACCAATGCGGCGCCGGTTACCCTCTCGATTGCATTGTTCATGGCGAGTCCTGGATCCGGTTCATCGTCCTCAGGTTCCTCTTTGATCTGATCGTCGATAATCGCTGCACAGATAAGATAACCTTTAGTATCCAGTAATGGAAGCGCCGAGCGAGACAGACGAACACAGGACAAGATCGTGCGTTAACTGATCCGTTTCGTCCCCGGTATCCTGCCCCTCCCCCTCCTCGCGCACAGCAGCTGCGACCTGCTGCTGCTGCTCGTCGTCGTCGTCGTCGCTCTCCGCCGTCCGAATCGCCTCCCACTCCGGCAACTTGCGCAAGAAGCTACCACCCGCGTCGCGCGGAGCTGCTGGCTGCTCGGACACACGACGAGAAAGAAGACCCTCGAAACCCGAGGACGCACTCCCCGGACCGTGCTTCGGCGCTGCGAATCCCGCCGAATGGGGCTCGGGCATTCCCAGCGAGGACACAGCAGAAGCTTTTCGAACCGCAGGGGGAGAAGCGAGCTTTCCTGGGCGGGGGGCAGCCGGCCCCCCGATCCGGGGTGGACTCGAATCGCCCTGCGCGCGAGAGAAGGACAGCAGCGCCGCGGGGCCAGGGCTGGAACCAGCGAGATACCGTGTGTGATACACCCGCAGCGCGTCCGCGGTCTCCGCCCAGCCCATCTCGCGCCAGTTCAAGCTGTGCCGCGGCGCGTCGGGGCTCTGCGCTGCGCGCTGCTGCTGCTCTGCTCTGAGACGGAGCAGCTCGAGCGCCTGGCCCCACGAGCGTTCGGTCATCTGTGGTGCGAGCGTGTCAGTGATGCGCGCTACGGGACGGACGGACAGACGACGTGGAATGGGATCTGACCTCCGTCCCCGAGGAACTCAAGACTCGGACAGCCTCGGCCAGCTGCGCGTCGCGGCAGGGCACGCCGTGGATCTTGAAGAAGCCTGGTTGATCCCGCATAGGGAACAGGCGATACTGGACTCGGTTGCTGCTGCTACCGCCGCTGCTTGCGAAAAACGACGGATCGGCGATCGGCGGCTCATCGAAACCAGGGTAAGCAGAGTGGGCGTGTTTTGGACTCGGGTGACATCCGTGCCCGCCCGCGGGTGGCACCGTAACCGTGGTATCTAGTGGGATGGCGGGAGCATGCGGGATGCTTCCGGAATCGAGATCGAGGGCAGGCGCCTGTGTTCCCGTAGGTCGTGTGGGGAAACTGACGAAAGTCGGGGTCACATCTATAGATTTCGCATCAGGAAAAACTCTGATGAACGGAGCAGGACGCACTCCGGCCAGCCTCGTCCGAGTTGAGTGGCGGCACTACCAGATTCACGGCATCGGATTCGGTTTTCACTGCGCGGACAAGGAAGCATTCAGTGCGACCGGCGTCAGACGGAGTCACTAACTCGACCCACCAATAGCCTCCGTTCTGACGACCGCTGTATCGCGGTCCTTACCAGCTGCAAGTTTGTTCATCGGCATGGGCGAGCAACATCGATGCCGTACACGAATCACTGACGCTTCGGTATTGGGCCCTGGAGGTCGACGTCCATCTCGTCGTCATCCACTGTCAGGTCGATCAATTCCGGTCCTGGGCCTGGCGCAGGGAGTGCGGGCGAAGGGGGTCTGGGCTCGGTCTGAGCCGAGAACATCATTGAAGCTATCGCATACAGCTGAGTGGGAACCGTGATCAGCGAGTCACTGGTCGGACTACGAAGGTCTGGGACAGGTTGAATGACAGCAGCAGGTGGCAGATGGACTTGGAAGTGGAAGTCATCAGGATGAGCACTAATAGACCGCCGAGCTGCGCGCGATTCCTCAAACTGGGCGAGAATCTGTGCATTGGGCTCGCTAAGCAGCTGCGGCCGCTGTGGTAACTGCTCCACCTGGCATCTCTCCTGCTCGTCTCTGACACTGACATCCGCTGCCTCCTTCAGACGGACGACCTGGCCCTTCAGCAGCCCGTTCTCCTCATTCAGCACCGCAACTCGGGCAGTGATATCCCCCACGCTGGCCAATTCCGGTAACGACGCCGCCCGCCCTTTCAGGGCCTTCCGGAGCTCTGCGACACTCGCTTCAAGCTCCCGGCTTTTCGCCCGCGCCGCATCCCGCTCGTCGCCCACCGCACGCAGCGCCTCCGCCGCCCGTGCGCACTGGCGCCGGAGCGTCTCGGCCTCCTGCGTGCGCACGCGGTACGCCGCCAGCACGAGCTGCAGCCGGCGCTCGGCCGCGGCATTCCGCGCGCGCTGGCCCTCGAGCGCCTGCCTGAGCGCGTGGTTCTCGCCGTCGAGCGCCTGCAGCGCCGCGTGCAGGTGCGCCGTCACCGTCCGCGTCGTCTGGGACAGCGAGGCCGGTGAGAGGGAGCGCGGGGGGAGGGTCGGCGTGCGTACGGTCTGCGTCGTCGTGCCAGCTGCGGGCTTCGGTGTCGTCGATGGCAGGGGGACTGACACCGGTGTCTGTAGATGGAGTGTGTTCCAAGCAGAAGCTGATGGTGCATGGACAGGCTGAGAAGCGCGGAATTGCGGAGATGGCGGGAGTGTAACGTCCGTGAATTCATCAGAAACAACATCCGAGTTCATTGCTGCCAGTGGGAGAGCCGGTGGACGCGATGTGACAGCTTCGGCAGGACTTCGCACAGACAGAGTGGTCCCGGAGCCGCCTAATGCCGGGGGTGTCTTGACCCTGGCAGGTGAAGCGTTCGAGGCGCTTAATGGAAGTACATCCTGGGATTCAGGTCATTCGGATTTTGATCTCGTCCGGGGACAGGGAACGCACGCGAACTCCATTCGTATTCAGAGCGTTGCTCACTCCGGACGCAGTAGCCACTACCGAATCAGAAATAGACTCCGAGTCCTGCAATATCGCATCCTGCGATTGGCCCAGCTGGGCCAACCCCCATAGTACGGTCGCAAGGTCGGGAATCGGAGCGGGGGGATTTACAGGTGAGAATGGCATATTGGGATGAGATTCCGAGGAATCTTCCGGTGCAAAGTTACAGATAGTGGGACTTGCGACCCGTTGAGACGCATCCAGTCCTTCGCCGCCGGCGCTGGTGGTCGGCGATCGGCGAGCCCGTTTCGCGATCGGGAGCGGGTGTAACGGATCCAGTGTCCTTTTGTTCATCAACTGCACGGTTCGGAATGGTGGATGGGGGTAGATTGTCTGAGATACCTGGGTATAGAGTTTACGTAGATGGCGAGAAGACCACTCACAGCGAGGCTGTAGCATTCGAATGTTTCTCAAGCGCTAGCAGGTAGTGGGATGGGGGGGATTCCGCAGGTTGCTAGCCAGAAGTATTCGAGCAGAGATGTAGCTCGTTGCTTGCAATCGCTCAGAGGATGCGTGGGTAACTCCCGGGGAGATCCCGCCTCGAGGCAGTCGAGTGTTCAGGGAAGAGCTCGATCACTCAGATCACTCGCGTTACCAAAGCTGTGACGAGGCATCATGATGATCACCTCGTAGACACGGTCATGTGCTCGCGTCGGTGAACGGGTTGACAGCCAACACTCTAAATCTTGAAGTGGGGAAGATGAGAACTTGGTACACGGGTTCGCTAAAGCCAGGGGCGTTTCTGAAGGCAGAGAAGCCTGGATATACAAGGCAACATGATTCCACTTCGACGCCCTCAAATCAATCCTTCATCTGGTTCCAATTTTCGTTGTATCGCCCTAATCACCGCTCTATCAGAGCAATCAGATGGTATGTCATCCGGATCAAATCTGCATGCGCAGACTACACCCCTCTCAAACGTCCAAACACTGGAGAAGCTCCCTCAATCCCCACTATTGTCGATCATCTGCGAAGACTGATTTTGGTTCTAAGATTTTGAACGCGCTTCGAACACTGGGACCCACTCGCCCCTTCTGCTCGACAGCCTATGATTGGCAGTCTAGCAGCTGGCGCATTTTCAAATCCTATCAGTCTTGTTCATCCTGCAAACAATCAAACAACTAAGCCAGTCGATCCGAGAATGAAAGCAATTCCAGCCACATATCCCAGCACGCAAACAAGACCCATGGACACTACAAGCTGCTTTTATCCAAACGCTCGAGATGTCAATCTTGTCGGGCAGCAAGTGCTGAGAGGCTGCGCGCATCTGGTTGCCATGTGGCATCAGATGTCCCGATTGATTTTCTGGCAGTGCATCGGCTTGCTTGAACTCATCGTGCCTCCAGACGCCGGAAACTTTCAAGTTGTGCGATGGCGTGATTATGTCGCACAGGCCTCGCCTCGCTGCTTTAGCGCTCCGGCTGATGTTCGCGTTTACCTCTGCTGTCTTGGACGAAGTGCTGGTGGAATCATACCTCGTTCGTGATGCTTCCCCGAGTGTCTGACTTCGATGTGACGGGTCCTGCCGAGGCTATGGACTCTCCGGTCAAGCACACATTCTGAGCTTGACGGGAACATAAATATCCTGGCGAAACGCATTAATGAGCGCTGGACGACGAGATTCGTTGTCCTCCCACGGTTTGCTGTGGTGCTCCACGACCACTGCAGTTTTAGTTCCATTTCTCGTTGTCGTTCGGATGCATTAGACAAAAAAGGTCTGCGAGCTCCCGTCCCTTTCTCTGAATAAACGAGCCAGCCTGACTCACAGTTCCAGATTAGAATCTCGTGATTTCGCCGCTGCGTGGCCTACACACTCTCTTGATGAGATCACCTGGGCGATATTTCTGAGGTACCCCGATGAGGACACATTCGAGCCTTGGGCGCAAATAACATGAATTTCTAGACCCATTCAGCGCATGAGAAAGCCTCGGAGTGCATGTGCATGTGTCTCTGAACGAGCTTGATGAAAACGCGCGCCCGATAACTACGACTCAATCGGGGGGGCCACGTGAGATATGTATTATCCCCTGCCACAAAAAAGCGACTCGATATTACTCAAGTTGAGCATGGATCGCAGCAGCCGCGGGTGATTTCCGCGCGTCCATTGGAGGCGCTGTTCGGCGAGCACATGGAGTGGCGCACTCCACCGATCCCCAAGCGTGTGCATCCCTCGCGACAAATGACCATTCCACTGCGATCTTCTAGTGCTGAGGCTGGGCATGGCATGCGCGCAGCCTTGGCAGGCTGGAAAGATGGGACAACGGAGCTGATATTGAGAATCTCCGTGTCAACCGCGCCATGATGCCTTCTTTGGGAGGGGGCACCCTCTTGGCCGCCGCCTGGCTGGCGAGATTCTCGACAATGACAATCGGTGGCGCCGTGGAAGCACCACGCGCGCAGAGACTCTCTAGCCGGATGCGCGATATGTCAGTTTCCTATTTTGCACAAGGGCTGGGAGGTCTGGACCGCTGCTGGGTGGTGGCGCGAGGGAACGTCAGCCATCCTCACGCCAGCGCGTGGCATTGAGCGAGGTGTTACCCAGTGATCTTCGCACGACGTGGTCCAGTGCACCATTTCAGAGGTCTTTCCGACGTTCGGAATTCCGAAGATGCGCGCTGACCTTCCGAGATGACTTCCGAGGAATCTGCGGACGGTGTGAGTCATTTAGCCTTGCCTGTCACTGGAATAATATTCATGTGCTCGTCGCAGAGCCGGTGTCACCCGAAGCTCTCATGCCCGTCACCCGCTTCCGCATTCTCTGTCTTTGCGCGAGATGCATACCGGGCGAGAGGGATCCGGTCTTGATGAGCTTCGCTGGAATTTGGGGGATTAGCGGATGCCCCCATCGGCACGCGGTCCACCTCGGCTTCTTCGCTGGCTCTATTTTCTGCATCGCATCTCGTCCCATCCCATCCCCATGTCTTCTTCTCTGGCCGGCATAGCGAAGGGCCACCACCCGCCCGATGACAGCGCAACTTCCCAGGCACTTTGTGTCTCTCGCTCTTCCCAAAGAAAGCCCTAGAAACCAGTGGCCCACCTTCCGCATATGGCGATATACCGCATTCAATGCCACGCGTCGTCCTCCTGACGCTCCTTCTGGGAAATGCACGGGGGCGTCTCCAGGCCCACTTCGTCGTCATTAGTAGCCAGGAGCAAAGGATCTCACGTTCCTAGCGACGGCGAGGCCCACATGGGTCGCTCTCCTGGCGCGATACTCGTCGCGTGGGAGCGCTGCTGACAAAAGCCCTGGTGCGTTTTCGACTCCCGTTTCCCGCCAGGGACGAGTCCGAGTATGGTCACAGCACACACGGCGGGGAGAAGTCTGCGTGCAGCAGGCACTTTCCCAGTGCGGGCCTTCGCCAGCCAGACAATTTCCCAGTGGCGCTCTGGTTCTGGACCCAGTCCGGTGCGCCCAGTGTCTCGGGCTTCGAGTCTCATGCGTGAAAGGACATGTCGATCGAGGAACCAGAACGCTGCTGCTCATGTGTCGGATGATCGTGACTCCCAAGTGAACAGACGGGCATCAGACGGATTTAGACGACCGCGTTCGTTTTCCCGCGGACACTCTCGATGAATCAGATGCTCAGATCGAATGTCCTCGTCTCTCGGGAGGCTCGGTGATGTCGTCCTGCCATCCACACGTCGAGTCTATTAGCCATGTCACGAGTACGTCATTGCAGGACTTGTAACTTACATGATCCGGCAGAACGGAGTGGATCTCCTCATATCTGTGCAAGGCTAGACTAGTCTACATAACCAACATTCGCGTTGATCTATCTGTTCCGATCTCCGATCTCCCCCGCCCGAAATCTGAAGTGTCTGATGTTCGAGCTCTGACTCAACGAGATAATCATGTTCCTCTTCACAGCCTTCCCCAGGACTTGATATACGCCCTGGATGTTCTCAAATTACTTCTCTCCTTTTTTTTCCCTCTGCGCGGGATGCGAGCTTAATTACGTTCAGCCAGAGGCTAGATCACCCATCATCTGATCCCAAGCTTATTAGATGCTAAGGTATGCCCAATCCATCCTCGACGAACATCACATGATGTGATTGATGTGACCTCTTGGCTCTTTCCTTTTTGGTCAAGTCTCCAAAACCAGTCGTATTATTGCAATGGGTGAATGCATTGTCTATCCCTTAGGTGCAACTGTGGATATACATTACAAAAGCTTGTACTAGAAAGATTAAGGCATTCTAGAAATTATAGCGGAGTGAATCCCTCAAGATGTATGATTAGTGGATGCCTGCCTTGTCAAGCTCAGCCAAAATTGAAGCAGGGTATGTTCTATGACCGGAGTATTTCTTTGCAGCCCATGCTGCCTGTTTTCCGGAGAGTTTGTGATTGAAATACGCATCTCCAAATCGATGCGTGCGATTGGCATATCTGATTAATGTCAGCCGTAATTCCGAGATGATCGAGAAAGCTAGAGAGCTTACCGCCTCATGAATAGCAAAGGAACAGAGTCTAAAGACTCCATTGTGTTCTTCTCCAGCTGATCTTCCCGTGAGGACTCTGGTTTGAGTCGATATAGTCGCTTTGCATACCCCCAGACCATCTCGATGGGGTTCAGCTCGCAGTGGAATTTTGGTAAAAACAGAACTTCGACTCCCTTTTTCTCACATTCTTCCTCCAAGAGAGTCTTGGCGGCCGCAAAGTCGGGCAGGTTGTAGACAACACGACGACAGCAACACTTTGATGTATCGCTCTGATCCACGCACTTGAACCCCAGGCATTCTCTTGCCAGCTTTGCTTCTTCATGCATCCCACGCTCCTCGAGAATCAGCTTCATGCCTTTGAACTTTCCACTGTATTTTGGATGATCGTCCGGGAAGTAAAGATCATGCGGGTGACCATCAAAGTGTGCTCCTGTCATCTTGATCTTGTCCTTGACCAGGTTCCCTTTTGTGTCATAGACCAGCTTTCCCTCCGCATCTCGCTTGTTCACCTCCACCAGGAAGTTCGCCTCCTCCTTCCCTTTCTTCATTCCCGATGTCCCCTTGGGCATGGCCCGTGCCGACAACGATCCCTCTGGCCGCTTCTTGTGTGTCGTGGCGTTGTCGTATACAAAAATGTGATCGAATTCCGGCCACAACTCCTGGACAAGATCACAAGCCGTGTTTGCCTGCTCCAACACCTCCTCCGAAGTAAAGTATCCATCACGGTTTTTCCCAGGTCTCATGGAACGGCGTGCGTTTTGTGATAGATCATCCGGGTTCCGTAGCCAGCCAAAGTCTGGCGAGAAGAAGTCGGCGACCATGAAGGAATATCCTTCCCCTTTACGGTAAGGCAGTGCGTCTGAATCTTTGTGATACCAGGTCTCACGTCTCCGATCATGCGCGTAGAAGATACTTTCATCGTGGTACCAGATGATGACGCGACGACCTGACACAGTGGAGTTGGGAATAGGGTTTCCGTTGTTGTCGAAGGCCAGGACACGCTTTTGCAGGTCAAAGATTCGCGGTAAGTAGACACAGTCTCGGTAATAGACCACATCTGTGCGCTCGTGTCCATCTGTGTACTGTCCTTTCTTTGGAGAGGTGAATCTGACGCAAGCTTGTGAGTCGCAGCATGTATTGATTCTCATCCACTGACCTGTATCCCAGTTCATTCAGATAATTCTGTGCCGTTGACTTGGAAACCGTTTTATCGATGCCGTGTGTGACCTGGACCCCCGGCGAGTTCAGAAAATCCCTCAGCTTCTCTGCCGTGATCTCATTTCCCAAAGACAGCAAAAACAGGCGGATGTCTTCTGCCAGATCCTCATCCGACAGCATACACTTGATCCATTCACCATATGGATTCACATTCAAAACTTGTCGATCGAGGATGAACTGCCGACTGAGAGCTGCCAGAACGCGAGCACAATGCACTCCACGGCCTAGTGCAGCTGCAGCGAACCGAGCGGAGGCTCCCCAGTGACTGTAAGTCTCCAAGCACATCGCTGTCGTGTAGAAACTGAGCATGGACTGAATGCCCAGTAATCTGTTTCGCGTGAACGCACTGATCTTTTGATCCTTATATCCCATTCCCCGCCGACCAAAGAGATCTGTTCCCCGCAAATCCCCGCGCAGATACTCCTTGACACAATCCAGTGCCGTCTGCGCCTCCCCAAGATTTGGCGCCTCCCGTAGTTTCCCAGGCCGAGTTGCTTGTGAATGCATGTGCTCAAGGAAGGGACACGATGCAGCTGGTCCGGGATACTGATCGTCGTGTTGCAGAGACATCGCCAAGAGCTCATCTTCGATTTCTGGGACACTCGCTGCATCTCGAGGATCTTGAGGTGCGTGCAACTTTTGGCAAGGCGGCTGCAACTGATTACCCCCGCTGGCGCAGCAACAATATGTCCTTGTCCCGTACCTTTTCTGGAGTTGGCCTAGGACTCCGTGGTCTCGGTTTCGGCGGCTTGGGAAGCTTCCAGACAAACGCATGCCTGCCCAGCATGCTTGATGGACGTTCAGTAACTGCTGCTCCCGCGAGTTTGAATGACTGCATGCATGTGAGAAATGGGTCATCAGATGCGTCTTGTGGCACAGGAGACGTGTTTGGTAGACTCGGAGTGGGAGATGCGTCGCACGGCGGGGATGACGCGTCCGTTTTGTTTGGTAGACTCGGAGTGGGAGATGCGTCGCGCGGCGGGGATGACGCGTCCGTTTCTGATGGGCCAGAGTGTACATCCGTTGTTTCGGACATGGAAAAGGGATCGCTTGACGCGTCTTTGATCTCCGGGTCCTCGATATCGGATTCCCTCTACAGCTAATGTTGGGATCGCCACCGATCGATCAGAGCAAGCGACGCACCTGCTCTTTCTCCTTCCTCTTCTTCCTTGGTGATGTTCCCTTCCTGGGCTTTCTAGGACTGAGCTCTTCCCAGATTCGTTTTCCGCGGTTCCTCAGCATGGTCTCGGCGCGAAGACGCCTCAGGTTTGAATGTGTTCCCATCCAGAGGTAATGGTGGGTGATTTTGAATCAAGATCAGAGAATTCAGGACGCAAATCTTTTCGTATTCACACGCCGTCAGAGATTCAAAGATTAGATAGGATATTAAGGCTTTTTATCTACGCAGAAGGTTTAAATACGCTCTAAAAGTCTTTTGCCATGCATCTCATTTTGGACTGATAAGAGTCATCCGAAAGCGGTTAAAGTCACACTGCCCCACGTGACGTTCGTCGAGGATGGATTGGGCATACCTTAAGTACTCGATATCTGTTGCAGATCACTTCCCAGATCAGAAATCAATCAACGGTCCAAGCATCAAAAACTCGCACAGCACTCGAGCTCAGCCGAGCGCCCAGAGCAGAACAGAGCAGCGCTACTTTCGACCCCGAATCACACGGCACCCTCCCATTTCGAGCTAGCCCTTTCGCGTCGGCGCTGTCTAGTGTGGGTACGCACCCGCAAATGCATCCCTCATAAGTATACAATCCAATTGCAGGTGCTTTACCAGACCGATCTTATCAGTCGGAGAAACAAACACAGCACGCGTCCGATTTTGAGGCTCCGCGTGAATCGCCTCGGATGGCACACCGTCTGCCGGCTCATGCCATGACGCACGGGGCCGCCGAGGCCCGAAGCTGGCCCACGACCCAAAGGACCGGGTGGACAGAGGTGGGTAGATCGGGCGCAGGCGATCTTGCCCGTTATAGATACCCCGGGGTAGCCGCCCTATGCGCGACGGGCGGTGCAGCGGGGCGGCGACTGAGCGGCCAGCGCCCACATCCAAACACCTGCAGACGCACACATCGATACAACGCGCGATGACGAGCAGAAGACCGTGAGATACAATTATGACTATACAGTGTGAGTAATAATAGATGCGGTGTCAGTAGTGTGAGTTGGGGGCGGCTGCGTCTATCTATCGACTGCCAGACTGGTTGGAACATGGAGATATACCATCGGGGACGATCCGTTTCCGTTACCGGGCCTTGAGAAGTCTCGCTTTCTTTTGCTTCCGGACGTACTTCCTCGCAGCTGGGATACCGAACTGGGATCTATCAGCACAGAATCTCGGTAGGGAACGAGAAACGACACACCTGATAGATGGGATATACCACCAACAGCGTCGCACCAATGATCCAGCCCCACTTGACCTTTGCGGGAAGCGGCTCCGGAAACTGACCCTGGCTCCACTTGAATATCACGAGGTCCTCGGTAGCGACGGTGGCGAGCAGGAGCCAGACATGTTGTCCCATGCGCACAGCTCGTCTGATCGTCGGGAGATGAGCATCCAGGGAGCACTACAGAGAAGCCCACTCACTGAGGATGGTTGATGTACTGATACAGCTCCCGTACAGCAGGCAGCGCGCAGAGGAAGATGAATGCCAGCCGTAAGATGACGATGGGGTGATCCGGCTCCATCCACAGAAGGGTCTAGAATCCGGGGTGGTCAGCTGATCCGGTTCCACGCAATCACGCATACCTTCAGATAGAAAACGTTAAGCTCAGCGGCGAGGAACACCGTGAGAAGGAGCACGACGCTAAAGTAGTGCTTGAACGAGGTGGTGGTACCCCAGCGGAAGGACGTAAAGTCGTGAGGCGAGAACTGTGACAACACACGTCGCGTCTTTGCACGCAGCCCTTTGCTCTGGCGAAAGCCGCGCCACTCGTATGGCTGGGCGGCTCATCAGTCATGAAGAAGGGCGCCGCCACAACAGATGCCTACACACACCTTGACCTCAAAGTACTGGCACACCTTCATGCCAAGGTAGGTCCCGATCCAGTTGCACAGCAACACATCGAGAATCCACTGTCAGTCAACGGGCGATGAGGTCGGCCCGTTACAGAATACAACACTCACGTGGTCCCACCAGCACTGCACACAAGTAAGCGACTGCTATGTTAGGACATACTAGAACTCCAGCACACCTCATTGAAGTTGGCCAGCTGATGCCCGAAGCTGTACTCAGCCAGCTCGAAGGCGATACTCAAGATCTGTATCAGCTGTCAGCGCGAGTCAGGAGGAATGCAGCAAAACAAAGACGCACCCAGCAGAACCAATAGTCCCGCAGGATCATCGCCTTGCCAAACCATCCGATGGTGTGCGCGATGCAGAACACATCCAGTGCGTTCCAGAGCACTGTCGGTGTCAACGTGCAGTCCTCCGCGTAGCTCTTCTCCGGCAGCGGCACACCCAGATTCTCGTCAAGCAGCATCATCATCCCTCGCGCATTGGGCAGGTCCTGGAAGAGCAAGAACACGAGGGCAAGTTCGTAGAGCAAGTTAATACCGAGAACGGCCCGCCAGAAGGAGGGGTGAGGTCTAATGAAGGGACCATCACGGAACTGGATCATCGAGAACGCAAGGAAAGCGCTCAGGGCAGCATATGCACCTCTGTGCGTCGTCAAAACCGACGACAGCTTGGGAAAGCCAAGGGCACTTACACACGACGCTTGTCTCGGCCCTCCGCTAGAAGATCTTTCGTCATTGCGACATATGCCAGCACCACCAACAATATGCTGAGCGTCGTCAGCGTGATGGGCTTGTAGAAGAATCTACAGGGGAAGATTAGGCCAAAAGGAGTCCGTTATCTGGCAACACGTATCCACAGACTCGACGCTAGTATCATGTCGTTCCTGGAATGGCGTAATACGCGTATACGGTTCGGTACGGTCTGCCTGTGATCCAGAAGAGTCGTTGATTCACAATGTCAGAAGTCGTCATTGTGTCATTTTCATTTTGCAGATAGGACACACGGGTCGTTACGCCGGGCGATGAAAGGCAAAGTGAAGTCCAGGAGAAGCAGATAGGATACGGCGTGCGCGAGCCGGACGCGTCGAATGCAGCAGCAGTGACGGAAAAGTAGATCCGGTGGAAGAAAGGAGTCGAAGAGTTACGACATGCATACGCGCATTTCGGAACAGTTGGGAGGTTGTGTGCGCCGAGGGCGAGGGCCGAGGGGAGAGAGAGAGAAGACGAGAGGGAGCCGATCAGCAATGCTTCATGGAAAGGATTCATGGGCTACTACTACTCACATCGTACCCTGAGCATAGACAAATCGACGTCGCATTTCGTTAGCGTCCGTGGCTTGTGCGAGTATAGAACGAGTGGAGAAGGTGCGTACATCTTACTGGGTTCCCGTCGATCCCTGGTATGGGTTCAACCTCAGGAGGGGCGACGAGGGCCGTGTCTGATTCTTCGCCGGGTGAGGTTGGTGACGCGTAACCCGGCCGTTCTATAATTGACTCGGCCATCTCCCGCTTCGCTTTTGTACCGGTTGGCGACTATCTTCAAGTCTGGGGTGATGCGGAGGGGGGTAAGAAAGCAGCTGAATGCACTGTGAGGGGTCCTGGTTGTCGTCCTCCGTTGACGGCGAAAAACGAGGACGTCATCGAGAGCTAGCACGTGAACGGGATTTCCATTTCGGGAAGAGCACGTGCAGATGCACACGGCTCAGCTACAGCTTTGACCAGAGAAGCTCAGACAACAAAGCAAAGGATGAAAGCGACAGATCGAGGCAGCCGCGAATTTCAGGGTGTGTATGTCACGAATTCTTCCGAGGAAGGAGAAACGTGGGCTGAGGTCCGTCCATCGGGAGTGGGTGCAGTAAGCGCCATCATGGTATTTTCTGGACCCTCATGAGAATGTCAGAAGGAGCTGGAGAATTCGCCGAGATTAATCCTTGCCAACTTTTGGGCCAGGGAAAATCGCGCGCGGTCTCGATTTCGCCATGATATTCCGTCGAAAAGATGTGCTACCAAGGTTTCCCCGAAGATGTTGTCAACCGACCCTGATGCTTTGCGCAGATCCCTCCAACGTGAAAGGACGGCCTACGGGCAAGTGCAGCACCACAAGCTGAGCATAGCGTCGAGCGCTTCTCCAACTTCGAACATCTGTATCGGGACGTCGACCAAACATCCATGTGATGATCAGACAAACAGAGCTAGTTTTCCCTCCCCCGGGTCACTCATTTGCAAGCCCGAGACACACATAATCCCATCTCTGAGACTTGCACACACTCTTCTCTTTCTTGACTGTCCGAGGCCCCCGTACATTCAAACTCCCGGTAACAGTTTGCCGACGCCCAAAGCCAAGACCGTCGGGTCGCATCTTAGTCACTCGACCTCAATTCGGACGGACGCAGCCCTTCTGTGGAATGATGCTCGCCTTCTCTGGGAGTTTTGGCTCTGGCTTTGGGAGATGAAGCCCCTGAGAGCGCCGATCTCGTGTACGATCCCGTTCGAATAAGCTCTCATGTAGTGGCATCTGTTGAGGAGACGCGAGCAAAGCAACCAACGATACGATACGTTAAGGCGAACATTCCATCTCTCCAAGGAGAAGTTGTCGCGGGATTGGCGTTTGGCTATTCTGGTTCCCCATCCATGTGCGTGTGGTCTCATGCCATGACCTACTTACTGAACTCCTTGGGATTCCACGCTAACCCTTTTGCTAGACGCAACAGCGCGCCTAGTTTAGCCCTGAAGCCTAACACCAACGAGAAGGCTCGAAGCTTACCAGGAAACATCCAGGAGTGGACCGTCTGCTGGGCTGGGATTCTCGCTGCACCAAAACCGGATGCCCCGCGCCGGCAGGCCAGGCGCCGCGCGTAATGGAATGTGCGCGCCGGTTACTGGAATGGGCACTGGAACCTGCCCAGACCGTGTAGGCCGAGGGACGCGTTGGAGCAAGGGATTTCATTGACGAGTGCGTTCTTCTCCCTAATGTTCCCCCAATCTCTTCCTCATGCACCCTCTGGACTTCTCAGCCGGCATCTCCTAGGGCGGTCATGCTGCTTATCTCGCGGGCGCCAAGGCCCGTGGCCGTAGCCCATTTAGCGTGTCTGTTCTCGGGATGACGAAATAGTGTGCTAGGATGCGTGAGATGAAATGAAGATGAATGACTGAAATGCCCTATGTAAGCTAAGGTTAGACACGAGAGAGATCATCATTTCTGTTGCTTAGACTGCGCCCAGACCGTGTCGCAGGAATTCTCCGAGAATTGCATTAAACGTGTTACTAGAGGTACATCGAGTGTAACCGCGTCGAGTTCATTATCTCATTAGATGCGGCTGCTGAGTTGGGAATGAACAGTCGGACTCATCCACTCACATCCAGGTCCATGATGTGCAGTGATTCGAATCACGTCGTATGTAAGCCGGTCGAGAATGGGAATCTGGTCCCGAAAGAAGGTCTCGCCCGACAGTATGGAAAGTTCGCTGTTCTGTCTGTTCGGCGAGATGGACGGGAGCTTCCCACCGAGACGGCGTCACTTCTAGTTCCGGGTGAAGCGGATGCTTGGAGGACGCTCTGCTGCGCCCTAGGAGACTTTACGTCTGCGGATTATCCTCCCGTGCCGCTCGTTGTTTGGCTCGTGCCGCCGTGTTTGCGTGCGTGCTTGGCCGTGTGGATCTGGGGTGTGCCGGCATCGGTGTCGTTCATATACGTCTCTTCTTCGCGTGCTGGTCCCTTTCTGGATCGTAGGAGGGAAGCAAAGGATGTTTGCCACCATCAGCAGAGCAATCCAGGCATCCATAATGCCGATTCGGGAGGACCTGGCTCAGCCACGGAGACCCGCAATGTGCTGGCAATCTACCTTCTCCGTGCATGATACCCATCCCACTTTGCGT